CTCAAGTCCTACCTTCCGCTCGTCATTCAAGCTCTTTGTTTGAAAATATATTTATAGGGAGATAACCACGAGACGTGGTTTAGTACGCGAAGGGCAACCTAGAGAACACTCCCTCGTCTCATAATTTGGTATAGGGTTTAATACCATACTAGTAATATGTACCCAAATCTGACTACATGGGCATCGCAACAGCTTTTCAGTCTAGGATATGATCTTATCGTACTCCGTACATGTACAAACTTATACTTGAGGACTACGGGGTTAAAAGCGGCGAGGAAGGGGGCTAAGCCACAAAGAGATGCCGACGAAATGGGACTTCCAATCAGGTGGCCCCGTTGATCTTCATCCCATCCCGTCGTCGTCGTCAACATCGTTCGTTCTTCGTCTTGTCATCCTGCCGTCCCACCAGATCTTCCTTCCCAGTTGCCCCCTTCCCTCTTCTCCACCCCCGTTGTCCACTATCGTTTCTCTCCTGCTCTCGCTTCTCCCATTCCATTCTTTATCTTTCGAATCTCGCTGGTTCTTCCCTCATTCCGTATGGTCTAATACAGTCCGTCATGCCGGATTTCTTCCCCGATATCAGGAACCACCCCGGGAGGATCATCCTGCTCTGTACTGCCCATATCCAACTCCGTTAACTTCCGTGGACGATGCGAACGCTTCTGCTGTACACTCTGACTCCGCCGTATTTCCCATGGGACCTGCTGGTCAAGCATGTCCTGGGATTTGAAGAAGAGGAAGCTGCAAGCGCTGTGGTCGCACATTAACACAAGTAGTAAGAAAGTTCCTCGGATAGGCTATGAGCGCCCTTGTCCCGCTAACGACGTGCGTATCATGGATAGGATCCCAATTCTTCACTGCTCGTCATGGATCGCCCTCGCAACCGAAAGGGTGGCGTCCCTTCACCCTGCGCCCAATCTACCTCACCTTCCTCGCATGTTTGATGTTTTTGATGTTACTGATAGTGGAGGGTTTGCGACGCTATACGATGTGGTACGGGGGTCTGGTCTTTCTGGAAGCAACTGAGGAAGTGTCTAGTCTCCAGTCGTTTGCCTACAACTATATCCCTATTATCGTCGCTCTCATACTTGTTACCCTATGGTCTCTCGTCGACTTCGATGTTCTTCGTCTCGAGCCGTATTTCCAGCTGGCCCGACCGGAGGGCGTTCCTGCCTCCGTGCTCTTTATCAACTACAACTTCGGTCAAACCTTCGTTACGCCGTTTCTCTCAGCCAAACGAGGTCACTGGGTGGCCCTCTTGGTATCGATTGTAACCGTCCTCATTCGCATGTTCCTCCCTGCCCTGCAGAGTACACTTCTCGAACTGCGCGAGGTCACCGTGATCTCCAATGAGCAGATGAAAACCTGGCCGGAGCTGGTAGACTTGGGCACGCAGGCTAATTGGATCGCCGCCCAGGAACGGAGCAGTTTCGATTCCATAAATTCTGCCATGGCCTCAACCACCAATAGTCTGCAGAAATCACGATCTCCCGACTTTGCTGTGCCGCCCGTGCAAATTCCTACAAATGACCGACGGGAAAGCACCTTGTGGAAAGTCAACCAAACCATATTTTGGTCGCAATTATCCTGTCACGACTTGGCCGCAAATGATGCGTTACCAGTGACGATCAACCAAACCGATGTGGAACACCCGATCCTTTCGTGGAACGTGACTGGGTTGCCCCTGGTGAACGGGACGAACCAGGATTGCTCGCTGGACTTTCAATACGACAGCATTTTCTACCCAGAGACTGACTTTCTTCAAGTGCGTTACTGGGAGCCGGTGTGGACGACCGATACCTTTGACTCGGGCGAGGTGCGAAAAGCATTCCGTCCCCGTGGTTGTGACCCTTTCGATCTGTACGGCGTGCTGTTATCCGTTAATGCAACGACGGCCCCTGCCGATGCGATCAGTTCCCTGGGCTCCCAGTATATCTCGTCGGCAACCATGTTTGCCTGCGATATCGAATACCGTAAAGCCACGGCGGAGGTCTGCATGCATGCGAATAGCTCCATCACGTCGGTGCGTGTTATTGCAAACACCACCGCCAATCTGACCAGCCAGGAATTCAATGTCGACGAGTTCCAGGGCCTCCTCTCTCACCGCGCACCATACACTAGTGATATAATCTTCATGCAGTATAACGATACAATGGGTGACCTCACCGTGACCGAGCTTCCGGTCATCAGCCAAGACATGGATGACTTGGAACCCATGCCCGTTCTGGATACCGCGACAGTCATGGAGCAAGGGGAGTTCGAAGAAAAAACCAAGCGAGTTGTCATCCAAGCCTTTGTGATGACCATGGGGCGTTTGTTTAATCCCGATATACCTCCAACGACCGTCTCCGCCGTCCGCTTCGCACACCAAGTTACCATTGCCGTCGTTTCGTTCGCAGCGACCTTGTCGGAGGCCATTCTCTTCTCGAGCACCCTCGTGGCTCTTGCTTTATTGTATTTCTACCAGCGTCGCCCGAACATCCTTCAAAGCGACCCTGGCTCCATTGGGGCGATGTGTAGCATGGTGACAGATTTGTTCTCCCCGTCGAATATTCTCGGTAATGCCCAGTCCGATTATCATCAGCTTTCGACTCGACAACTGCGGATGCTTCTTCGAAATTACCGACTCTACTGGCAGGAAGGACCAATGGGAAGGCGCGTGGAACTAGTCTCGGTGGACGGTGAGAGTCAAGGTAAGTACTCGGCTCCCCCTGGATGGTTCTATTGATTCCGCTGACGAGAACAGGCTCCTCGACCGGCTTGAGGGACCGGATTCGCACGCGTGTTGACCCGAGGCCGCACTTTCTGGTGATTCCGATTTTTATCCTGGAGTTTCTCCTTCTCGTTGCGGTCATCGCTATCATGGCGTTGGTCATCGCCTCTCTCGCCCATGAGGGTAGTTTCCAACATCTTACCCAGTCGGATTCCAGTTTCTTCCAGGTCATCCTATCCTTCCTTCCTTCCGTGGTCGCCTCTGCTGTCGGAGCTCTCTGCAATTCTATCCAGCGAAATATCAGCATCCTGGAGCCCTGGGTCCATCTACAACGCGGACAGGCAAAGGCGAGGGCCTCATTGTCGATGAATTACGCATCTCAGACCCCGTGGCTGGTTCTTTTGAAAACCATCCGGGACCGTCATCTCTTGTTGGGCTTGGTGTCCTTGGCCTGCGTGGTTAACACGGTCCTCACGGTGGTTGCGGGTGGACTGTTTACGCAACAGCTCACCACGTCTGGGTTCCCAACCGATGCCATCCAGGCGAACTACAGCAATTCTATTTTCAAGCAAACCGACTTTGCCGCAGATTTTACCGAGTACGATCTGATTCAGACCAGTATCACCAGTGGGGTTCCCATGATCCCGTGGACCAGTCCGGATTATTCATTCGTGCCGCTGAAAAACACCCAGCGGAATGCGACTGCCTCGTACGAGGCTACGACCCTCGGCATTGGAGCTGACTTCGAATGCCAGGAACTGTCGATTTCTGAGCACCTGAAGAAGAATGACACGACGGGGGCATTATATTGGCAGTACCAGCCGTTTCAGAATCAGAGCCGACAGTGCACGGTGGGCATGTTCCAGCAAAAGAACGAGAAGATCCCCCTCTCTATTCACTTCCTTTCTCCTGCCGCCCTCGAGGACATGGACCAATGCCAAACATTCACGGTGCTGGTACTTGGGCGATGGAATTACACAGGGGAGTCAGCCATAACTGAGAAAAACACGATCGCTTTGCACTGTGAACCGCAAGTCCAGATGCAGAACTTTTCCATTCTTTTCGACCAAAAGGGTCAGATCCAGGACTATGACCCTGTACCAAACACTGCGATTACCTCTGGCCCCATGTATGAGAATGCCACGGTTAGTCTGGGTCAATTTAACAAAGTCTTCGCCTCCATTCCCCAAAGCTTCGTCGACGAGGAGCAACAAGGGCCTGCCGTGTCGTCGTATGACTGGGCGGGCTTCCTGGTTGCTCGCTTGTATAAGCAAAGGGAGAATGGGGTTTCGTCGCTTGATCCCGAAGACCTAATTACCATGTCGGAGACGGTCTACCAGTGGGTGTACAGCACCTACTTCTCTCTGTGGGGACCGACCTACCTTGAGCCGCTGGAGCAACCATACACTGCGACCAATGCTACCGTCTACTACAGTACTTGGACTATGGTCCCGTCTGTCCCATCATTGACCATCGCGCTGTCTATCATCGCGCTGGACACGCTGGTCGTGTTGGTCGTGTTTGGGACGCGACGGGGTCGGTTCAAAGGGCCACGGATTCCGCGATCCATTGGATCCGTGATTCCTTGGATTGCAAACAGTCGGATGCTGAGCGACTTCCGAGGGACGTATTCATGGACCAGCCTCCAGCGCCGGGATTACCTGGAGCGATTAAATAAACGCTATGCATTCCGTATGTTTCCGGGATCGGACGCTCAGTGGCGGTTTGCTGTGGACGAAGAGCCGCTGGTGCAAGACGATAAGCCGACTGTCGTTACTGATCCGGGCGCCTTGGATCCCGCGAAGCAGCCCGATGCGATCGAGCTCCGGCCTATTGACAATGATGATACCGGGGCGCAACGAAATCATGAGTAATGTGATATGACCTACCTGTATTATAGCACGGCGTCCTTGAGTTTTGGTTAGACAGGATGCTGATGCTCTTGTATGTGACGTTATGTATTGCATGTGTGGGACTTCTGTACATATAGCATGATAATATATGGACCACATAATTTGACATAACGAAGTGAAAGACGAAGGATGTTCTCCGTATGTTGTACACTATCGACTAACGCCTGGGGGGAGTTTCAAGACCCCCATCTACCCTCAGTTAACTTTTATACAACGGTATCACCCACGGTTCTAGTACTTGGTCTTCTACAAAGAGTCAGCAGAGACAGCATGGGCGGCGCAGCCATAGTTATGTGGGATGAGGGGCTATATAGCGAGTGGTGGGATCGAGGAGCTCGTCTTCGGTATCAATCTTAGCTGGTTGAAGTGAAGTCTATATTCCAGCGACGTCTCGCTCTATGTAGCCTACACGCAGTTTGCGCCCGCTACCCAAAACTCTCGGTATGGAGAACTTAAGCCCTTCGCCTTCAAAAACGAGTTGTGGCACAAGATAATCAATGTGATTCCGTAGTCCAGCTAAACAAATGCTCTATCCTGTGCTGTCTTGCAACAATGCGTCAAAAGGCCTCATGTCAATCACTACGCCTGCTACTCCGTAACCCATGCTTCGATCATGCGGTCCACTTCTTGTACTTCCTCACATCCCTCTTGAAGACCTGGGTCGATCCCCCAAGCTTCTTCAGTTCCGGTGTAAGCACCTTGCCCTTGTTCGGGGGTCCGTTAAAATCGCCGCTGTTGCAGGCCTCATCGATACCATTGCACTTGGTCATCCAGATGTCGCAAGCAGAGATGCCCGTGGGAAGAGCGGTCTTGTAGCAGACGTCACTTTGATCCCAGCACTTCTTTGATGACTAGGCAACGAGTTAGCATTGTCCATGAAAAAGTTTTAATCTGAGAAGGAAGAACATACAGCCCAGCAACCGTTCTCATCACTATAGTCAGGAACCTCAAACCCACACCAGTTATCACGCTGCAGGATACAACCGGCCGGCTTGAGACCCTTGTTCTGAGCAGTAGCAGCCCTCTTCTGGGCCGGACAGACCGACCGCTCCTCAACACCTTTACTCTCATAGACAACCGGCCCAGGGATCGGATAGGGCAGCTGCAGGGGTTTCTCATAGATATTGTACTTTACACCAGGGCTATCCAACGAGTAATACCCCTCGCCAATGCTGACAGTCTCGGGCTTCGCACTCCCACCACCCTGCACAAAGATCTGGGCACAGTTGACATAGAACTGGGGATCGGGCGGAGCATCAGAGGCAGCATGCAGCGCCAACAACTCCGTTCTCACTAAGTAGTAACCTTGCTCGATATCCGAGGGGACCCGCACAGACAGGAATCCGTTATTGTCGATCAGCTTCTCCGTGCACCACTTCTCGGTGCTCTCATCGTAGCCCGTGTGCCAGATCTTGAACCATCCATCACCTGCAGCATTGTTATCGGCTGTCGCATCGTCGACCTTCTTCATGTACACGGCGCAGGGACCCTTGTGACTGATGTCGATGGAACCCGGCTGGGCGCCGTCGGCCCATGCGCGGAATTCGAAGGTCAGGAGGGAGTTGGCTTTCGCGGGGCACACCCGGGAGACGGCTTTTTCACCATCCTTGCCTATTATTCCGGATTGTGTTAGTTGATATGGTTCGGGCTTTATCGGGGGGTAGTCATGGGTATCATCATAGTCCATACCGCAGGCAATATCCTTGCTGGACAAGGGCTCGATGGGGTATGTGACGGTGTTGGCATCGCGGTTCATGCGGACACAGGTGCCATCGCCTTGGTTAACTTCGTCCACGTAGAGTGTGGTGAAGGTTGTGTGGCTGAGCGCCAAGGGAGCGAGGAGGAAAAACAGGGCTGATCGGAACATCTTTATCTGGATAGACGAAAAGGAATGTAAGGATTCAATCACAGATTGACAGTTGAATGACGTTTGAAACGTAAGGAATGAATAAGTGAGAACCTGCCTCAAGCAGGTATGCTAGAAAAAGAGTGACTACAAAGAAAGGAATGACTTGAAGAAATGGAAAACAAGAAGTGCCAGGCACTGAAAGAGATGACGGTGAGGTTATATAAAGAGATTCCACTCTGCACAAAGACGACCAACACACTGGCGGACCCTATCCACTAACCGAAAAGCCCAATTGAACCCTTAATAGGATTAAAGCAGGCCATCCATGAGTCCAGTCGATCAATTAGATTGCTCGGCGCTTACCGAGAGATTAGCAGCGGAGATCAAATCAACCAACCCTTGAACGCCGACGGGTCCGATCGAAGTCCAGATTCGCTGAAATGCCGTCGGGTAATCCGCCCCCGAGGGTCTTTCTTGGCTGTTTCAGAGCAGTGGTGGCGTTCGCGTGTTCTTTGTCGCTGTTGGATTCGGTGGAAATTGACGGTGGAGAATGTTCGCTGACAGACAGGCACCGGTGAGGGTTAATGAATGCAGGGCCATCCAGTGGTTGTCTGCCCTGTTAAATGAGTCCGTTTCACACTGAGTCAACTCCCACTGGATCTGTTTAACATGCATGAAGCCGGTTTTGTGAGGGAATTGAACCGGCAAACATGCTCTATCATCTGTGTACCACAAGTGGAAGGACTGTCTATTGTTCACCTCTGTGCTTGTGCAATGTCACCAAATATAGCATACACAATAATGGCATTATTCCATGCGCACACAGGCAGTGTGACGACAGTGAGTGCCGTGTAGTGGATCACAGCTAGGGCCATGTTGCATTCGGATAGAGTCTTGGCTTCCACTCTCGTCCGCTGAAACATCCCAATCTGATTGGCTCACCAGTCTTACCGGCATTGGAATCAGGGCTTTGGTTCAGGTACAGATCCATTCGAGTTTGGAATGGGAATCTTTCGGGATTTATCCCGTTTTCTTGGCTGCTGTTGTGAACACACAGTCGTCGCACTTTAATATATGCATGAACAAAGAAATCTTTCCCCAGCATTGGGGTACAGGATCACAAAGAACATGGCATAACAAACTTTCCCATGCTCTATTTTTACCACTGGAACTGCCCTCTGCAATACTGAGTCATCACAATATCATATCGGGTCACCTCGGAGAATTAATTACTTTAATCCTATTCCATATAAGCAACCAGGATAAACCATAACCGAACTTTCTGATAGAATATTAGACGCCGGTGATCTCGCATGGTGCCAGAAACTTCTCAGTAGGCGCTCATGTCGTTTACACTTGGCAGTCAGAGAACATATGAATAAGGGGTTATTTTCAGCCACAAAGGATGGGTAATTTAGATCGCGACCACTAGCCGCGACGACTTACTTGATGACTGCAGGGAAGGATCAGATCGTTGATATATAACGGTCGGAGATAACTATATGCATCCTCCTTGGGGTAAGAGATAGTCAGCTGACCGGGTTCTCCAGTCTGGACTCGATTATCTTTATGTCCGCAGGGTTATTCATGCGAGATTGTGCATTCTTCTCGATTCAATTATTAGTCTACACTCTATCTTGAAAACAGAAGGTGGTACATGGTTCCCAAGGATATTGCAAGCCACATTTCAGAGCGATGGGTTTCAAATCCACCTATTCTTGTTGTCCGTAGGGCAGCACAGAGATCGTTCACACATTTCACCAGACTTAATAACCCAATATAGTTGACCTGACTTGTATAGGAAGATGCCAATTAGGATCTTAGTGCACAGTTTAGAGCTCATAAATAAAATACTTGATACTCGTATCGACGACGGACGGAAAGTAGGAACAATTTAAATGGGCTAAGGATGGTGATAATCAAAACAAGCCGACCAAGGAGGACATGTGGTGAGCAGTCGAACGATGCTAAGATGGTCCTTATAGTTTGCTTACTGACACTCCTGGATATAGTCCGAATATAACTCCAACTCATCTGTATAGAAAGGTCTCCAAAGTCTCTCATAGACAAAATTTAGCCCTGGAAAGTCTGTATCGAAGCTGTGAAATTTGGCATGAAATGGCCTACCACCAGCAAAACAGAATAGTTTCTGCTATTCTCTTCATCACTTAAATATAGATGTGAGCTGCACGGATTCGGATTGCAAGAGAGAAGATTGTTAATGCCTGAGGCCGAAAGACTAACTAAGCGGCTCGACGCAGCCCCTAAAGAGCTGCATACCACACATAGCTGAAGAGAGCCAGGGCTATGTGCCAGAAACTGATGAACGCCTAATATCTTGTCTCTTTTCTGTGTCACCATCCGCTGGAATACACGACTTTAATCTGAACCAAAGCCAATCATGCACCGGACTTTAAGTTTTGCTGCATTCAATAGGCTTTCCATGACGCGCTCACTGTCTTCAACTACCTTCCTGTCGCCCCGTAGTGCTCAAATCAAGCAACGCCGAACGGTCATGTCTTCATCCCAGTGGACATCTGAACCAAGGGTATTTCCGCTTGCTGGCTTCAGTTTGCTTGATACATCCCTGAAGATTGAGGAGGAGACGTCACCAACATATCATCCCGAGAAGTACTATCCGACCCAAATAGGAGAAGTGCTCGATAATAGGTATCAAGTACTTGCCAAGCTCGGGTATGGTGTTACGTCAACGGTTTGGTTTGGTCGTGACTTGGTGTAGGTGCCACCGTTTCGATCGGTTATTTTGTTTTATTCTATTCTATTCTATTCTGTTTTCCTTTTTTTTTTTTTATGTTTTAGGGTATTCTAACAAGCACCGCACATAGTGAGTCCAAATACATTGCTCTAAAGATCTTCGTGAAGGACAGGGAAAGAAACCATGAACTGGACATCTACCATCGTATCAACTCAGTGGAGTCTGATCACCCAGGAAAGAGATTCATCCGCAAACTGCTCAATCATTTTACTATCGCAGGCCCTCATGGCCAGCATATCTGCCTTGTTCATGAGCCCCTAGGAATCAGTGCAAGCGAGCTGATAAGATGGGTACCTGGGCGAGCAATGTCGCTTGAGGATCTGAAGCCTTGTATACGGCAATTGCTTGTCGTATTGGATTTCTTGCATTCTATAGCTCATGTAATTCATACAGGCATGCGCCACTCTCTTTGAACTTTGGAAACTGAGCTGACTTGCATCTAGATATTCAACTGAAAAATTTACTCCTTCCTACACCGATGCCAAAGGCGCTTTCCGACTTCGAAGAACGGGAAGTGAAGACACAATCAGCAAGGAAGGTCCTTCAAGACCGGACAATTTACACATCATCGCGTTTCCCTCCTGGAGACGGATTGCCTCTCCTGAGTGATTTTGGCGAAGCTCGATTTGGCGACCAGCAACATAGTGAAGATATCATGCCAAACCACTACAGAGCACCTGAAGTTATTCTCAGGTCGAGCTGGGACTACAGGGTAGATATCTGGAATGCTGGCATGGTTGTAAATACATTGAACATATATAACAGTTACCCCGACTGTGCTAATCCTCATTAAAAAGGCATGGGATATCGTTAACCCCTTTACTCTTGTTGATGGAAGGAACCCAGATGGGGTATTTGATGACCGCTTCCATCTTGCAGAATTGGTTGCACTTTTAGGCTCTCCACCACCTGAGTTCCGTCAACGAAGTCACCTTAGTTCTGTATTTTGGGACAACGCAGGTGACTGGAAGGGATTGACCCCGATACCTGACAAGACACTTGAAGGTTTGGCCGTCAACATCAAGGGCGAGGACAAGGAAGGCTTTTTACGATGGCTCCGACGGGCCTTGCAGTGGAATCCCGATGACCGACCAACCGCTCTGGAACTCCTCTATGATGAATGGATGATGAAGGGACTGAAACTGGGAAATAAGACTGAGAGTTGAGATGTGCATGTTTTCGGCCGTTCATCTGCGCAGATCATAAAACCTTACTGGGGATGTCAACGACATTATATTCTGGTCACTAGTGACATACTAATATCAAATCAATGAATTTAAGCTCTGCTATTAGAGCTGTTCCTGTTCATTTTGCTTAGAGTAGCTCATAGGGTAGTTAGTGTCTTCTGTTACCCCATCTGCTGGGTCACAACCAGTCAATTTGTTTCAAGGAGCACTTTGGACTCGATAAGCATGAATCGTTAAGGCCCTATGACGCTGCTGGGTCCAGAGAACATTTGACGGCTGAAGCAGACTAAGTTGCATACAATGAGCTTGACTGTTCACGCGACAGTCCGATGGTCACTGGACGCTATGTAAACCTCGGCAATTGTCCAGCGACCACACACTTTAAATATGAAGGATCATTCTTTACTCCCTTCAAATCCCGGGTCAATTAAGCTTTTGATTGTTTCATCAACATCGCAGTGGAGCAGAGTCGAATACTCCACCTATGACGTCTATCTTGATGACTTATTAATGCATAGTTATGCCAGCGCTCTGTTAGGACAGCATCTCAACATGAATTGAAACGCGAAATGACTGGACCTGTCACATAGAATATGTCTAAAACAGTCGAAGAGTGAAATTTCAGGGCGGTCGTTCAGAGATGTCTCAACTTGATTGATCAAAGCTCATATTGTTAGAGGCTGACAAAAGAATCTGAAGGATTTGGACTCTTCGAACATCTCATACGACGTAACACTGCCATGTAGGCAGCTCAATGTCTCGTCCACTATTCTGCAATTGGAGAGACTGCAGCCATCCTCCTTTGGAGATGGCAAAGAGTCTTCCTCGGATATAAACAGTATAACAACCTACCGAGGACACTACCCGCAGATCCCATTAATATAAGGCACTGTTGATGTGACGGCAAGACCGTACAGATTGTGCTGAAAGTGGAGCTACCCATGAAACGCAGTAGATCTACCTCCATTGTTGATCTGAGACTTAAGAATTTTCTAGCCTTAACTCAAATAAGATTAAAACTGCCGTATCAGATCCAGCCCAGTCGAGTCATGCTCCCGTAGTTTTCCCTATTGGTAGAATCTCTCATCCTCGGCTCATTGCTGCTTGGTTGCAGGCTTTTCGTCATGGCGATTCGGCATTTAGGGGCAATCAGCATTGCTGAAAACTTAGCATTGCTCTGAAACATGTATACTCCGGAGTATGGCCGAAATAGGCTAGTTGGTGAATGTCATGTCGATCAGAAATCAAGGCATCGACTGTGTGAGGTAGGAGTTAGTCATGACGGTTATAATGGCCATGTATTATGATTAAGGGGCTGAGTCAGTATGTGTTTAGGCAGAGAAAATATTGATGCATTATAGGTCTCACGGAGTGAGAATCAATTAGGCTAAATGCAGTGCTATAGAGTACTACTCCATGCAAAATCATATAACAGAAACTGAGCGTGGTTCTCTAGAGAGTGTGAGGTGGAGGAGATGTATAGGTTACGCCCTACCAAGGCAAAAGCCCGTTCGACCGACTCCCCAACATAACTCGGATATCATGTCGATCGAAAGAACAACCCAACAAATGGTCCTGGCCTTTGTGGTAAGACATACGATGGGGTTAAGCCTACCGGGAATATCTCGGGAGATTGATTAAGTACACGGAGAAATCACCCGTTTTGGGAGTCGATGCCATGCCTGATTTTTGAGTGATCGCGGCTAAAGCCCTAACTAAGCCTTAACTCCACATCAATCCCTGAACCAGTTAATCTACCGCAAACACTTGACAGCCGTTGGAGCAATCAGCTGCAAGAACCATGTGCTATATTTGTATCGAGTCAGTCACAGAGTTATTGACCCAGTGATACCTCACATCGCCGATTAATATCATTTGAGCCCGCGGCTGAGCCGGAGCGTAGGGCCTGTCGCACTCTGAGACAAACTTGCAAGGCTCCTTCGAATTTAGCGTGAGATTGATCGGCCGATAACCACGCACCGTTCATCCTTCCAGGAACTGTTCCCTGATTCACGCACCACTAACATTGTTCTTGGTATGGTTCGAGTTAGATCGGCATTCTGGATTCGGTAGAAAAATCCCGAGCAGTCTCTCCTATGCATAGCATACACACAATGCGAATTGTGCGAGCAATGCCGCACTGATTCATGATTTAAGTATGTAGAATGCTAAAATACTCCAGCCAGAATTTAAGTAAATTCAGTGGCAGATATCATCGGGGAATTGACCGTTGAACGCGCAGTGCGTCTCGAACGTCCCTGGGGTACTAGGTTAAAAACAGTTTAATACTAACAACGACCGATGCCAAAACCCTCAGGAAGGATGAAACCGGACCCACTGTCTTAACCATAGATCCTCCCCCGAATACGGAGGAGCACTATACCCATGTAGCCAAGGCATCAAAACCTTATCCCTGTCGCGATGCTGGGATAGTATGGGAAAAGGGGTATAAAAACCCTCATCCTCGTCCGCATCTTCAGGAATTTGTCTCGTCCATCCCAGCGGATCCAATCCATTCTTTCTCTACCGTTCATTCCCATCGACCGTCATTCGTTATCAGAGCTGTGCTCTTGTCATTCTTTGAATCATCAATCTCCTCCGAAACAAAGCAAAGATGAAGGCTATCGCGGCCCTCGCTCTCGTTGGCGGTGCTCTCGCTGCCCCGACCAAGACGGTTGAAAGCCGTCAGCTCCCAGGAATGGGCTCCCTCCCCGGCCTCGGTAGCTCCTCCGGTTCTTCCACAGACAGCGGCTTGGGTAGTCTCGCTTCTCTGTTCCCTGGTCTGGGCAGCTCCGGCGGCAGCCTCCCCGGCCTGGGTTCTTCCTCTGGCAGCAGCCTCCCGGGACTCGGTGGCTCCTCCACCGGCAGCGGACTTGGAAGTCTCGCCTCTCTCATCCCGGGACTCGGTGGCTCTTCCACCAGCAATGGTCTCGGCAGCCTTTCCTCCCTTATCCCCGGTCTCGGCGGCTCTTCTTCATCCGGCAGCGGTATCCCCGGCCTTGGATCCAGCACTGGTAACATTCCCGACCTGAGCAGTTTGCTAGGCGGTTCTTCTTCTGGTGGCTTACCCGGATTAACTAAACGTGCTTCGATTACAGAGAACGGAGTGACTCAGAACTCCGGCTGTCAGGAGCTGACCTTTATTTTCGCCCGCGGAACAAGTGAAATGGGAAACATGGGATCGGTCGTTGGACCCCCCGTCGCCAATCAGCTGGCCTCTTTGACCGGAAACAAGGTCACCGTGCAGGGTGTTGATTACCCTGCCGATGCTGCTGTATGTCATACTTTCTCCCAATATTTCAAAATAATCAAGCCAGACAGATACTCACGGAGAAAAACAGGGAAATGCCATGATGGGCGCATCGGGTGGACCTAAGATGGCCGAGCTCATCCAGCAGGCCAAGAAGCAGTGCCCGAACACCAAGATCGTTCTGGGTGGATACTCCCAGGGAGCTATGGTCGTGCACAACGCTGCCAGCAAGGTCGGCGCCGATGCCATCTCCGGTGCTGTTTTGTTCGGTGACCCGTTCAAGACACAGGGTGTTGGCCAGCTCGCCTCCTCTAAGGTGAAGGAGTACTGTGCTTCTGGGGACCCCGTTTGCCAGAACGGTATGAACTTCATGGCTCACCTGTCTTATGGTTCCAATGCCCAGGAGGCCGCTCAGTTCTTGGTCCAAGCGGCTGGCCTGTAGGGTTCGAGCTAAGGGTCTTGTGTCACTCATTATGATTTCACTCTTATATGTGAGGGATGAATGGATCGGAGCGCTGGACGCTGGTTTTACGATGAGTGGCAGGCAAATAAGTCTCTTGGAGAATCTAATACATCTGTGAATGAAACATCAATGAATATTATTGTATGTATATTAAAGGACCTTGTAAGGACACCGGGCTTGACTATATACTATACTGTACAAGAAGAAATTGATTAATAGATCTTGAAGCCGCCCGGCATCAAAGTCTGGAAGACCTGGTTGGGGTCGTATTTCTTGGCAATGGTCTGCAACTTGGAGACGTTCTCCTCGCCGTATCCGGGGAAGATGGACTGGAATCCGGCAGCATCACCCATGTAGTTGAATGCGTCATAAAGGCCGGCCTTCTGGGTGGCATTGTTGATCGCATAGGTGGTTTCCTCCACCCACTGAGCGACGATGTCGTCGTAGCTGGAGCCAATCCATTCGACAACCTCGGCATAGCAGAGGTAGATCTTGGATGAGTCCAGTCCGAGAGCATTGCCACCCTTCTCCTCCGAGGCCTTCATCCAGTCGGCACCAATGGGCTGCCAGTCCAGCTGGATGGTGGAGATGTTGGCGGCGGGGATCTGGTCATAAAGCTTGGGTAAGTGCTCGAAGAAAGTGGTGTTGATGATGGTGATGCCCTGAAGCAGCTCGGCGTAGGTGGTACCGACGACAGTGCCAGCAACAAACACGTCGCTAAATAACGTCAGTCACTGAACTACTTTTTGGACAACTACAGGTGTTTAAACGTACTTGATGTGAGGGATGACCATGGCTCCAGTCTCGGCAGCGAACTCCGACAAGGTCTTGAAGTCCAGGGTGCTGCTCACGGCGGGGATATCGGTGAAGGGCTTGAAGATCTCGGGATAGCTGGTATCCTCACTATCGTAGAAGAGGATGACCGAAGCCAAGAGGTCGTCACCGGGAACCAGCGCCGGCACAATGTGAGTCTTGGGGTCCGAGATATTGGATGCATAGGTAGCCGCAGCCTACGCGTCGTTAGAACAATATCTAGCAGTCTGGAATGCTGCGAACGTAACATACCTCTAGGAATTGGTCTACATATTCCGAGGACACAGTGTGGGTACCAGCCCAGACCTTGGGCGACTTGATAGTCTCCAAATCAAAGCGAGTGACCAGACCGAAGTTGCTGCTGCCTCCCTTCAGGGCCCAGAACAGATCGGAATAATTGGTCTTGTTGGCTTGCACGATGGAACCGTCGGCCAGGACGATCTCGTAGTTGACGACGGTGTTGCAAGACCAGCCAACCTGGTTACCATAGAAGTTGACACCACCGGCCAAAAGCAATCCGGGGACACCGACGGGGCCCAGACGGCCACCCGCCGCGGCGAGGCCATAATCGGCGAGATAAGCGTAGACGTCCTCCCATCTAGACTCACGCAATTAGTCTTAGATAAAGTTTTCCCCCTCACTATGAATAGGGCATTCTCACCTGTGAGATGGGCCGACCGACACGATCGACTGATCGCTGGACAATTCCAGAGTGGTCAGGTTGGACATAACAATGAGCACACCATTGTCGATATTGTTTGAACCCTAGAATGGATTAGAACTGCCATATTTATGCCGGAAAGATTTCCCACGTACCCGAATACCCATATGACCGCCGCCGCGCACTGCGAACTGGGCGTTGGCATCGACCAGTGCCTTCACTCCTTCGCCCAATTGAGCGCTCGATTGCGGGCGGAAAACACATCCGGGGCTCATGATTTCCGTGTTGGACCAGAAATTCTGCGCTTCATACTCGTAAACAGCGCTGTCCGGGTAGAAGAGGGCACTGTTGACCTGTCCCTTGAGGGCGCTGCAACCGCCGGAAACCGAAGAGGCCTCAGCCAAGAGAGAACCCGCCAGGGGCAGAATAATAGAACCGACGCGCATGGTGACAGGAAAGAGCTCTGCTCAGTTGATCGAACTGAACTGTAGTTCCGGTCGGGGGAAGCGAAGGATTAAAAAGGCCGGTTCAATATCGAGCCAAGGTGGATACATGATTCAGGGAGCCGTCGGCTGGAGAAATGACCGTTACTGGAGACTCCGTCCGGACCGAGTCATGACGCACCGCGCAATTCAGGGAGGAATGAGCAGTTAGAAGGTAGAAGGGAGAACATTCTTCATGGTGGAGAACATCGGCAGTGCCCATGTGCGCGTTCCTGAGATTGCCAAAGGGCGCCGTTCGGTCCAAACCCATAAAAGACGCACTTATGCGGAGATTATTGGTGGACTGGGCCAATGATAATCGGCATTATCATCGGCGGAAGGGCCTACTGCAGTTAGTCTGGGAGATTAGTTGATATTAGCAGATCTCTAGCAGCATTTCTACCTGCTCTAGCAACCAAACTAGTAAAGTTCGCTGAGAGGCCCACTCAAGCTCAGGTTCCGAGGTTCGAAATTCAGTAGTCGATTTTTTCTAGTATTTCTAATAAATTATAAACAATGCACATCCGAATTTGTTGTTTGTTCTTTGCCGCCGATTAATAATGCATGGTCGCTTCGTAGTCGTTTTTGTCGTCCCAACACCGATGAAGTTATACAACGTTGCCACCCACCAACTCCTGAACGCGACGCTATAAAAAAAAAAAAAATGCTGAGTAGGTATTAAATTCCATGAAAACATTAGGAAAAATTAAAGAAAGTAGAAAATTACCTCCGGGCACTTGAGTTCTCCACGTCGAACTCAACCGTCCGGACAATGCCAATGCCATCGACGCTCTTCGCAGGCATTTCTGGATATTGTAAGATATGTTCTTCGCTCCCATTGTCAGCCGCTGGCATAACTGTCGTCGTCGTCGTGTGGGTCGAATATTGGTTACTGCGAGCATTCGAAAAATCGGGTACGTTGGCGCGAGGAACGGAGCCCAGTGGAAGGCCGTACTTGCGAGACGACGAGTCATATTTGTAACCATTCCCATATGATAGACCCAGAAGATGAGGAAAGTAACGACGAACGAAGGGGCGCACGGCTGTAATGCAACCACCGGTGATTCCAAGGTTTAACTCGATCGTACACCACATCAGGGCGTCTGTCGTGCTCCCTACAGGGCGAAACGTGTTAGCGAGAGAAATATCCATGGCTGGTCCGTCTGGAGACACTTACAGGTGAGATCGGGGCTTTTGAGAAGAGTGTATAATGTTGATAATCGGATACAACTGACGACGCCAACACTACAATACTGTGAGTGATATTCTTCATGCCATTGATATTGCGATCACTCACAAGCATCCCATTGCTAAGATGCAGCTGACCGCGATCTTCTGGCGTGTTGGCATCTGCAATCGACGTAACCAGGGGCTGTCGGGGGAAACAGTATGTTAGCATTCGTTACAAAGAGACTGTAACTGATAGCGAGCGAGCGAGACTCACATGGGCACAATCACCGTCGCGAAATCTGTAAATATTCCCAATCCAGCATTGGCGAAATAGAACACCGGCCGGTTCATACAGGTACCGGCTTTGGTGGGATACCACGCTTTATCAACGGGGGTACAACTGAGAACATTGGCCAGGACACTGGCCACGCTGTATCCGGCTGCGATGAAAACGATCGCCCAAACGGCGCGGTGGAAATTGCGACTAGGGAAGATGCGCATATAGAAGACAAGAACGGAAACTTTAGTAAAACCAGTCCCGGCGCAGTAAAGGATGGCGGCAATGACGTTTAGCTTGAGAGGCTGTTAGTGTGCGACTGGTGTGTATGCCGGAGATGATCAATCGTACTTTCATAAACCATGGTGACAGATATTCGGCCGGGACGTCCCACATGTGTCTTCCCAGACCCCAATTTAACACTATTTGCGACTGTCAACCACCCTATTCTAACCATGTCTTCATTGACGGTGGGGGAGTCTTACTCTCCAAAGTGACTCCGGTCATGGCGGCGGATAGAAGCTGCAAAGAGCGAAAGAGGTCGCATTAGTGGGTTTGTTACGATGACGGTTGAACCGCAATGATACTAACGTACCAGAGCCATGATCATAAGATCTGGTCTTTCTGTTAGTAGATGTGAAGCTATCAGTGTCAACGAGAGACTCACAGTCATCCCAGCGAAAACTGCGCACGATAAACAACCGTGTCCATGTCCGGATCAGCAGCGCAATAGTTGCGATTGGTAGAAAGACGCAATTGACGACAAGGAATTTCGTCCCAATGTATGGGGGGTCAATGAAGTTGGATGTCTTTCCTGCCGGCGGCGACATCGCCGGTATTATTGTGCTGTCCGCCATGTTTGTTTTACCAGTCTCTATCGGAGAGACTCGCAATGAGTATCCTTCATATGGACGATCTTGACGGACTCTTTACAATACGATGAGAAAGGAAAGGGCGGTTACGGATAAGATCTTGCTGAATTCATGGGTAAAATTAAGGAAGCAAAGAGATTACATTATTGCAGATGGGCGCCTATGGTTACCTTTATTCATCCTTGGCCCGTACTAGGTTATTGGCTTCTGCAGACTAAAGATAACTTTTTAATATAGCATACGCTTAGACTGCAGTCCGAGACCATGTGTCTGGGTCTCGTAAAACTTTGATTAGTATTCAATGACGTCTAAGACTGCTGTCTGGGGAAGCTTTTAGGTGAAATGATAAGTCCATTCGTGAGCAGTATACTTTTTCGAGAAATCTTCTCCTCCCCGACACTTTCCAGATCTTCACGCCATGGTACACAAGTGGTTGAATCGTCGTACCTGTGAGCAAGGGCCAATCTGACATCCATCACAGGGGGTGTCCGGAATTCAGAATTCGACTTTTAGCAACTGGACATTCACATTGTGTCACCCACAAGGTGGATCCAAAGGTACTTGAATTCTTGGAACGGGGCTGAGGCGAGGGGTGAAAAGCGCGGGAAGTGGAGGGTCAGGCAAACAATAGGACTGGCCGTATAGCCGGGTCAATACCTTTACTGTACTCCGTCTACTGCACAGGTGGCGTCGCCTGTCGATATCTCAAATCTGGATAGTCTCGTATCCTAGCGGATTTGATCGACACACACTATCGTGTTACGACAGGGATCATGGAAGCCACCTGGCTGGATATCCAAATCTTGGGCTTCCTTCGAGTCTTCGACGACCTTACACGTTCTCTTAGCTAAACCTAATCTCTATTCATGACAGACTCGACGCGTGGGTCGGAGATTCTTCGACCGTGTCTGAGCCAGCGATTCGGTGGTACCCCGGAAAGATGCGTATGCCTTCCCTATACATTTAGCCACGAGTGCCTGTCCTTAAGCGGAATTGCAGTCTCAACTCCGGACATGCCCGAATAGATTGGTCTCCAGAATCCCCTCCCTCTATCAGTGACATTATTCCTTCTTGGGCTTAAGGCTACACAAGTATTGCCGAGGCCAATGCCGTGTCTTAGAACGTAGAAGATAGCAAATCTGCCGATTAGAAGAGAGTCCCGTTTTGAGAATACCTGCCAAAACGAGTCACGAGTATTGGTCCTAGTGTAATGGCGCGCATGAACATGCGAGGGTGGTGGGTTTTGTCCCCTCTTTGCTAGACTTGGCCTTCATTGACCACTATGGCACTATGGTCACTTGGCATCCCGGGCTGCTGCACCAGCCTGACCGGTAATCCCCCTTACTTCAACAGTTGCCACAAGTTGTACAGTATTTACGGGGTCGAGATGATCTCGCACAAGCGGAAAAAAACACGGGGAAATCATTAGTCGGAGACCCGAGCGTGACAGTCTCAGCCCTGGTTCCATTCACGTCGGCAAATCTTAAGAAACATGGTTTGCATTAATTTTATTTTTGCCACCGTTTCCTCAACTCCTGTCGATCAAGCTGTCTTTCCCAAAAGGATCTTCAGATAGGAAATTTCACTTGTTATAAGGAGTGGATCTTGGAGCCAACCCAGAGATTGGGGACCGGAAAAACTTCCTATGGCTCGGTTAAACATTTCATTAGCCCTCAAAGATCCACATCGTGTGCACGAAGACGCCACATCACTTGCACTATTAGACAATTAATCTGTTATGCTTTTCACTAGTCTTTTTGCAAAAAGCTGGAAGTTAAGCGAGGGGATGCAGAATTCTTGAAATGGATATTTGCTGCCATACTTGAGCCATCTCAGCACCCTCACGCGAGTTTTTTTTTTTTTTTTTCTGGGGAGGGGGGATATATCGCATAGCATAGGGTCTCTACCTGAGTGGCATATTCAACTATTGACAGGATAGATGTGACCAGCAATTTATTGTAAATCTAGTCATATTTCCTAGCGTCTAAAGCGGCTGCTAGCTGAATAACTACGTACCTGTATGCCGGTACACACTAAAATGGCGCGACAAAACAAAAGTCTTGTCTTCAGGAAAGTTTCTGAAGAAAATAAATTAAAGCCCCCTTCAATCAGCGACTGACAGCCATTAGCCGGTAAACCCGGCGCCGAGCAATGCCGAAGCCAAACTGGCTGCAGAACTTCTTAAGTTCTTAGCAAGATATAGACTTCACGCAATGTTGGTAGCGTGGCGTCTAGGCCACTATCCGACATTTGTGTAATTTACTAGGCCAGGTAAATAACCATGGATTGCAGTGCAGCTGTATTGGACCAGTCAGCCATGGTGTTAACTGCTATGGAATTATTTTCCGCGCCGGCTTCGCCACTGAATATGCTAGGAGGTTCGTATCCGCAGTTCTCTACTCCGTATGCTTCGATGCTTCGATGCTTCAATGCTTCTACCAATTTACTGGATCAGGAACGTCTTGAAAGGCCAATGTTCACTAATCTTTGCTTGTGCGGGGGTGCAACGTATTGCACAATCACTTGTGTCCTTCTTTATGGTTCTGCCTAGAATTCAGGACGCCGGATTCCGTCGGCCATGGTTGGTTTCATTTTGATGGAACCCCTGTCAAGAGAGCTTATTAGTGCTACATTACACTGTCTCCACGAGGACCTAAACTTTCGTGTTGCCTAGTCAGATCCCCACATTTGCACCGTGTCCGCTTGATAACATCTGTGATTACGGAGTGCTATTTGTCCTGTTCTTGATTTGATACTCAGTAAATATGGGGCATGTCATTCTCATGTCTGAACCAAAATATGCATTGTCCTCATTTACATACACAGCAGAGAAAGTTAAGAGAGCAAAGGTTATGAAATGCGACCCCCGTAACTCCACGCCAAGTCGTCTATATATTTCATGACTCGACCTGATCCTGGAATCGCTTCATCGGTCCATACCGAGATGTCACAGCCCGTAACCGTTTACCCCAGATAAAAAGAGGAATAGCGAGTAAGATACTAGCGACCTGAATGGCCATCATCTCCCCAAAGACAGGGGCGGGACCCTGACGCTGAATCCAGTCGGCCGCATAAAGGGACAGCAGCATACCGATGGTATTGCGCACAGTAAAGATAACGACCAAAGCTTCGCCGGTAATCTGTTCAACATTAGTCCCGTGGGTCATTTTAACTAAAGCTATGAGCTAAGCAATTGGGGGGAGAGGGCACACAGACCGGCCTGTAACAATCTAGGGAGTAAGTCACTGCCACGTTGGAAATGGCCGCTACGCCAAATGCCTGCATGGCGTATCCGAACGCCGCTCCGATCCAATGGGTTTGATGCGCGATGCAAAGACCGAAGATCAAAATTCCGCTTGGACCAATGACGCCAGGGATTACGATGGCGGGGAGTCGATACTCCGGTAGACGCGGCCCTCCTTGTCGGTTTGTATAGCGAGTGGAGATAATGTCGATCAATCGCCCACCCAGCCAGAAGGCTAGCACGGAGCCGATGAATCCGGATAGGGAGAGAAGCCCCAAGCTTCCTGCGGGCCAGTTGTAGGGGGGTGCGGTGAATGTACGCGAGGCAGTTAATTGGACGACGATGTTCCTATCGATTTCAGTGAGAAAAGCGATAGATGTGCATTGGTCATGCAGAGGCCATACCATCCGACCGAGATACCAATGGCGAACGCTGCCCAGAGCAGCTGCGGATATGCTACATTGCACACAATATCTGACACTGTTCGAAAGAATGACGCATCCGGGTTATATCCCACTGTCAGGGACATCCACTGCCACGTCTTGCGCTTCGGGGCGAACGCGTTCTTTTGAAGATACGTGGTCTCGCGGACAGTAAAAATGGCAATAACAAATGTCGCGGCCGTGGCGATGGCTAGAAAATAACACATCCATCGCCAGTCCTCTTCCTGAACCAGATATGCGTTGATCAAGGGGCCGATAAAAAGTCCTGCGGTGAGGGCCAAATGGAAGAACATCAGATAATGACCCCGATCCTGCGGTGGTATCATGTCTGACACGACCGCTGGCACCGTCGCGTCTGCGGCAGCAGAGGCAAACCCCGATAAGATCCGCGAAGCCAGCAGTTCCCCATAGCTCGATGCGCGAGAAGACCAGACGTTCATCATAGCGAGAGATAGCATAGACAATAAGTAGACCGGTCGCTTGCCGACGACGCGCATCAGTGGTACCCAGAAGACATTTCCCAAGCCTAGCAGGAAGACGTTAAAGCATACTAGCTCGCCAGCTTGGGTCTGCGAAACGTGGAATTCCTTGATAACTGCTTGAGTCGCGACCGTGAAGTTACTCCCGTTTACGTTGCCGAGGAAGGTGTAGAAGCAGACGGTAAGATATGTGCATAATTTCGCTGCTGTGGACCAGTTCTGCGATTATCGACGTTAGCTCGGTAACCCAAACTCACAGTTTCTTTGCTAACCTGGGGATGATTCGGATCAACATTCGGCTCTTTCATGTCAAGAGAACCTGTAACTCCCCGTTCATCTGCAACAGTCTCGAGATGGCTGATGGACTCCTTGATTGACTCCGACATACTGCGTACTGGGCGAGTCGGATCCACTTCCAAGACAAGCAAAAACGAAGCGTCCGCATGGGCCGGCAGAGGGGCGGGTTTTTAAAAACCCCCGGCGGTGGATCGTCGCTGCACACCGGTCAACATAGTGATAGAGAAGGCGTTGAGGAGGGGCTTGAGAGCAGCAGAGGCCAACATTCTTCGGTAGTCATTGGACGATCGTGGACAATCCGGGGTAACCGGAAAAGCCGAGTCTGGGGACGCGGGTCTCCCGATAGTGATTATAACAGAACACATGGATAGATGTGGAGATTCTTTCGTCATTATATCTTATTTACCTGTGGCAGCTTTTGTCCATTTGCTGCTTAAAGACTGGAATGTCCACTTCTCCACACTTCCCTACATCACGCTTGCCACTCCGATAGTTCGAAACAAGTACTAATTCTTGACTTGTATATAACCTTGTAGACTATAGTAAAAGTGTAGAAGGAAAGACGAGTTGGCGATTTGATTGATCAGATATAAATCTGGTCTCAGCAAACTCTCGAAATACGTGATAGGTCTGAGAACAGCAGGGATATGCTCGTATAGTTTGCAGGTATTGTACTGGGTGTTATAATATATACTAAGTACTTTGAGAGGCATCTGCCGCCATTGAACCGTTCTTGATCGGCCTAGTAGATATGGGAAAAGTGACGTGACGAACATATTTCTAGTCATTTAAGAGCATGGAGAAGTTCGTGCTATACTAATTGAACTATATATAATTGCTTGTGGGGTTTGACGATTGATACTAGTAGCTGGGAGACTACGAACATCACTTGACCACACTGCTGAGTAAGAATTAGACTCTCTCTCATTAAAAAACGCACTCCCACAGGTTATATCTGTACACTCGGAATCGGAGTGATTGCTTATGGGAATACATTCATTGCCTCCAACTGCCAGGTAACTTGGTGATATGACCTCGGACCCGCAGATCATAACCACAGCCGTTGATTGGTCGAAACGTGTACAATATCGAGCTAAACCATATTCGGATATTGAGGGTTTTGCTGACGTTTTCGATTTCCAGGACTATAAACCTACTATATTTGAGTCTAGAACATGATAGGTGACTTCTTAATAACATTATAAGTCCGTGGGTCTAGATCCCACAGCGACAGAACAAACGTGAACTGTCATTCGTGGGTGCGTCTATACCATATCGTTCCCGGTACTTCGGTGTATTCCAGGATTCTTAGCCCGAAGTCCGGTGTTTACGGTCAATGTAAGGATATGGACCGAACTTGGTATAATATATAAAGGTAGTGTTAACCCAGCCTACCTCTGGTCTTTCTATTGTAGTACACACCTTTATCATCTCGAACATTTTCATATACATCTCTTTAAACACTCTCCACCATGGCAACCTCACTGTCGGATCTTACTTCCACCCTCAAGTCCGCGCTGGCAAATCTCCCATCCCCAGAGAACATCAAAGAAGAGGAGCGTATGCAGCTTCTCGGGGCAATCGGTCAGCTTCAGTCCGCATTAGAGACACCGGTCCAGATTATCCAAAAGTACTGTTTTGGGGTAAGAAGATGCCGAAGCTCCTGTGTAACTGAATACATGCTGACCCAAATAGCACTATGGAATTGCCGGAATCAGGGTTGCCCAGGGCATGGGAATCTTCGATGCTTTCGTCACATCCAACGGGGCCGAGATGACTTTCGCAGACCTTTCGTCAAAAACGAAAGGGGACGTGGAGCTTCTCAGTATGTGCCCTGCAGCACTGGAAAGGGTTATATCGAGAAACGGCACGCTTACACTGAGTAGAACGTATTATGCGATTCCTTTGCTCTCATGCCATCTTCAAGGAAACTAGCTCCGAAACATATCGGCCTTCACAGACAGCCATGCTGTTCGGAACTGGATCAGTGCCTGGTGATATGATCAAGCATTTGTAAGTCTAGTCGCCTTTCGCCATCAGCCTAATCCTAACGAAACTAGTCACACAAATATGCAAATGACCTCGAAACACTTTGAATATTTCGAAGCGAGGGGCTACAAGAATCCTTCGGATGCTTATGATGCTCCCTTTCAACTGGCCTATCACACGAACGAGCATTACTTCGACTGGATGAGCAAAAGACCTGAGATACAAAGTGTGTTCAACTCAGTAATGACGGAGTCCAAACGACACTACGGTGTTGAGTGGTTCGAGTTTTATCCAGTTCTGGACAAGCTACAGGTAACTCCAGAGCGAGTTGCCTTAGTTGATGTCGGTGGTGGTGTGGGACATGATATTACAGCACTCAAGGCACGGTTCCCACAATTGCCAGGCAAATACATTGTCGAGGACCTCCCTCAAGTCATTGACGATATTAAAGAGCCGCTCCCCGAAGGAATCAATGCTGTCAAGATCAATATGTTCGAGGGACAGCCGATTAAAGATGCCAAGGCTTACTACATGCGGACGGTCCTGCATGACTGGCCAGACAAGCCGGCGCTGGAAGTCCTGCGTCACATCCGCCAGGCGATGGCCAGCGACTCAATCCTCCTCATCAATGAGCATGTAATGCCCGAAGGTGCCAATGTTCCTGTACTATCCGCAACACTGGATCTCCATATGATGGAGGTCTTTTCCGCCCTCGAGCGAACGGAGAAGCAATGGATTGACCTGCTCGAGAGGGCGGAGTTCAAAGTTACCAAAGTTTGGAAGTCTGATGCGGGCTTTGACACTGCGGTATTTGAGGCTACTTTGGGATAATGGACTTGTTCAATGGGTAAGCGACAGAGGGTTTGTCATCTTTCGCTCTCCTCCGTTCGTGGTTTCCTCCGGTTATACAATGTATCGCGCCTAGTTATGGATAGAATCTTGATGACAATAGAATGCTAATATGTGCCCTGCATCGGGATATCTGCCCTCGGTGATATTATAGAAACATAGTATCACGGCCCTGCTTCTGCAAAGTATTGTTCCTCGTGAGAAGGTATCAGGAGTTCGAACTTGTTAATAACTATGAGTGCTCTCAGTCGAAAGGTATCAATCCCGGAGGACAGTGTTTGTGGTTCATGGTACATCCTGCAGAATTCTAGAAGCTTTAATCATCGACCAATGTGCAGCACGTTCTGTGGAACTTAGGGTGTCAAACAAGAAGCGAACCAATTCTACTTCGTTATCCCCAATTATGAGTGACAACTCATTCTTGTTCCCTTCCATGAGTTCTCGTTTGAGAGATTCCAAGGCCAATGAAGCAGCTATGTTGGAATTTATCAAGCCCTCGCAATGCGGCCAAGACTGGAGAGCTTTAATTGCTCGTAAGCGCACACGATAGTCGGGACATTTCGATGCCACGACATACAGTCCTGGGATGATGCCATTGTCCAACGTGGTTGTGGAACGCTCCGGAAATTTCGCCATCAGCGCTTCGTGAGCGGATAATAAGGACGCGTATTCAGTGGTCAAATATCCCGGAATCGGCCCGTGGAAAAAGCAGGTCTTGATACTCAAGATCTGAGCCAGGTAGTGCAATCGGATTATTTCCGCCCCTCGTTGTTCCTTCGGGCTGAGCGTGGCATATGACTGTTCGCAAAACAATTCGAATCGCTGCTTATGCTGAGCCAGAGAAGCAAGAAGGCTCTGTTGCGTGAAGTGCATTGAGTCATAGTTGAGTCTGATTTCCGTACTGGAACGCGCCCAACACTCAGAGAGGAATGGAATGCCTTTGGTTAATACGTGATTGAGTTCCCGTCGAGCCTCTTGCACATTGCGAGGTAATGACATTGTATCGCTGTATGACCACGCCTCTTCTCCCTCCTTGTTCAGATGCAAAAGTGGCCCATCCGTTCCGAAATGCGATGATTGTGCGTCCAACCGCACGAAGGCTTCGACCAAAGACTGGTCGATGGCTGATAAGCAGTTTGTGTAAGTCGCTGCCTCATTTAGAATTTGCAGGCCACTCCGGAGATGCCGCAAAGCTGTATTATACTGCCCCAGTAACAGCTCTGATAATGTGAACAGCAGACAGCATACTAGAGTTACCTCTTTGAACTGTGGATCATGAGATGCATGTCGTTTATTGAGAAGAGCATAGGATCGTGCAGACTGTTCGAGGGCGAATCGGTGTCGAGGGCGATATAGGTTGACTCCTGCCAGACGCATGTCATATTCCTCTGAGTCTTCTTGGACCGCACCGAGGACATTCACAGCATGATAGACCGCAGGCTCAGTGTGACTGAGTTGCCTTACAAGCTTTTGCCACAATGGTGAGTCGAAGAAGGAAATCAAACTGGAGATAGAGTGATGATGGAAGTAGGAAAAACATCTTTTCTCGTCCGAGTTCATGATCCAACACAGACGGTTTGCAATGTCAGGCAGATATACATCAGTTCGTTTATGAGGCAGCCGGCACATATCATATCCTTCGCATATGCGACCAGTCGACGTGCAGTTTTGGCAGACGCTACCGGGTGATTCGTCGCATTTGATATGACGAGCACTGTACCAGTGAGCTGTCAGAGCTGCCTCACTGCATCGAGATATGTTAATTGTATTCTTACCGGCAGGTGCGGCAGCCCGTCTTGGATCGCTTCTGCTGGGCTCTACGCCGTCTGGATACTGGCACCTCCACGGGAGCCATGGCAAATCTATAACAAGGTTCCAAAACTGTGACGAAGAAACACACAATCTGAACTGGGCCTGCGGGTAACTGACAGCGTCGCAGAATCAAAATTCAGAAAAAAAAAAGGAGAAGAGGAGGTGGAGAATAACAAGGGTGACCAAGAACAGAAGTGCTCCCTGACTATCAAGGTAACAAATGAATTTGATGAATAGCGCGCCTGAGAACCGCCACTAATACACTCATACCTCAACTAGGCAATATAACGCCCGCTCACAATTGTTGCGATACCATTCGAAGCCGTTATGGAAGAAGGATCGAAGCACCGAGGCTCGAGGGGGACGGTCGGGAATTTCCGAAAGAGCCTCAAAATCAAGCCTTTGGATGGACAGCAAGATCGAAGCATCGCCTTTTGGCCCCCACAATAGTGGCGTTCCAAAAATCCATTCGCCAGCCATGTTAAGGCGCAGATTGGTGGATGCTTTTTGGCCCCTTCTTACAATTTGTGGCTGAAAAAATCAGCTGACCACGGCAACCCCGGTATGTTTATTACGACGTAGGATCGGAGAGCCTGGGATTGGCTGTGCTGAATAGGGCTGGACATCCTCTGCACGCGCTCCTTCGTTGAAGTTTGTTGTTGCCTTGGGAGACCAATATTCCCATGTTGGTTATGATCAGCGAACACTGAAGATTAGGCCTCAAATGGTGTGATCGAGACATAAGCAGGCTGAAAGATCAGTGTACGCACATGTAACGTCAAACGGACGGAATACAACTGGTCAACGAGAGACACAAAAAGGCAGACAGTGGAGAATAGAGATTGCGTTATCTACTAGCTCAGATATACACAGAGACCTCAAGAGGGATCGGATGTTCTCATGCTAAATGACATCACCGACCTGACTGCATTGCCAACGCAATCCTCCGAATCTTTGGGATGGTCCAGCTAGGGTTGAATGAAGGAAGCTTGGTGTTTGCTAGATTGGAAATAACACGTATGGATAGCTGGAGAAAGGTTCAGCTCTACCATACCCCATAGCCTGAGTGATGTTAGAAGTAGGCTATATTCGTTTCTATGTGCAAATTTGCGGTACAGACTGTGCAAGTCGAGGAAGGGTGAAAAAGAGCAAGGTAGACATTGAAGCACGCTTAGAGTACAGTCAAAACAACGCTAAACAAAGTATACAACAGGATGGAAATAACAAAGAATGTACAATTACAGACAAGTATCTCATTCCCGATTCTTGGGCAATTTCACCCAGTATTCACAGAGCTTACCGTGCGCGATTCGTCTCCACTGTCCGAGCTCACGCTGCTCTTCGCCCTGCTCTTTCGCTGTGCCTTTATTTCCCATTCCAAGGTTGTAGGGTTTGTATTCAGGATCATAACGTAATCGGTGAAGTACACTGGAATGAATCTTGGCTGCTGGGGGCAGTGGCCTTCGCAAGCCACGGCCGTGCCATCGGGTCTCCGTGACCTCCCCGTCGGGTGAGACCTTTGGACGCTTGAAGGGCATATACTCCATCATGCGCCAGAAGAGAACCTCGAGCCCTCTCCCAAAATCGTAGCCAAGCGAGTCATGGATCTCGGCTTGTTCGGCAGCTTGAACAATGTCGCGATTGTAGTCATCCACTCTTGGATCGAAGCAATCATGCTTCTTGAGCTGGGTCGGGTCAAATGTGAGATCGGCCATGATGGCCTCCTGCACCATCCACATAAGGGGTATTTGGCTAGCCTTGGTCTTATGAGATGGCCATCCACCCCCCACATCACTGTGATCTCCAGCAAAGTATACCTCCTCAAAGTCCCCCTTTACCTCAGGATGAGGAATCCCGGAGATAGCAGCTTCCCCATTTGCAGCCCATGTGCTGACGTGATGGGTCCTTGCTTTTCTGCCCCCGATGGGTGGTGGATCGAATAGCACGGGCTGGAATTTGATTCTTTTTTCATCAATGCTGACCGCATGTCGCATGATCTTCGGGCTCGGCCGAAGTTCATTGTCCTTACTGACATCGCGGTTGAACTCGGCAACACTATTGACAGTATCGAAAAGTCCGAGAAAATGCACGAGTCCCGGGGGCCGACACATGGTTTCTCGACTGAGTCGCAAAGACGCTTCTGCGTCATCCCTTTCCTTGCCGGGATCCGCAAACTTGTATCGGAGGAACGCCTCCCAAACGAATGGAATGGTTTCTTCGTTATCGGCGGAGATAAGACCTGCATAATCTAACATCTCGTTCAGAAAGCGAGCTGTGTATGCTCCTCGGGAGAAGCCAAAGAGATAGATTCTGGATCCGGGGACCCATCGGCGGGCGAGGAAGCGATAGCCTGAGATAACGTGCTCGTTGAAAGATGTCGCCAGAGCTTGGTCGACAATCTTTTTGGTCGGAAGATTGGTGAAGGGCTGGTATGCTAGGCTTGCAAACGATCCGGCGGTAACGTCGGTTCCTATGCCAGCTATTATGTGTGAGACTGAGATTTGCAGGGAGTATTCAACATAGTCACATACGCTGATAGTAACAATCTACGCCGGTTAGTATATCATAAAGTAGTACTGCATCGTCAACATGACTCACATCTGTTTTCTTTGGTTCGATCAAGCATGCGAAAGATCTTGAGGATATTGGTCTCACTTCCATCTGCACGGAAGGTATTTCCGGTGCCATCGAAGCAGAGAACCAATTCCCGAGTGGGTGCAGTGTCGTCGCACCCGCATGGATCAATTTCTTTAGACATGACTCGGGTAGGTACTATACAGAAAGTTGTGTGATCGATCTAGGAGTGGTAGCAGCACGGATGCTCCATTATAAGGCTGTCATCCAGGGTCTGTGGAGACCCTTTGGTCGGCCGCCCGGATGATCGCCACACGGTCTGATGAGTTGGCGCGCCTTGAAATGCATGGCGGCGGCATCATGCATGGCTGAGTTTGCAGATCCACGCATCATCTCAATAGCCTCGCAGTAGCGCCTTGGGGGCACTGGCGGTGACATCGTACACCGCAACACGTTGCCAGGATCTGCAAGGCCATTTGTCGGGCAACCCAAGGGACAGTTGTGAATAGTCATTCATATTACGGACGCCTGAATCACAATATTAGAACTGCCATTCTGAGCGCGAGATACGCTACCACAAAGAGTATCATATAGCATGGCGGAGTAAGATAGGGTGGCTCAGGCAGGGGCAGAGGGCAACATTCAATTTTCCCTGTGCGCCTTAAACAGCTGACCAATATCCTGCACGAATTGCAAATTTATATAATAATAGAGTTGGGCTTACTAGCTGAGGGCTGCAGGGCGTGGCAGGCCCTACTACCGGGGGTCGTCAGCCCTGTTTGGCATCTGATGCGTCATTGGGTGTCCCTTTCACGGTGCCCGTCCTCCAAATTCTACTGATTTGTGGATTGGACTAAGGCATCCTATTGGGTGAGTCAACCATCAGCCCAGGTCGCTGTGTTTCTGAATGGTGTGGCTGGGTGATGTTCATTGGCTTGGATGATGTAAGATTACAGTGACAGAGCCTCGAATATGACATGTCGCACGCAAGTACTCCCTAAATTAATGCATACATTTACGAATATACCGACCTTTCCCAACACCCCAGCTTCTAGCCTGCTACGGTTCAAGAATGCGTCATTCCTGATTTTGCTGAGAACAGCCCGCAGATATCCACCGGCAAACGCGCTGAGCGTTTCGGTATGAGGATGCGCAGCCCCGGTACATTGAAGATACGACCAACGACTCTTCGGTCTGCGGATATATTGATTGGTGTTGTAGTGGTGTACAGCACTGCCACTATGGCTCTGATGCTTTACGAGTGAAGAGACTTCTCAAACCACAATCCTGAAGAAGATTCTTTTTTACTTCCGATCGGAACAGTTATGCCGAGCAATTGTAGCCTTAGCGTATTTGTCGTCGCTACTGGGTATAATATGTAAGGCGTGTATGATCCCGTCAGTATCCTCTCATGCAGTGGGATGTATGCATGTTATTGTGCTAGTGGACGCCCACAGCTAGGAGTTCTGGGCGCTCTACAAGTCCAATAATGTTGTGTTATGTCTTGATAACGAGTGAATAATTGTCTAATGGTGAGAGGATATTGTAACACGCTGCTTTACGCTTTAGGCACTAATGCCTCTGCAACATGTATGTGGTCATGCTTCATATGCAAGCGTATGTCTTAGGCTTGATACATGAGGCAAACCACAAGGCAACTATCAGGAAGAACGTCACATAATAGTACAAGTACAATAGGAAATATTCGTGCTTCTTAGAATGACATGCAATATCATGGCTCAAATATATGTTTTCAATGGTGGGCCACTTAAATGTAGCCACGAGCCATATCAATATATTAAGATTCGCATTTGGCGGAAGGATGATCAAGGTAGTGGAGAATCTAATCGCCAGGCTAGTAGGTCACGGTTCTAAACTTTCTCTCCCTTTTTACAACTAAATCCCTTGGTGCGGTGAGTCGTCTAATGAGTTACCGAGGTTTTTATCACTTCCAGAGTGATCTACATCTTCAGTAAATATTGTTGACTAACAGAATGTGGTATTCCATATGTGCTGTTAAACCCCTCCCTCAATGCATGGTATCTTCAACACCACAACCCCACCAACACCGTGCTTACTACTACATGCCATTATAAGATACACATGGCCACCAAATGTCCAAGTCATACTCATCCCAGCGGTCGTTATCATTATGTAGGAGTGCCTTGCAGTCACGTCCTAATCGCCCTGCTTCAGGGGAAGCTGCCTCAAACTAATCAGCCCAGAAGTGGCTCCTGCTTGGCGCCCTGCACAGCACAGAGATATGACGCCCGGTCTTTAGTATAGAACTCGACATCGACCTTGTTCCGCAAGTTCGCTTCGCCACCATCCAAAGTACCGGCCTTGATGACAGTCTTGTCGGCCATGAGATCTAATTCTGTGAACAGACTAGACCCACACTTGCTACAGAAGAAATGCCGGTTGTTTTTGCCCGAGGCTCCAGTGACGTCATAGAACGAGGGTTCTCCTGTAGCGATTCTCAGTCACGATGATCGAACATGAGCAGAAAGACCCATAAACATGTATGAGATACATCCAGGATGGGGTAGCTAGGTACCTTTTGTCACTTTGAAAGAATTCCGGGGAACGATCACGTTGGACGTGAATGCGCCACCGGTCCACTATATCTCACTGTTATTCCATGCTTCACGCACTTCGGTCGAGAGTGCAGAAGAATAGCTGAGATTGGAGACCTGGGACATACCTTCTGACAATCAACACAGTGGCACAAAGCTGTCACAAGAGGCTCGGCTGGATTGGGTATGATATTAGTAAAGACATCACGGTAACTAACTAGCGGGGTTAATATGTAATATGTACATACAGTCAGAGGCGTATGCAATTGCACCGCACATGCAGCTTCCTGCTAGGGTCATTATGTCGGTTGTTTGGGGTAGGAGATAAATGATAAATTCCGATCTAGATCGATATTGATGGGGGGATAGAGAAGAATCTTCTGTTTCTGACAGGCCAGCGGGGTGTATTTATGTTCTGTCTACCCTTGTACGACGTCGAACAGTATTACTTCTACCAAGCACCGGATATCTACGGCCAACTAGCAATCACCGAAGGAAATCCTCGGGTGGTTGAAAACTAAGTTATTTCGGCGTTTGCTTGACGTTGACCCCAAAGACCGGAAAGCCGCCCACTTGTTTTCTCTACTAGACTGTAGATAGGCTAACCGGGCTTGGTTAGCGTCTGACTTCCCCCCGACGGAAGGGCAGTTATAGTGCATAGCATGTCGACAATTTAGTGTAGGGTTCGAGGTCCTAGACCCCATATGTACATAATCATATCATTAGTTCTACAGTTTACCACGTAGCATTAGGGACAGTTGTGTCACACGTTGGCTTGGGTTGTCTATGAATGGAAGCAGTTGTGTTCCACCATACATCGATTCACGAATATTAATCGACAAGACCGAAGCACATACGGCGGACAAGCACAGACCTCTTTCGTCTCCACACTTCGGCGATTACAACTTGTGCGATGGCCGATAGTCATGAATGATCTGGCTCACCCCATACGAGAACTTGAACTTTGCTGTAGAGGCCTGAAATACTGCCCGGTGCTATCGACTACGAAATAAAACAAAGGGAACTAAGGGTCTTAGGCTTAGTTATGCATAAAATAAACTCGAGAACATTAAAGCATGCTGTCTTCGACCGGGCCCTGCAGGTGTATTGCATGGATTGTAGGATTATTTTCAACTCTACTATGGTACATGCTTTATAAATAGAAACAACTAAGTCACAACGTAGTTTGCCTCAGTTTGATGAGATCGGTAACTGACCGGGGCCATATCATGGACGCACTCCTTCGCACACGAGAAAGGGAAACTGCATCGTCTTCTTGCCACCATCTTGGCCTGCATTATCGTCCTCCCACCCCTCGATATCTTTATCGAGCTTCCATCCCACCCATACCTTGACTTGCTCGAAACCAACCTCCTTCAATAGGTCTTCGATCCACTGACGCGGAATGCCGTGCCGTTCCACACCCTCCAATTTAGACTTGGGGTGAAACTTGATCGCCTCGGGACCAAAGTCCTCAAAATCTGTCAGAGCTATTCTTCCCCCAGGCTTTAGGCAACCCAGGAGCATGTGGAGAAAAGGCCGAAGATCGGGAATATGATGTAGGACAAGATGCGACAAGGCCAGATCGAACTTTCTCCGACCTGCCGAGGGATGGTTTTCATCACTGGGGGGAAGAACAGGGTCCTCGGGGTCCTCTAGCAACTTGCAAATAGGCACAATATTTTGTGGAGAGCCAGGCTGCGTCGCCTTCGTCTTCAGCATTTCAATCATGCCCTCTGCCGTGTCAACGGCGACAATCTCGCGGACCAGGGGTGCTACCCGCAAGCTCAGTAAGCCTGTTCCACAGCCCACCTCGAGAACATCCAAGCCGGTTCCTGTAGTGGCTTGTTTCTCCCCCGACAGATTCTCGACGACGGGTCGGAGTGTCTCGTATGCGAGGCGAGTCGCCTCTTGGACGGAGGGGTTGTTATCCCAGTTCGCTGCTTCGGCATTGAATCTCTCATTGCCTGCAGTATTTGGTGCATTAGACATCTTGTATATGCTGTAACTTTTGTTATGTTCGTGAGAGGTGTGTTGGTGTTCGGGTTATCCGACGGCTGACGTTCGCCTGTATTTAATGATGATTTTTGGTCGTCGGCTCGGCTATCGAGAAAATGCGGGGTTGAATTTCTATTACTCACCTTGACGCTTGCCCAAGAAAACACTGATACTATTGTGAATAGAGTCATCTCTTACATGTCGGGGTTGAATTAATAGTTACCATTCTACCCTGTCAATGCGAGATAACTGATCCTAGATCCATACCAGTACTGGAATGACATGAGATAGTTTTGCCCGCCATTTCTACGTGAGGGTATCAGTCTCTTAGTATATGAGATGAATAATATCTAAATCACTGCTTCCTCAAGCACCGTTGGCCCCATAAGGCACGGCAGCGGGCACTTTCAAGTATGTTCTCCGTCGAGCCCATTACATGTTCAAACTCTGCTTCCTCGGGACCAGGCTCTTGACCATTGCCAATATCCACAGCACTTTTCACGCCAAACGACTGGGCCGGAAAATACTGATGAATAACCTCGGGCACAACCGAAATACATTTGAGTTGGCCCGCCTTACAAGCATGCATCATACTCACATCGAAGGCCTCGTCTTGCGCCCCGCCCAACAGTTCTACTACTTTTCGAGAGCCCTCTCGGGATAGGGCATATGCAAACGAACAGACGGGATTAACCGACCGGTATATGGCGCGTTGGCGATCCGGCAAACGGTCAATATACGGCTTTGCCCAGCCGAAATAGTCACTGTGTGGGCACGCAGTTGGGTCGTCATATAGAATCGTTTCGAACTGCTCTTCCCAGTACTCTCCGCAATGGCCGATCCAGAGGACCTCCCAGTCTCGACCGTAAGGTGCCGTATCCTGGTCAAGATCATCGACATGCGTTAGGTTGCGTACACTTTCCGCGATTTGCACCATCTGCGACCGGATTGACACGTCCCAGTCTACGTCGTCTTCGATGATAAGGACTGTGTCTAGGTTCGCTTGGATGGTGTGTTTTATTAAATCAAGATGTGCCAGCCAGGCGATACTTGCACCGTGGCTTGGGTGTTCGACATCGTCTGGCCCCAAGTGCTCGAAAGCATGAACAAGATTGGGATTGACCGGCGGCTGAGGTGGAATCTGGATATCCAACCCCGTAAGGCTTGCCGCGGCTAGTAATCCTCTTGTTCTCCAAGAAGGACCAGTGGAAAGTGTGAGGATGGATTGAAACTGTTTTGTTATTAACACGCTGTGACTGAAAGATGTCCATCGAGGTACTGTACTTACACCTAAGGTGCTGTTTCCAGCACTCTGTACGGGAGATTTAGGCGTAGTTGAGACCAGCTCATCTGGTGTTGGTGTCGGTGTCGCTGTCAATGTCGGGACTGGCAGCGAGATCGTCGAAGTCTCTCGGTCTCGAGATAGCAACATCCGCTGGGTATACCACAACAACAGCCCAAGACTCACGGCTGTTGCCAGAAGAAGCCACTGACGCGTCGCTAAGAACATTACTTGCTTTCTCAATCGTTCTAATTCACCAATGAGGAAAGATGGGCTCGAATGTAGCGCTTGAGTCGTGGAACGCAGTTTATTTCATTATTGGTAAAATTGACATTCTTTCAGCTTCCCAAATTCCTAGCGTATATTAGAGAACGAATTGTTCAGGGGCAACCTTGCGGCGCAGCCTTGTTGCATATTAGCGATATTGGTTGCAAGGGTTGGGACCAATAGAACGTCACGGCTTGGCGCTTGTTGGCGCCCTGCTACCTTCAAGTACGACGGTTCGGAAGTGACTCTAGGGGGAGTCTAGGCACTAAGGCGTGAGATATGATCCATGGTAATGTATTCTCTGATATGCCTTATATGGTTGTTGCATATAAATCCGTGTCTCGGCTGGTTTAATTCATATTAGCGCCCCCAATGCCGGTGCTAGAGCATGGCTGGCAACTGTACAAAGACGCGGAAGTTATACTTCATTGGAATTGAGTTATTCCTTTACTGCGCTATGTTGGAGGCTTGTATTAGAGGTAGTAGTTACATCGTGATGTTCTACGAATGGCGGTAGAACGTATCAATACATAGGTAGTAGCTCTCGATATTAAATGCTCCAACTCCCTCGCTTCATAATTCAACTCTCATGATACAGTTCTAGCCTGCTTTTCCTGATGCAAGCCCCGAACCTCCTCATCCAGACCCGGAGCCGGGCCGTCAACAGGCAGATCCGGTACCACCTGATTTATTGGCAACGGGGCAACCGGGCCAGGCTTTATGCCCATCTCCATCCTCCACCGCACAAATTGAGCAGTAGAGCTAGCGTAAACGATTCGTCCTAAGCCCGCGTTTGCATGAGCAGACGCGCACATTGGGCAGTGCTCGCCAGAAGTGTAGACTGTGGCAGCAGCGCGCTCCGTCGGACTCAGGTTCTTCTGGGCCCACTTCACGATCGTGAACTCCGGGTGCCAGGTGACATCTGCTTCAGTCACGGTCCGGTTGCGATCCTCGTAAATAATCTGGCCGGCGGCATCCACTAGCACGGAGCCGAATGGGGAATCGCCCGCTTCGAGAGCTTCACGGGCTAGGTCTACGCAACGGCGCAAGTAGTTGATGTCTGAGTCGGAGACCATACTGTTCTGTTTTGGGAGGCTGCTAAGATAGTAATCTGATATGGACTTGATGTGTTCCCTCTTCGCAAATTCGAACTTTAGTCTGTAAACGTTAGCTTTTGTATCGTGGGGAAGTACATGTCTTCTGTACCTGAGGGGCCACGGACTAGCTATTATCACTGGGAGTGGAATCGAAGGTAAGAATATCAAATTATGAAACGACTGCAAAACAGAAAAAAAAAGGCGAGATGGGATTATGGAGGGGTTTTAAATGCTCAAAATCGAGTGGTCGAGTTAGTAATAGAAATATCAGAAAGTCATTTCATCCAGTACGATTGCACTCCAGCATTTGCTTCGTCCCCGCCAAACCCCGCAAATCTGCACATGGTGGACCCTGCCAAGACCTTCCAAAGTTCCATGTACGTAGTAAAATTGCTGGATCATTCTTGTAAATGTTATTGTATACATCTCTTCGGAAAGGTGGCTGGGAGACATTGTGAGAGACGAGAATACTCTGCGCATTGCTAAAAGCATATGGTGGGTATGGATTTACAACCTATCTTGTTCTGGTTCCATTAAGTGAAACTGTAGAACCGAATGATATATCAAGACCATAGACCATCCTCACAGACTATTAATATCGCAATTATCTTATGTATTAAGCTTGTTTTAAACAGCTAAAATCAGAGCTCATCGTACATAATCCTGGTCTGCTTTTGAAGTTTAAGAACCAGCTGGATAAAGGTGTCTCCTGTCCATTCAGTACTATTAAGGATCTCGAAGACTCAACGAAAAGGGTAGGGTTCTAAGCTAATTGACCAGAAAGGAAGGAAAGGGAAATATCAGTTTCTTTTGTATTCATTCTACTTCTTAGTTGATGATAGACACTCCCCTACACTCTTGCTAATGTATCATTACCCAGTTAAGAGGCTATTTACGTAGTAGATTCCTCCGTTATAATAGAAAACAAAATAAAAAGAACAATGAGAGCTGAAGATACCTGTGCACACAGTTAAGCCTGCCGAAGGGTAGTGGTCAAGTGGTAGCCTCTGCTGTCGGCCCACATAAAGTGATCGTGATACGTGTCTCAATGTTGTCCCGCACATCCACGTAGAATTCCTGCCTGTCGGGGCTGCAGCCCTTAGACATCCATCCATATTTTTCTTTGGTTTTGATTGTTAGCGGATCGTCGAGGCCAAGGATTCTCTTCCGATCTTCAAAAACCTGTCGCACTAGAGCAAGTGCTTCGTCCTTTCTCCCTTGTCCGCACCGTGCTACTGCCAAATTCATTTTGCTTCTCATGGTTTGAGGGTCATCGTTTCCAAGAAAGCCTTCACTTAGCTGTAGAGTATGGGCAATAGAATTTTCTGCTTCGTTGTATCTCGTCATCTGGATCAAAATTACTTCAAACGTGTTCAAGGTGTCCAGAGTGTCCCGATTCAGCATCCCAAATACCTGCTTTTTCCTTTCTATCAACTCAGGAAGGAGGTAAGTCAACTCGGTCAACTTTCCCAAGTTGTATAACGCGGCGGTTAATAGGTCCATTGTCCGAATGGTGTCTGGATGTATGGCTCCAAGGGCTTGCTCATATAGTTTCCAAGACTTATTGAATAGTCCCTCTGCATCGGCATAAAGTTGCTTTTGGGCCATGACGCTGCCCAGGAGGGTCATAGTTTCCGCTATACTTCTAACTTCAGTACCTGAAGTACGCTCTTTCTCTTCAAGGACATCTTTCAGAATTCTCTGCGCTTTAGAGGGATTATTTTGTAAGAATGCGCTCCAACCTAGATTATGCCTTGCTGCTAAATCGCGAAATTGCTTAGCTTTCGTTTTTGACCTCGACTGGAGTATCTTTGAGAGGATACTTTCAGCTTCGTGGTACTTCTTCGCGGGGATAAGCACCGAAGTCAACAGAATCAAGCTATTTAGAGTTGCGTCATGCTCATCGCCGAATACCTTGCTGTTTAAGGACACAACCTCCCGGAAGATAGGCTCCGCTTCTATGAGCTTACCCTCAAAGTGTAGTATACGCGCCAGGTCAGCTAAATCTGTCATATAGCTGGAATATTGTGGGTCGAGTCTTTTTCGGATTGTGATTGATTCTCTGAGCTGCGTCTCCGCGGTTCTCGCCTGGCCTCGTTGCAAATTATATTCTGACGCAAGGTGAAGAAGGTGAGCCTTTTTCAGTAAGCTACCCCCTTTGGTGAACTCATATCTCACGACTATTTGAACATGTAGGTAGATTCTATCCAGGCAGCTCCATCTTTCTCGTTCTCTTCTGCAAGAGCAGAATCCAAGGAGGGTATATAGTGCCTTTTCTTGCCATCTTTCCAGGTCTCCTGCTTGTTCCAGCCATCTGAGAATCCATAGATGCTCAAACTTGTGTAGGCTTATGTAGCCACCATTAGCGTCTGTCGTCGTGACTATAGAGAGTTCTTTCAGGTAACCTATATCATTAAGAAGTGCGACGGAGCTATCATAATTCGTTCGGAGTATCTCAATCGAGATCGATCTTGCATCCATCATAGCAATTATACAAAGGAGCTCCAATGCCCTTGGTCTATGCTGCTTCACTGAGTCATATAAAATCCTTGATGGCATTCTCACTGCGTCTTCAGAGAGCTGAAGAAGGTCCGGGTCAAGGTCATGCTCCACGCTCAGGTCCTTTGCGGCTGCATAATCTTCAAGGACACATAAATATTGACGTATTGTCACCTCTCTAGTTGTAATGTATGAAGCAGCCCGAACAATAAGCAACGGCAAACCCTGTAGAGCTAACACAAGCTGGGAGGTATCCTCAGCGTGACATGCAGGGGTTGACTGTCGGAGTAGGCTGGTTAGAAGATGTTGTGCATCGATAAATTCCAACGGAGGAATCTCCTCGACATTCTTGAGACCTGCGAACTTGTACCCAACTCGTTTGTCCTGAGTCGTAAGAATAATATGCCCAGCGTCGCTTTGTGGAAGGTAGTCAATTAACCGAGCTTGCCACAAAAGACTACCATGTGAGCCATTGCCAGAGAGGCCGAGGCAGACTCTCCGATCATCCAACCCATCCAAGACAAGAAGCCATGGGCCAACTGCCCTTCTACTAATCCCCTGTCTCACGGCCTTAAATATGTCTCCATGTGGACTATCATGCCCTGGAATATCTAAAGTCCTTGCAATGTTCCTGAACCCTCTCTCAATCGTCTCCATTGTACGTCCATGGACCCAGAAGAAGTGAGCACATGGATACTTCTCCATGAATCTATATGAATACTCAACGGCCAGGGCAGTTTTCCTGGACCACGCGTTAACCAGCAACTTCGAATAGGTAGGCAAAACGTACCCAACTCCGTAAGGCCCAGAAAGTGCAACGACCCTCTCTGTTTCCATCCTTGTTTCTATACTGGATAGTAGACGCTGGTGACCTACAAAATTCTTGTCCCTGCGGTAGGGAATCTGTTCCACCTTCCCTAGTCGAATATTAGCGCCATCTGAATAACCACAGCTGACGTCCCATTTATGCTTAGGTGCCTTGTTGTTTATACTTTTCTTCAGGACAAAGCTACTACCCTCACCATTCGAGACTTACCAGATTCGAAGCACTTGAGTAAATGGTCCACGAAATTCCTAAAATTAGGATCATCCATGGACGTAAATTTGTTAAGACCACGATGGTCAGTATCAAGTTGCACTACCTCTCCATGCCCAGGACCTCCCGATGATTTACTAACTGTCTGTTTGCAATTAGGGATTTATTGATGAAAAGCTGACTGAGCCAACTGACTCACCAGACTAAAGTGTAGGTTCAATATTTTCTCTGCTTTTGTCTCCAGTAAGTCACATATGTACGGGGAAAATGGCTTTTCACTCGCATATGCAGCTTCGAATTGTGATTGAAGTTGTGTCACCGGAGTCCCATTGAACGACATGTATTCCAAAAGCGTTGTTGATGCACCCCGCCAATAAGATGTACATGTAATGAGAGACCCCAACATCGAAGCTTTAGTACCTAAGTGAGGAACACCTAAGAACAAGATGCCTTTCGTTTGTACTGCAATTTCGCTGTTCCGCTCCTTGGCATAGACTAAAGCCTACTAAGACGGTTAGCATCTCACAGTGTGCGCAGGACTTGACAGTAAAATGTCACCTGTTTTAGCAGCAAGCCGCCAAAGCTATGTGCGATGAAGATAATCGGCCTGCAGCGTAATTCACGAGTTTGCCTTACTCTCTCGATGTCATCCAGCAACCGTTTCGCATGATCTTCGAATTCCATCACTGCGGCATCTTCCAGATAGCTGGTCTGGTGGTTGATCATGGTGACCCTGGCTTCTCCCATACCATCAACGTTTGGCAATAGATCCCTGAGCCAGTATACCTCTGTTCCATTTTGTGAATAGCCCCTCCAAGCAGACTTCGGGTTCGAACCAAGACCATGTATAGCGAAAACACTAAAAGTAGGTCTCAGGCTGGGAATCCAGGAATTATAGGAGGTAGCTTACTCGACTTGTGTTCCCCTACCAGGATCGTGTAAGACCTCAATGGGCTGGAATGATGCCCTTTCAGTTGACCGTTTTACCTGATTGAGCATGCCAGGAAAAAAGACAAATATATGGAGAGGTGACAGAATGAGACACCATATTACAAGTATGACAAAGAAAAGTAATTTGGGTAATTTGTTCGGATAGTATATCTTTGAAAGAGAGCCCTTGATTAATGTAATATAGTACAAGCGAGTGATGGCGGTGCTAGTGACAATCACTTTATAATAGAAGCCGGAAAAGAAGATAGCTGCGAAAGCTACTATCCAAAGATGGAGTTCAACCATGGTTCCAGACATGGATACGCTTGTTTCTGTCTGTCGACAATATCGCTATTCATATAGTATCTTTAGAGTATTTCTTTTGATGTGGTCGAACTGCTCACCGACAAATAGTATATGAAACATTTTTTAGAGGGTAGTGCTGCAAATGGTACCAAAAGCAACGGGAGCCCGTACCCTTTGATTGTGTTTTGGCTGACCAAATTTGACCTTAGCTGGTGTGAGACTTTTTTCATGTATTTCTCTTGTAGGGCCTAGGCTTAAGGAACATTCTAAGCTTACTCGTCAAGCCATATCATTTGCTATTTCAGCACAGTGGCGTGACTTTTATATACGAGGTGGCAAAAGAGGAAGAAAAGATCTTGACCCGTCACAATCCAAGGTGCAGGGAGCATGATTCATTAAATTGTAACTGATAATATATACCTCCTTTTGGATGGTTCTAGTTCGCTCTATTGGCTTTCAAAATTTCACTCGATCCGGACTTGGAGCTTACCTGACTACGTAGTAGGTTAACAGGAAGGATCAGAGTGCTAATCCACGAGATCCAAGGAACCAATAATCAGGAGGTCAGACAAAATATAGACTAGACTATTGAAATTATAATCTTATTAAATTGACTACGAATTAAACATAAATAATGCCGCAGCTCTGCATGTAGGAAATCTCCAAGAATACGGCAATACGTATCCAGCATTCATAACGGTCCTATAAAGTGGTCTTTGATGATTAACACGGAAAGAAATTTTGATACCATGACCACAGTGATTCACATTCCACCATTCGGGCATCGGGATGAATTAATCCCAGATGTACCTGATGGTAGACAAGAAATAGTTCCGAATGTCCCAATCCTTTCACCAAACCAAGAAGAGGTCGACAAATTCCTAGCTAGGGAGCTGCGTACCAATATGCTTGAGAGACTGTCCCCATACTTGACATTTATCGCGAGAAGGTCTGGAGCTCATATTGACGCCCTAGACGAGCACATTGGGAAGGGCCGCGAGATTGTGGTGACTGAAAACCCAGACCTCCACCTGGTCTGGTATTACAACACTCTTTATTTAAAGCCAATTCCGCATTGTCTTCTGAATTATGCATTTTGGAGAAAATACTTTTCAAGAAATCATCAAGCACAGCCATACGATGTTAGTGCATTAGGAAGCAACTGCCTCTATGCTCTTGGCTTTCTTCGCAGCTACTATCACCTGATAGGCCACGAGTCAGACTTTAAGCTTGCAGTAAAGCAACATCTCATCCCAAAAGGTATTAGCTACTGGGACTTTCAGATCTTCATCCATCATTTTAGCACCATCCCTGATGCTGCCGTGGCTCACCGATATCACTACGGCCAATTGCGGCTGACTCGCTTGAACTTCGTTGCGTGGCTCGTCCCTCCACATCCTCTGTATTATCATCAGCTGGATTGGCAGATGGGACAGCATTTCCACCGCTGGGCGCCAGTGCTGCTCTTCTTGTGGGCCTCTACAAATCTTTGTTTATCTTCCATACAAGTTATCCATAATACCAAGGGGGCACATACATGGGCAGCATTTGATACTATTAGCTGGATCTTCGCCACAGCAACGCTCGTCTTTCTCGTGACCTTGAGTGTTTTCCTTTCAATAGTCGTGCTGACAGTGTATGGGACACAGCTATCATTTGCTGTAAATACGCTGAGAAGATATTGGAGAGCCAGAGAGATTGCCTAATAGTTAATACTCAATGATAGGACATCTCAGAGTTTCTATGATTTATCCTGATACCTGTAATAATATCAGAACCCAGTAAATTCAAGGCTCGGCCTCGCCATTGGTTGGGTTTGGGTCGAATATCAGGAACCGTACCCACGGTGTACCAGATCCGATAATGATCATGTATGATATACGCTACCCCTTATGTATAGACGAAGGAACCACTGCCAGGAAACTTATTGATGTATATTCATCACAATGGGTACACCATTTCAAGTCCCAGGCTGAAAGAATTGTATTTCGTCTTACGACAATACAGAGAGCCCCCCGTAAGAAATTAATGTTAAACGAATATCATGGCCTAGTACTGTACCAACGATACATCTAGGGCGAGAAGACCAAAAGCGAGCTATTCTCAATGGTATATGCATAAGTTTCAAAGGCAAAGCGGGCAAATATAACAAGACATAGCAGTTTACTAGGGCTCAAAACCACCTGGAGATAGGTGGTTCGAATACAAGAGTAAGAGGGACAGCTTGGAAGGGGACATAACGTTTAGCTGACTCCGTGCAACATACATATCATACACACTCGACTATTTGCCCGGCAACGACAGTTGATCGGTAAATCCGTTATTATCGTTCTTCTCTCATCAAAGGCATTTCTCTTAAAGTCGCAAGACTCTGTCTAGCATCGCCATCCAGGAAGGGAGGATTTAGGGCGTGTGAAATCGGACAATCCATTATTGTCAGTATTTATCAAGAGTCCTGTTGCAGTGGGTCTAGTTTTGTTTTGCTTTCGGGATAGAGACATGTATAAAGTTGTGAAATGAATGGTGTGTGTGTGTGTGTGTGTGTGTGTGTGTGTGTTACTATAAGCCCGCGTGCCGTATTCCAAGTTTTGCGCGACTGTGTTGGCTCGGCTACATGAACAAGAGCCCTTTCTCCTGCTAAACTAGTAATTCGTATCACATTATGGTAGACGATCTTTTTATCCTGCATTTGCATGTCCACTGAGGTTTGAGTAAACAATGGTGTATTGGAATAGGAAAATAGAGTAACAAAGAAAAGAAAAGAAAAGAAAGAAGGAAAGAAAAGAAAACAAGCTGGCGTCTAATAAGCTGTTTCCACATGCCCCACAAGTTGGTCTTGAACCCATTTGAACAACTTTTCCTGAAGCCCATGATCTTGGGCAAGTTTCGATCCTGATTCTGCCTTCCCGATAGGCCCATAGTATTGCCCGCTTTTGGCATCAGGACTTACAGCAGCCCATATTTGAGAGAGGGCGCCTTTCTCGACGGGTGTTGCAAACAGAAAACCGGCAGTGTAAAGAAAAGGTTTGAGAAAAGTGCCAGTTGAGGCATGGTGAAGATTAGTTGCTACCATGCCAGGGTGAACAGGAATAATCTTAACCTCTGTCTCCCTCTCGGCTAGTGCTTTAGCGTAATGGAGATCGGCAAGTTTCGACGTGGTATACCGCTGAGTGGTATGCCGACTAGATCCAGTTGTACGAAGCTCATCGAACTTATAAACATCACTGGGGGCGCGAACGTGGGCCGCAGAGCCCAGCATAACAACGCGGGTCTGAGGGTTTGCTTTGGCCGTTTGCCGCAAGGTGGGCAGCAGCAGCTGAGTGAATAAGGCCGGACCCAGAACATTTGTTCCAAATTGTATCTCATATCCCTCTTTTGTCAGTCCTTCAGGAGTCATCATAATTCCGGCATTATTGACAAGAATATCGAGACGGGATTCTCGGCTAAGAAAGTTTGCTGCTGCAGCTTTCACGCTTTCAAAAGATGCAAGATCAAGCTGCAAGAAATGGACATCGGCTCCCTTTGGGTTCCCTTCCTGTAGATCTTTGATGGCTTTGGTTGCCTTGTCTTTGGATCGAGCGGCGAGGTAGATGCGGGCTGGGTTGTGCAAGCTCAGCTGACGGATGGTTTCATAACCAAGGCCCACATTGCCTCCGGTGACAATAATGACTTGGTGACGAAGGTCTGGGATATCGTGGCTGGAAAACGTAGGCATTCTGGGGGAGGAAGAGATCGTTGGACATATGAGATAAGTAGAGAGGACGAAGAAAAGGTTGAACGTACACTCTTATAAGGTGACTTTTAAGGTGACTTTCCTCTTAAGGAAGGTCTCGCTCGGCCCACAGGACAAGATCCTCTGATTGATTCATTTTCCGTCAGCAAGACGAGCCCCAACGGTAGGCCCCACTTAGCTCAGATTCAAGTGGTGGCAAAAAAGAAGAGATCAAACCCTAAGCAAACCAAAGTTCCATTTCTCCGCTTTATTTTATTTTATTTTATTTTTTTTTAACATCGTAGAATGACGCCCTGCCTCCTGATAATGCATCCACCATGTCCAGACTGGAAGCTATGATTTGTCCAGTCTCCTCACAAGCGCGAATTCGGCGACCCAGCGAGGACTGGACGGGAGTCACCGATCCTGCTGTGCGCCGCAGACTGCAAAATAAGCTGAATCAACGCGCTCAACGTACGTAATCTGGTTATTGCAATATATCTTACTCAGTGCAGATCCACTAATAAACATCCTAGGGGCAAGAATGAAGGTCGCCCGCGACCAGCAGAAAGCAGCAATCCAGCAAGCCAAGAACAAACGGAAACAAGCAGTCATCCTGCCGAGAACTACCCATAGTCCATCATTAAAGTATAAACAGCCAGCTACACTTTCAGAGGCCGCTGTCATGATGGCACACTTTGACCAAGTCGCATACGAGAGGTACTCCACTGGGAATCCCTGCTTGGACCATCTCATGACCCTGTCCAAGTTCAACGTTCTTCGTGCCTTCATACAGAATTTCACACTCCTTGGATTAACGCTCCATGAGATCGAAGATGATATCTTGTCTCCATTCAATACTGCTCTCGCAAACCCGCGTGAACCTTGGCATCTGCCTCCAGCTCTTGCGCCAACGGTTGTTCAGATTCATATTTCTCACCATCCCTGGCTTGATTGCTTCCCTTTCCCACAGATTCGAGACAACCTTGTCCGTGTCGCTCATCTGTTCAACGACTGTGATCTGTGCACTGATATCATGGATCCCGCCAGCGGTGATGTCGGTATGCTGGTATGGGGCGACCCATGGCTTCCGGAAAGCTGGGAAGTGTCCGAGCTCTTCATTCAGAAATGGTTCTGGATTCTTAGAGGCTGTCCAGATATCATCTTGTCGAGCAATCGATGGAGGGCTAGGAGAGGCTTGAAGCCGCTTAGCCTCAGTTGTAAGACATTGAACAATGTTCACAAAACTGAAGAGGGGAATGTGCCTTTGGAGGACATTATTGACCTGGAGCGAAGCGCGTGAATTCGTAGTTTTTATTTTTATGTTTTATTTATCTATTTATTTATTTTCTTGGGGCTACACAGAGGGTATTTGTAAGTTGCCAGAACGTTGTACATATTGTCTGGGGGTGAAGCCTGGCGGACAGTGGTGTAGTCCAATGGCATTGAATTCTATGATATATAGTCCCGCGAGTTCCTACTACAACACTTATTAATGAATGTCGCTATTAACCTTGTTTATCGAGTGGTTTATATAATAGAGACTAAACTTGTGCCAGACCATGGAACGACATGTGGCATTTAAATAGGGGGGTACCACTGGTACCGCCCACTATCAAGGGGTTAACTCATCAGCTTCTGCTCATGGACGGACTGAGTCATTGAAGGCCGATATCCGCATCAACTTACCAAAGACACCAATAAGGCCGGGGCCAAAGCGTTCAATTCTGGGGAGCTGGTGGTGGATTTCATCGATAGCCGTCATAGTTGTATGTCGACTTATGACTATTCTAGTCATGAAGATATCATAGCAGGCGCAGCAGGACATTTGAAGGAGCAAAGACTGATCGATTCACAGGGCCGATTCCGGCCGGATACCAGCCAAAGGCTTTCCGGACCACCAGCCAGTTGTCGAAAGTCCAGCCCTGCAGGATAGTCCGCAGGCGTAATTATTGTTTGTTGCCTGTGGGTCATGGATGAGGAGTGGGTCCAGATGATTCTGCGCTAATGCACGGATGACGCTTTCTGGACCAATCATCTTGCAGCGGTACGGCAAAGCCCATTAATTCATTTCCCCATATTTTTAACTTGTCTCTAGAAAACAAAAAAAAGAAAAGAAAAAATACGGATTGGTAGGCTGCAGCATTGGCTTGCCGTAGCAGAGAGGCCAATTCATGGCTGAGGTCACACTCCTCGCTTGCTTCGTTCGATGGTAACCAGCCATCCTGATCTCAAATCCCTCAACGCTGTTTCCTAATAGAATACTGAGAGAAGGAATGCTCCAGGGAAAAACGGAATGGTCTCAATTACTACAATTCTAGATAGCAACTCTAACATCACTCATCGCCATGGTCCAGGCCTGGTTGCTGTCTTCGGTGAGTTTTCTTTTCTAAGCTCCATGATTCTGTTTGCGCGACAAGTAAGATCTTTCGCATCACTGGTCGTCTTGGTCGGGCTCGCTTTGTCTTCTCCCGGGATAAATCTATACTAAAACTGTGCAGTTGGTGGGACGAGTGGAATAGGAGAATCAACCGCGCGCGCGTTTATACGGAACACCGATGCCTCTCGTGCTTACCTTATCGGACGAGACCAGGAAAGGGCAATGAGGATCATCGAGGAATTGAAGCAAAAGAAGCCGGATTCGGAGGTCACCTTTATTAAATCAAACGTGTCTCTTTTGCGCGAGGTCGACAAGGCATGCGCTATCATCCGGGAGAAAGAGAATAGGGTGAACATCTTATTCCTCAGCCCAGGCACGGGATCGATGAATGGTCGTACAGGTATAATATCCAAATTCTTGATGGCTACATCACCCTGATACCAACTGTGCCATGTTAGAAACCGACGAAGGCCTTGACGAAAAGCTCAATCTTCACTACTATTCCCGGATGCGTTTTGTGAAGAATCTCCTCCCACAGCTTCTGCATGGCGATCAAGAGAGCCGCAGCAAAGACGATAAACAGTCATTATCACGCGTTGTCTCAGTTCTTGAAGCAGGAGGTGAAGCCGCTCTCCAACTCAATGATCTGTCCCTCAAAACCCACTGGTCCCTCCGCAACTGCGCAAAACATTCCATCACGATGAACTCGGTTGCAATGGAGCACCTAGCGTCAGTGTACCCACAGATCTCATTCGTTCACAGCTTCCCAGGCGTTGTCCGAACACGACTTGACCGCGATCTAAGCACTACCGCAAAGTATGCTATTAGCGCCCTAATGGTTCTCGCCAAACCGTGGGAGATCCCATTTGAAGAAAGTGGGGAGAGGCACCTGTATGCCGCGACGAGTCCACGCTTTCCATCACGCGCCTACAGGGATAGTTCTGCCGATGCTGCCGAGGGATCTGATGGTCGCAGTGGTAGTGGCTTCTACCGACTGAATGCTCAGGGATCTCCATACAAGCCTAGCAAGATAATGGAGACTTATCGTGCAGGAGGAACGAGAAGTTTGATCTGGGATCATACCCTTAGTGTCTTTGCCCAGGTTCGTGATGAACAGAAGCAGGATCCTTGATGCCGCGTTGAGGGAAGTGCGGTGGGTAGCGCAGTTAGGCGGACACCGGCGTTCTTATGCTTTGAACGAGGACCTAGAACCATCTTCAGGCATGAGATCCACTGTGTAGAGTTTTCATTACATCTGATCGCAAAACTGCTGCAAATGATTATACTCTTAAATACTTTCAGGTACCTTCTGATAAAACACACTAAGCCGCTGTTATAAAAAAGAAAAGTCTCCAAGAGCGCCATTACACGTTTCTGTAATGAAAATTGTACAAATAAACCCGTGACACAAAATAATTTACACAACCTATAGGTATCCCGAGATACAACGGCAGCAAGTCACATAAAGATATGTCGCCTTCTATATCACCGTATCTTGCCAAGTAAATTGACTGCTATGTTTTAGATCTTACGGGCACAGAGGCTCTTTGGTCAGTACAACAACATTACTATTCGATGTGGGATAACTAGACTTGAGAGATAATGTCAGAGCCCCAAATTTCTTACACTAGGCAGGCCCAAAAAAAGGTAAATATTCCAAGCACACTAACCACAAGAGCACCGGCCTCTTCAGCGTCTATTCTTTTCATTGCAAAATCACGGGAACCTACTCGAGACTGAAAATTACTACGAAGGTAACCATGCAAGCATTAATACATTACATACTAAGTATAACAGCGATGGAATCCGTACTGATAATAATCCAATCAATCATGTATCATCTAGCTGGTTCTCACTAAAAAAGATTAAAAAATTATCACCATTAGAAGGGGCCGCGTAGCCAAAAAGCTGCTCTACAGAAAGGGACTGGTCTACGAGGCTTCAACTCCTGGAATGAATAATTGGATGTGACCAGTAAAAATGTACTCAAAAAGCGTGACTATTCAGGGAGGTTGGCGGACCCCTTCCATGGACAGGGTTATTAGTAATCCTCAGGCGTGAATATCTCTAACCACCTACCTACTAGTTTTGCGGTTGATTAAAGATTCCGTTATGACGCTCAAATTCGTCGACGAACTCGGTACCAATGGCTTTACGGCTGTGATGCCTACCTCCCACGAAATGGGCATCATCCCGAAGCTAGGCAGCTAACGATAAATTCGTCTGGATTTATCCGAATTTATCTGTAGTTATAGGCCTTGTGGATCTTCTAAGCCAATAAGAACGTATGGACAAATGGTAATCCTATGTAACTCAGACAAAATATTAGTTAAGTGATGTCAGGGGTCAATTCTCGGCTAATCAAAACCTAGAATCGTTGTATCAATCAGAGCCCAGATCTGGTCATACAGCCTCCTATATTGCTTGCTTCGCTTCGCTCCGCTCCGCAAACAAGTTATGGGTGTAGTCAATGGGAAATTTCTTATCTTATGGCAAGCACTGGGAGAAATTGATTGACCTGAGGAAAGAATACGACCCGAAACTCAGGTTCAAAGCACTCGTCAACCCTTGGATGATATAATTCGGTAGTCAGATCAACAGTCAGATGCTTTCCTAAGACTTACCGTCCGTCATACTACTTATTCACTTTGCCAATAACTAAGATGTGATATTCTCAGTTACCTTGCCGGCGAAACAGTATTCGGCTGACAAGTCTTAGAATCTACAGACTGCATTGTATCCTTTCGTCTTCACAAGTGCGGCATCCAATCGGCATCGTATACCATGGCTACCAGGGCTGCCGGATGCCGCTAGGCTGTGCACGGGAGGGCCACCCAATTTGGCCCAAATCGTGCTTATGCTGACACTTTCCCCTCAGAAATGTATAATAGCCCCTCTTATTGGTGGTCGGGTGATCAGCCTATGCTTGAGGTTCATTGACTTCCACTTCTAATAATCAACTAGACCAATACGTATTGATTACTATTGCCTCAGCTCCACCCTGCATGGATAGTTTCTGCACATAAGCAAGGCCTCCCGTGCCTCTACATACTAGGGCGGGAATAGGACGCCCATCATTCGATGGCGAGTACTGCACCTCTGTGTAATACGCCCTTGGCACAGATGTCATCCGCTATGTTCCAAAGAGTCTTCAGACTCTAAATGTTCAATGTAACCCAAGCCCGCCAAGCTCTCGTTTGACTCGACAACTTGCATTGTCTCTCCAGGTTGTGTGTTTGATACTGACAAACGCCTGTTCTTACCGTCGTATTCAAACTTCAGGTCGGATGACAATGGTTCTAGACCAATCCTTGGCTATGCATGACAGCGCCTAGCTGTCTCGCAGGTCATCTCATCAGTACCATCTGGCACTTTCAGATCGAGAGGGGGGTTTTTTAGCGAGTAGTCCCCGGAATCTAGCCTAGACTTGGCTACTGGCATGTTTGATCCACAGTAACGAATGCTCTCTCCGTGCAATCCGATATACATGACTGATGGAGTATGGAAAAGCTCTAGAATGCGGCTTGTCTGACCTGAGAGCGGGGAAATTCGGTGTTAGTTGGGTCAATCTCATAATCATTCTGCTCCTGGGGTCGTATGAATAATATGCTAGGAATATTGGGGTGGTGTCAAGTATATATAGGACAGGTTGTGGGACAAGTTATTTATCGCTTCTCATCTTGTACTGCTATCGATCATTGGAAAATAACCACCATATCTGGACGGTATGCCCTTCCATTCCCACTCTTCCTCTCTCATGGCTTTTACTCCCATTTTCCTTTTTCTTGTTGTCTTTCTCATGGCTATCTTCATGTTGAGTTCTAATCTATTTGTTCTATTTTCCCTATTTCTGCACTGAAATGATGGGACTGATTCAGTATCTATCACCCATCAGATCAGAAAAGAACTAATGAATTCTAGTACAGGAATACTCTTCGCAAAATGCTCCTCAAGTATTCAATCTACTACATAGCCCTGCTCGTCCTTGCAATCGCCGTCGTAGCAAAGCCGCAATGTGATCCGAACAAAATCAAAAGTCTCGATCTCCGTGACATGTCAACTACCGAGGAGACGAACAATGTCGAGGCAAGAGACACAAACGAGGATTGGGATACCGTCACAACTTATACCTTGGACGACGACGAGGATAGCAATGTCCAAGACAAGACGGATGCCGATGCGATTAATCCTCTCGCCCCGAGCCACTGCTCCAACTGTGCCAAAATTAAGAAGGCGAAGCCAAAGTATAAGGGAAAATGTGATCCCAAAAACAGTTTGGGTTGGAAGTCCTCTCATAACTGTAAAGGGACCAGCTATCTGTGTGTGCAGAGCGGGAAGGCTACGTGTTATGGGCGGCCGCTGTCTAAGTTGAACTTTGAGAATGGGGAGTGTTTCAAATAAAGGTGGATTGATAGGAGGTTTAACAACTGGTATGGATGATGTAGCATATTCAACATATGCTTATTGGGTATCAGTAGCTATTGTGCTATCTTGTCTGAGGCATTGGATACAGCTGGTAATCTCTTTTAGGATGAGCTTTGGCGCGACTGTATTTCAACCGTTGAACGTATGAAAGAATACAAGTCTAAGTATTCTTATTGTAGGCCACGGCATCAAGATTGGAGAAAGTTTTGGGAATAGAGCAGTGCCTCAGTATTAACCTCCATAATGGAGCCCTTCATGATTGTATAATTTGGATTCTCATTCATTTATTGAATAGCGAGATCCCGGGTAGCTCCACAGTGTCCCTTGGACGGCATGCTGGTGGGTGAAGTCCTGACAGAGATCGATATCATCTTCTTCTCGGCCAGGAGGAATATCCACAGTTATATATTCTAGCACAGGACTCGTGTCCTGGGACAAGACACTGGATGCAGCCCCGTCGGTGTGCTGAAGACGCACCAGGTTTCCCAGAAAACTCGTTGGCCAGTCGGGCTCGCGCTGTTTCAGCTGTATCTCGTGGTCTCTTGCAGTGTTTATAATAACAACGCGTTTCAAGAATGCCCACCATTTAAGGCCCTCCACATCTGACTCTAAAGGCTCTGTTAGACTATCTGGCCGTGTGAGGACCAGATGAGTGAGGTTTGGACATTGTTGAAGGGCCTGTAGAAACGCAGGCCATTCTACGCTTTGGTTGTATAGCGCAAGGTGTTTGAGACGTGGCCATAATGACCATACAGGTGGCTCAAAGCCATCCTCTACAGTATCGCAGTACATCTCGTCTCGAACAGAACAGAACTCTTCCAGCTGCGTTAGGCGGACGAAGGATGCTCTTATGATTTTTCGTATCCCTTGTACGTCTTCATCGGGATAAAGGTACCGTAGCGGGACATCAATAACGAGACGCCGTAGATTGCCACAAATGTGCAATGATAGTTGGTCTACCTGCTTTACCACGTGTGGCTCCTCCAGGTTATCATCTGGGAATGGCGCCAAAAAGAGACCCGTCGGACCTACTTGTTGGTTTCCATCGTCCGTGAGAAGCTGCGGAAGAACAAGGTCCAGCCGTTTGTCAGAGTCAATATATAGACAGTGCTTGAGAAGAAGCCGCTTTGCTGTGTGATATGTGAGGCTGGATACCAGAGTAAGGTTGATTAATGTTTGGGTCACCGGGTGCGCTGACGGAAATGCGACAGGATGAGCTGATGGGATAAGACACTCGATGATATGTAGAATCACTTCGGCAGGGAGTTGTGACATGTTACTTTGATTATGACGACAGATCGCGATCCGGGGAGGTTGGATGGTCAGGGTTGTAGTAGATTGATGTCCAGCGATGGTAAGGATGATGTCTAAGCACTAATGTTGGCAAATGCCCCTCCCGGTGATTGTGACCAAGAAGTGAGATTTGACCAGGGATTGCAGGTCTGATGATCTTCGCACTACTACTTATCATGTACAGAGCAGGTACCTCGGGTATGTTGAGAACAGACAAAAGGTACCTCTCCAGACAATGCAACCTAACTCTACATCCGCCAATCACAAGAGACTACTCATCTGACCCCACGTGCCTCTTTTTGGACCCCGAATCTCGTCACCTCAGGCCCCCAACAATATCATCTAAACACAACCTCTTTCTTTGATGCCGGTAGTATGAATAAGACGTTATACCGGTTATACTCTAAATCTACTGCTTCTTTCAACCCGGCAACCTAAAACGATGTGAGAAAAGAACTGTTGCCCATTGATAGCATAAGCTCTTGACGTACGTATGTATTCGCAAAGGCAGCACGGTCTGGATAGTTATTAGCTTACTATGAGTCTCTCACGCCATATGCGCCTTAAGACTGGCCTAGTTTTATTGAAAAAAAAAGTAACTCAGGCATGAGAGGATGTCTACACCCGCTATCGGTCAGTCGCTAGGCGTGGAAGCTTGAAGAGACAGGGTTTACAAGAATGAAGAAATTTATGTACACTCAGCCAAGATGCCCGCTGCTGGCAATCTTGAGCGAGACACTCATCTCGACAACTTCTTCTCTTCACCTGTAGCACTTCCCAGAACCACTTTAATGCTTCATTCAACAGCTGGCTGCCGCTTATTATGAATCGCCCTGGAATCATTTGAGCGCATCCTTTTATTTAGGTACAGCCATCGGATCCGCGTGTCCGTTCCTTGGTGTTAAGTATAGAAAGAAAGGGGAACGAGTATAAAAAAAAAAGGAACAAAAATCGCGCCACCACACATTTCGCAACCCAAGGTTGGTGGTGGGTCTTTTCTCGGCGAGCCAGCCGTGTACTCCATAGCTGACTGGGCATGCCAAGCAAGTTCCCTTGCCTTGCACACAAAAAAGATTGTACTTATTTTCAATCCTCAAAAACGATCAGCAGACCACTACTATCGAATAATTGGCCCAGCTCCTACACGTTATGACCACGACCATCCGCCTGGCCGCGCCAGATGAGATCCCGGGCATTGTGGATTTCATCATGGCGGCCCGCGCCGACATGTTTTCAATGCTGGATCCATCATTACACCTCCAAAAGGCCCAGCGTGAACTTGCCAACTTCCAGCAAAGCTACCTGGAACATCCCGACGGGGCCTTCTTCACAGCCCGAGTGGATGGTCGCTTGGTTGCCACCATCGGCTACGTCGCCTACGACCAGCGTTTCCCCCAGCTGGACTTCGGCCACGAACGGGTCGTCGAGGTGTTGAGGATGTACGTCCACCCCGATTGGCGCCGAATTGGACTTGCTTCAGAATTGTTTGCGGCTCTCGAGCAGAGGGCACGCCAAGCAGGTATTCAGCGAATGTACCTGCATACCCATCCCTTTTTACCAGGCTCCATCAGCTTTTGGGAGCGGCAAGGGTTTTCCGTCGTCCACATTGACGATGATCCTGTGTGGCGTACGACGCATATGAGCCGAGTCCTTGCTGCTGATGGACGTCAGCAAACAGATCTGCTACCAACCGCGGTATGAGAACGCCTCCACGGGATTTTCCGTTAGGCCGTCTTCAAGTTCCACCGTGCAGCCCGGTTAGGGCTGGTTGAAGCGAACTACAGCGACTGGAGGCGATCAGATCAGGGTGCCCCATCGACTGGAGTATGAAATCCTGGATCACCGACTCTGGCCAAAGCACAATTCGCCATTCTCTTCCCCGCGCGACCCAATCAGGCAAGAGACGCAGGATGTCTACGTCCATTGTCATATCCTTATCCCACGACAAGCCCGAAGATTATCAACAAAGCGTTGCAAAGCTCGAACTAAGCCGCGGTTCACTCATCTATCACAAGAAACAGGCTAACGATCTTATCGAGGCTCCAATGTATAGTTTCTAATCGTCTGTGAGGATTGTGGCCTTTTCCCAACGGCCAATACTTCAAAGGAATTGTTATTAGGACCTCACATTAAGCCTATATAAGGAAGTCAAGGGAATCATCTAACTCAAAAACACCCTAGTGAAGCCGTTCCAGATACAGTCTATATTCCTATATAAAAGGATGTAGGCTAGTAAATCATAAACAGTGTAAGAGATATTACTAGCGCTTAGTATTCCAAAAGGCCATAAGATCATATAATTTTAAATCTACAATTTAGAATGTCTTCGAGTCACTTATATAGCTTGTCACCGTTATAACTATCAGCCCCCCAAGGGAAAGGCTAGGAATGAGCCTTTATCCTATTCTAGGTCCCCGAATATTATCGAATCAACTATCTTTTTACTGTATATAGAATCATCCTCGAGCCCTCGGGTATGTTTTACATTCCTATTCTAGACTAGTCCCGCTTAACTAATAGTATTACCAATACATCCATGATAGTATAATGCCCTCCTATATTGGCTTAACATGAGGTCCAAATAACAATTTCCTATTTTAAACCCCGTCGAGGGCAAACGTTCGGTGATGGCTGAATACAACCTAACTCGGCGTCCACCAATCACAAGAGACCAATCATCCACCCCCACGTGCTTTTTAGGACCCCAAATTTAGCCACCTCAGGCCTCCAATAATATCTTCTGATCACAACCTCTTCTTCGGTGCCGGTGGTATGAAGGTCGCCAAGTCGTGCAGTCAATGCCGCGTAGCCAAACGGAAATGCACACCAGATCCTGTCCGCGATGCTCGCTGCCTACAATGTTCCACGAGACAGCAATCTTGCTCTTGGTCCCTCACTCGGAATGCAAAACATCGGTTACTTCCTGTTGATTCTCCATCATCACCATATTCCCAAGTATGGATAGAGATGGTGGAAGATGACGTTCGTGACGAGCTTGTGGACTTGTACTTGGAGCTCATACATGATAAGCCTCACACGCTTTTTCATCCGTCACATCTAAAATCCCGGGTACGCAATGGGTCTTTAGCGAAAGGAACCCTTTATAGTATCTTGGCGTTAGCAGCTCGGTAAGTCAACCGTGCAACTGCGGGAAAGAATGAACATTCTGAAGATTCTAGCGCAGAGGAGCTAATGTTCTTTATTCTACTAAAGATTCTCTACTGGCCCGGGTACAAGGGAACGAACCAAGGATTTCTTGCAGTCAGCCAAAGACCGCGTCAAAATGTCAATTGACGACATCACTCTGGATAATGTCCATGCCACCATTCTTATAGGCAATCTCTGTGGATCTGAGGGTGATTCGAGTGGTGAGGCATTATATTTCGGTAAGAGGATCCCTCAATACGCTGATTTCTTCTTTTTTGCTCGATGGTGGAAACCCTTTGCTAAAAGAAAAGTCTCAGGGATAGCATTTAGAATGGCACAGATCCTTCGTCTTCCTGAGCCGTCGCTGGACGACGATGAAATCATGAGGGAAAGCAGACTTCGTACTTGGTACTCACTATACATGATTGACCGGTGGTCTTCAGCTGGGTTAAACATCCCTCGTCAGATCCAGGACGGTAACCAATTTCAGTTGCCCATGTCTGAGTTGGACTTTCATAACCTGGCACCTGGACAGGCGGTTGGCAATGGTTCACAGATCACCAGGCCAGGTCTCTGGGGTTATATGATTATTCTGGTAAGAATATTCGGTCAGATCCAACATCTGCACCGGCAACTGGCCCATGGCACATTGGGCAATTCTGGTATAGAGGCCTCTACCCGTCAGTTAGCTTCCGAGTTTCAGGCTTTCATCCAAGGCCTACCTACCGGACTCCAACTCACGATGGGAAACATGGAGACACATGCTAGGCTTGGGGTCGGGCAAGCCTTTGTTGCCCTCCACTTGGGTTATCATCATTATGCTACCCTTTTGTATTTCCCATATCTTGGCTCTCAGTTGACTCATATTCTTGATCAGAAACTCTTTGCCACACGATGCAAGCACCACGCAGCGGCCTTTAGCGATCTTCTGAGGTCGTCCAGTGAGACGAAGGGGTGCGAAGTTGTATACTTCATTGTCGCTCATATGACAGTGACGTCGTCGTCGGTGCTCCTTCATACGCTACTCTTTGGCCAAGAGGATGAGTTATCCGACACCAGAAGGAGGTTATATTACAACTTCCAGATTCTACTAAGGCTAAAAGCCTATTGGAGAGGCGTGGGCATGATGGTGAGTCTCCAGCATAGCTCCACTACACGACTTCAAGCAACCGTCTAACAATCATAAGATTGAACGGCTTTTTACGTTTCAGAAGGCCTGCATGCTGTCGATGGATCGGATTTATACGATGGACAAATGGATTGTGAAATTTCTACTGCAGCACGCTTTGCCGATAGAGGGGAATCTTGGCCCACCGGCCACGTCGCAGCTGGCACAGAGAGACAAATTTGCCAACGATGCGCTATCAATGCTTCGACCACAGGGGTCTCAATACATATAGCATTTTTCAAGTTATTCCTTACGCGCTATATTTCCCGACATTCGCGGCTGTTTGGTGGGAGTGTCCGCTTCCTCCGACCTTCTAACATTCGCATCATATCCATCAAACAATGCCGCAATCTCCTCCAAGGTCGGACCTTTTGTCTCAACAAACAGAAACCAAATGCACAAACACTCGACGACAAGAATGCCTATATAAAAAAAGTAGAATCGCCATTGTAACCTCTCCAAACCAATCGGGTTCACGTATTGATTGAAGACCGATGCCGCTGATGTGCAAGCGAGCCCAACAGCCATACCCTTCGCTCGGATGTTAAAAGGAAGGATCTCCGCACAGTAAGCCACGGTCAACCCAGGCCACGCGAAGCCTGCCACACCGTAAAAGAGAAATATCATTGCGATCACGGCGCTTCCAGCTCCGGTGTCTCCTGTATTCGCGTAAACAGCGGAACATCTGCGCGAATGGTCAGAAAAGAATCTAATCTCTGTCCACAACAAGTGGCAAAAAAGCATACCCTGTCCAGATACTGAAGCTGACCAACATTCCTACAGCCGCGATCATAAAGAGCATTCGCCGGCCCAGTACGTCGACAAGGAAGGAGGAGAATCCTATTGCGACAAGGAAGGACCAAATTTGCAAGCCTCCGTTAACCACCGCCTGATCATGCGAGGACTCGATGCCCACTGAGCTCAGAATTGAGTGTAGGTAATATGACACCAGGCCATTTCCCGAACACTGAGAGAAGAAAGAGACCAACGCAATCAAGAGGAGACGTTTCCGATTTCCGGGTGTTTTGATAAGGGTCTGCCAGCCGTTCCGGGAGCTTTCCTCTTCTAGTCGCAGGGTTTCCTGAATCTCACAAAATTCAAATGCGCAAAGCTGGTCGGCTTGGTCCCCATTGCCATGATACTGCGAAGTTAACTCATTAACTAAGTTATAGACCAAGTCCCCGGTTTCCCCAAAGGACAGAAATAGCCTTGTCGCACAGAACCCGACTAACAGGTGAAAACATTTGAGACATACCTTTACCAAGACGTTGAAGGCTTCATCTGCCCTGTTCTTGGCGCAAAGCCAGCGGGGGCTTTCCGGGAGGAACCAAATTCCCACAAATTGAATAACGGGCATAGCCACTTGCATGCCAACTGGGATCCTCCAAGATGCTTCCGAGGTATATTTAATGGTCCCAAAAACAGTCCAAGCCGCGATGATTGATCCAAGATACCACAGAGTGTTGTACATAGTTGTCAGTGTCCCGCGATGCTGAGGATGTGCTAGCTCCGTGATAAGCAACGGGGCCGACCCTTGACTGATGTTGGACCTGTTTCGACTTGGTCATTGATGGAACTTGTGTGAGTTTGAGGTAAACGTACCCAAAACCGACCAGGAACCTTCCCGCGATAAACATTCCCCTGTTGACGGATGGGACTACCTGTATTATAGTGCCAATAAAGATGACGGCAAGGCCCACTGCTACACCGATCCTACGTCCCAACAGGTCAGCCACATAAGAGGCTGTTTGTGCCGAAGTCAGTATCGCTACCATGCCAGAGGATACGGCGCCCTATGTGACTTACCGAAGAAAAGAGCACAGACCCCACCAATGTTCTGAATAGCCGTGAATAGTCCAAGCGTTGACCCAGTGGGATTATCAAAATCTATTCGCGTCGTCAATTGTTGGCTGAAGTGATGTATTTGTATAGGCTGGAATGGTCTACTCACAGGTTCGCCACGGAGTCATTGTTTGCAAACCGTTTAACAGTGAGCCATCATATCCATTAATAGTTGAACCTATGGGCAAGATGTTAATTCATACTCGTCATGCTTAGCGAATGACCACTTGCCAAGAAACAAGAGAGGCATCATTGCATAGAGTTTTCTTAGACCATGGGCCTTCCACCAAGTGACCTTGGGGATTTCATATGCAGGGTGAGCATGCGAGAACGCTATCTCCGTATGTTCAATCGAGACATCAGCCTCCCGATCAAGGTTCTTGGAAGAGCTCATGCTGGCACAATGTATTCACCACCGTCAAAGTAGGAAGCGAATATCGATAATCTTCCAGTACAGCGTAAGGAGGGGAGGTCATCATGAAAGGCAGTAGTATGCTCCTTTATACATTTTACCAATCGTGTCTTTGAACGTCTAGGCGGCATCTAAGGTTACAAGCATTTCAGTGGCTTTAATAATTCCATCTAGGTCCGTGATTCCTTTTGGTACATCCATGATACCCATTCGGGAAATCGCCACATAGAGACAATTTGCGGAGAAGCGCCGGGTTAACAGCCAACAAGAGTCATTCATTGCCGTCCGCACTAAATCAAGGTTGCTTTGGGGTATGCCGTTGAAGCTTGCGTGTCCATTCAGAGGCCGCGTTCTGGGCTCGTCTTGGATCCACCTTAGCGGACCGAAGACCGAGTGTTGTATCCCCGCATTAAGTCATCTGGAGATCAGCTCTTCCGAGATATAGCCAGCAATACCTTCACTTTCCATTCAATTAAACTTCAGACAAGCTTGCAATCGAGCTATAGCCCGGGATATAGACCAATCAACGGCTCTCAATCCCGAACTTCTTACAGGGCATTCTTCCGGCGGGATGGCAAGCACCGTCTATAATCCTTATAAATGGCCTCGAATTCTTGTCCAGTGGCTTCACAATTACCATCATCTTCTTATTCACATCGGTACTGCAACAGCTCTACTATTTCATAATGTCATTGCCGAGCACTCCATACCCTCATCTGCGTCAAACAGACAACGGGAAGCAACTTATCGTCGATGGCAGACCTTTCCTTTCTCTGGCTGGAGAACTCCAGAACTCCTCTCTGACCTCGGCGGAGTATATGGATACACTCTGGGAGAAGCTCGTTGACACTCACATCAACACCGTCCTCGGATGTGTCACCTGGGAAATGATCGAGCCGACTGAAGGGCATTTTACTTTTACCGAGCTAGATAGGGTTATCCTGGGTGCGAGAAAGCATGGACTGCGGCTCGTGCTCCTCTGGTTTGGTTCATTCAAAAATGGTATGCTTAAGCTCCCCGTCTCATTATCATACTCTGTGTTTATGAACTGGTACTCATCAGGAGAGTGAAATGTAGGTATATCGACATACGTACCAGCCTGGGTTAAGACCAATCCAAAGCGGTTTCCTCGCGCCAAATTAAGGAAGGCTGGGGGTGTTCTTCAGACTGCAGATGTGCTATCCATCTTCCATGACGAAGCGCCGAAAAGTGATGCAAATGCATTTTCACATCTCATGCGTCATTTGAGGGTGTTTGATGGCAATCACTCAACTGTCATCATGGTGCAAGTTGAGAACGAGACAGGCTTGCTCGGCGACTCGCGTGATGGGTCATCGATCGCCGAAGAACGCTTCTCTCAGCCTGTACCGGAAGACTTGCTTACCTTTTTAGCTGGTGATTGGGATAGCCTTCACCCTGACCTCAGAAGTAATTTAGTCCACTTCAAGGCTCAGTCCCAACCACGCGGGTCATGGGCCGACGTATTTGGTCGAGGACCACATACGGACGAACTCTTTATGGCTTACCACTACGCACACTACTTGAATCAGGTCGCTACAGCAGGAAAGCACGAGTACCCCATTCCGCTCTACACGAATGTGTGGCAGAATTATGTGGGAGAAGACGGGGATAATGATTTTCCTATTGTTGCAGGGGGTGGTGGTTTGCCCGGCGACTATCCATCCGGCGGGGGTACCAGCAATGTCCTTGACATTTGGCACCAGTTCGCCCCGGCGCTGGACTTTATTGCACCCGATGTTTATCTGAACGAGTACACTCAGTCCTGTCGTAAGTACCGTCATCGTAGCCAACCACTGTTCATCCCGGAGCAGCGGCGTGATGAGTACGGGGCGCGGCGGATCTGGACGGCCTATGGATCATACCAAGCGATCGGGGTGTCGCCTTTTGGCGTCGATACGCTCGAGCCGTCTACCAATCCATTCACCAAGCACTATAGACTGCTTGACTCCGTCTCGCAAATCGTGCTTGACGCACAGCGGCGGCCGGGCTCGTCGGTCGGCTTCTTTTTCGACCAGCTTGCGGACAATGGTTCCGATCCGTCGAAGCCGGTTGTTCGGCGCTACGAGGGGTTCGAGATCACTATTGAACGCTGCTTTGTCTTTGGCAAACCTGGTCCGGGCTCTGGCATGGTGATCCATCTCGGTGGCGGCAAGTTTCTATTGATCGGCTGGGGATTCCAGGTGCGTGCGATCTCGGTGTCCCCGAAGGCGACATTCACCGGTATTCTACGGTTTGAAGAGAAATCCGTCGTCAATCGAGAGACAGGCGAACTCAAGACGCTAAGGGTGCTCAATGGCGACGAGACGCGAAGCGGGATTTTTGCCATGATGCCTAACGAGGACCCAGACTATGGCGGGTTTCCTATCTGCGTAACTATCCCTGCGCGGACTATGATCGCTGAGGTAGAATTCTATTCGATTGATGATGAGACTGTCGTGTAGTGTATGTTCGGAGAAAACTCCTGGCATATCGACGTTGGGTCTTGGACGTCAAGTACTGGAATATATATACAGATGGTAATGACATGACCGATTTTATTAAAACAATAGGGATAAGTCATACTTGGACATCAAACAACTTAGTTCCGTAGGGTAAATCCTATGTCAATAGAGTCAATTCGAGAGGGTTGTCGGCAATTGAACGGAAAGCATCGCTTATTGAGAAAATGTTTGTTGTTGTTGTTCTTCACATCGAATGCTCTCTCCGCAGTCTTGGCGGTCGGAGGTGATTCGTCCGCAATCGTCATAAACCGAACCATCACTTGACTTCTTCCACTTCGCTCTCTTCCTTCTTGTCGTTTTCCTTCTCGTTTTCCTTCTCTAATCCAATTCCACAGAACAGCTTACGTTCCCAATGGGCCTCATCAAGCGACTCCTGAAGCTCTCCACCTACGGAGGTCTCGCCTCGGCGGGCGCCTTCTTCTACACCATGCGCAATGACGTCTTCGTGCCCATGCCGCTTACGGATCCCATCTTCCAATCCGCCGCCTATCGCAAGTTCAATCCCGAACAAAACCCAACCACCCACGACCTCTGCGTGCGCAAAGTACCTCTATCCGACATTAACCCGACCTTGTTAGAGAAAAAGGGCAAGCTGGCTGAAGCCTTCTGTGCTGGAGTCTGGAGCGGCTGGGGTAAGGACAGGACCATACCCAACTACTGAAGCCGGGTCGGAGAGAATCGAAATTAACATACCGGATTTACCTAGGATATGCCTTCCAACGCGCCTACCTCGCCCGGAAATACCAAGGTCCCGAGACCGCGAACCACCTCTGGGAACGGTCGGAATTAAAGGCCTCCAACTACGATGTCGGCACTCTGATCACCGACCACTTCGAGGTTGTTGAGAAAACCCCCGAGCGGATTGTGGTCCGCTGCGGTGATAGCCCCCGCAAACAGGACGTCCGTGAATCGGACGGTCTCTTCGAAATGTCGGCCGTCGTTAAGCCCGAAGAAGGAGTTGCGGAGTTTGCTCTCAAGAGCTGTTTCTACCAAGGAAAAGGCAAGGCCGAGAGCCAGCCCATGCCGCCACATATTCTCTGGCTGCACAAGCAGTATACGAAGTTGTGGGCTGAGACGGCTATCCGCAATGTTCTCCGTCAGTAATGATCTCCGATCGGAAGAGCGTGTTTGTGTGTGACCATTGTTGAGCCGCCACTTTGTACATAATACCCGATTGCGTAAATGGAAAGCGAATAATACCTGCCTCTTGAGGAGGCGTTTTTTTTGCATGGTTTCAGAAGCTAAAGAACAGGGCCCTGGGCCGATTACTTTCTACTTTCTCTAATGCTACATATTAGTTATGAGCGAATCTGGAACCGCACGGCCTCCCTAAGTCTGTCCGGCTTCTAGGGAAAGACAGCCACGCGGTGTATGTCCTACACATCTGCGAGTATTCATCGTCCTTCATTTCGTCATGGCGGTTGAGTACAGGTGATACAGTATGGGGATGCAAGTATCTATAATGCAAGACCAAGTCCCTTTCCCGGAATCGCAGATGATACTGTTTGTTAGTACTCATTCCGAAGAACAACCGAAATAAGTCGATATTAGCAACAGAAGCGTTGATGAAAAGGATTGGGCATCGAATGAAAAGACCGGAGAATGAGTTGCAAGCCCATTTTCAGTCTGACAAGCAGGGCCGAAACATCCCAATATCATGAGTACAAAAACCGGACTTGCATTCAGATAAAGGCCCTTTGTCTATGTCGATGATTCGAGTGTCTCACCACGAGAAGAACATCGTTGATCCCTTCATTAGCAGAAACAGATGTGAAAGTGAGAGAAGGAGATCAAAGGAAAGGGCACTCACCAATGACCCATGTAATCCTCGACAAGGCAAGACTCGAGAGATGTTTGGTATAAAACCACCCTTTCCCACCTGTGACTGTGATATGCAATCACAACAGAACTTTTCACTTGGCTGTAACCATCTAACCTCTACTGAACTACTGTTTGATCCACCCATCGAAAATGGTCAAGACCATTATGAGCGCGCTTGCATTCCTGGCCGCAATCGCATCACTGACTACCGCCACCCCGGTAAAATGTAACAATGCCACGGAGTACTGCGGAGCGACACTTATAGATAGGGGTAAAATATGAGCCAAAGAATTCCATACTTGAACGTCATTGATACTGATACTTAGTACACAGGCGGGTACCTGGTGGACATTCGCACGATACTCGAAAATCACGGAGAGGATCCTGATGGCCCGCTTTTAAAAGACGGTCTCTTTCGGTGTAAAGAAGACGGCAAGCTTGAGACCGATTTTAAAATCTGCGGTGAAAATAAATGTCGTGGTAACGAGCATCATTACCCAGAGACGGGCGATGATTGTCATGGACAATAGCACGGAAGTATACTCCCGGATATCGATGAATAGAGTATACCCGATTTACTCAGAGGCACTCAGTTGGTGTCTGCTTGTCTCAATGTTTTTTGATACTTAATGATTCTGGTTATCGTCTAGGCTGTCGGATATCCGTCATCAAGTAGCACTATTCAGCCATACCAGGAATGATATATATGCCATCCAATGGGGCTCCTCTCTTTAGCAAAGGTCTCCAAATGTATTTTGTTTGTCCCTTAAGCCTGTTAGACTATGATTGCTACTTGGGGCGTATAGGTTCTATGATATTATAGACGCTTCCAACTTGAAAAGGGATAGAGATGACATCCCCTAAGGATTTATTAAGAATAACTGATGCTATACATAGCCAAGTATTATAACGATATAGACATATTAAGCATAATCATTTACCAGGGCACCAACGTAAACAGAACAATTCTATGACCAGCAGTACAAAGACTGCCTTGTAGCATGCCTCGAAGCACGGGGAAATTGGCATAGTCCCTTTACTGCTTAAACAATACGGAGCTGAATGAATATACGGCAAAATTGTACCGCTACTATTTGGGCACGTGGTAGATGCTAATTCTCCTTCTAGTGAGTCTGTTTACTGGGGATATTCAATCACCAAGTCTTTGAGTAGGTAATACGGCTATGAATGGATAGATTGAGTATGGTGGTAGCGCACAAAAGGTGTTTGAGACTGTACAGATTCACATACTGTGGTCGAAGGTGTTTTTGATGGCTGGAGGATTTCTCTTTGTCAGAGTTATAGCCGGGTCTAATTCACTTATTACTAACCCCTCTGCCCAGAGTGCATGTGAATAGCGACTGATAAATATAAATATCATCACGTATTCACTAGGTATAAAGATAGTACAATGGAATTATAATTGAATAATTATCAATTCAATACTAACATATACTATACCACCTTCAATGAGTGAAATCAAACTCAAGGCCCATTCACCATATGATATTACCTCAGAATCAAGATGTCCATAGAAACTAGGCTTTCAGTAGATGGACTGTCATCTCGATTCAAATATCCTCTTTTGTTCACAAGGATGACGCAGGCATCAGACTATCCTTTCCAGAACGGGGACAAAAGTTATCAATTCCTAATATTGTTTGGGACACACACACACACACACACACACACACACACACACACCGCTGTTCAATATCATCTCAATTGACTTATCGAGACAGTTATTAATCCCTACAAGGCAGGAGCACTTTCGTTACACAGCGTGAAATTGTGGAGGGTTGGTGCATATTGTCGCTATGGCTGTGAATATAGGCTAATATGTCTTGGTTTCACAGCAGATTTTAACGTGCTTACAGTGTTTCACTACCCATCCGTTTAATTCATCTATACACAGATTGTGAGATCCAAAAAGGCCATGTATTCTTCGCTGGTATGCTATATGATTGTTGAAAATCAGCACAATATCCTGAAGGTGGCAAATTCCAATAAACCTTAGCGTAGAACAGAATCAAAACATTTGTAAAGAAGTCGACAGATAGCTTCCTTGGACCTATAAGAACAATCTTGAAACGAGATAAAACATACCCTAGAAGTCAGCCCATCTCCCAAACACACCCCGGACCATTGCAATCCAAAGTCCCTAAAGTACTAATATCCATCACCAAACTACGCATCACCACCTCATAGGGTGATATATCAACCACAAACCCAGTAATATCCACGACTCCATCCTTACCCCCCCAAAACCAACAGTCTGGACCCAAACCCAAGAATCACTCATCACAGCCGTTAAATGCCTAAATATACCTCCAACGCCTTACCTCCCGCGTCATGCAACCATAGAATATGACATCTCATGTTCCCCATAACACTAGACCAATAAACTATATACCAGCGGTGAGACATCTCCAACTAGAACGAAAGACGCCAATATGACAGCGCAAATCCCTTGTTTCGGATTGAGCGTGGGGCCACTCCCCACCCCATGCCAAGGTTGGGAGGTATGTCCGTGCGTTTGTCAAAACTGGAGTGTGGGTGTGGATGTGGATGTGGATGTATATGCCGATGCGTCTGCAATTTTTGGAACTAAATATATGCAATGCGATGTGTGTCAATCTTGGGTTATTTCAAGGGGGAACTTTATTTTGGGGTTTTAGTCTTTGGAAGTGGAAGAATTGGAAGGGTGAAGGTGTTTTTGTTCGTGTTTGAGGGTTGATGTGATGTGTCGATTTTGCTAGTTCGTGTTGATAGTTGTATTGTTGGGGAGGGGAAGAGATGTAAGGGGGATGGAAAACGGGAGTGTTAGTCATTGATTGAGGTTTGTAGGCAACTAATTCTCCGGATTCCTGTTGTTGCTGAAGCTTGGTTTGGGGTGATAGCTGGCGGACTACTCATCTATAACCCTATCTGGCTGTTGGAACCTTCAATATTGATGCGCGAATCTTACTCAGCATAGGCCTCTCGACGTCAACAAGTTTATGAACTAAAAGTATCAAATATCAACAAGAGAAAATAAAACTTAATCGACGCTGATTCCAAAGTATAATCACGAAGCAGCCCGTATCGGCACCGCCTCAATGACACTCTCCATTCCAGGGCTCCCACTCCAAATGCCGGTTATCTCCAGCCCAGCCGCCCCCAATAACTCCCTCCATTGACGTTCTGACCGCTCCATCCCAGACCCAATGCTCATCATCTGGATATCGATCGACGCTTGCAGCAGTGCCGCACCTGTATCTGGAAGGACAAAGTCTGCAATGATGATGCGCGAATATTCGGCGTTCATGGCCGAGATGGTATTGACCAGAATCTTGTGACAGATGTAATCCGGCCAGTCGTGGAAGATGGCACGGAAGTAATAAGCTCTGGCGCCTGTTTTACTTCATATTAGCTTTGTGATAGATTACAATGGTTTGGCTCTGGACAGAAAAGGTACCTTTTACCGGCTGCGGGTCCAGGAAGCTATACGCCATGGCCTCGATCTCTTCCCCTGCTGGCGCGGAGGCGACCACTTTCGGTAGGTCCTGAAGCACTAACCGGCCGGTAACATCCGGGAACTTCTCCCGGAAGCGAATCAGATCGTGTCCTTGGTTTCCTCCTACGTCGACTAGAAATACGGCGCCATCGTGTTCCAGGGCGCCGTTCGTCAGTCTCTCAACCGGATACACGTCGAACCACGAAGGTTTGCCCTGTCGTCGACTGGACATGTATGAGTTGAATAGTGCCTGGTGGTGTTTCCGTTGAGCAAGCCATTCGAATTGACTTTGTCCCACGGCCCATCGCATTGGGGATCGGGAGTACTCCTTCGGCATGAGATAGTGGTGCTGGCGGAAGTACTCTGGAAGTCTAGCGAGGGTCGGAACGGTCAGGTCATATCTACGTGTCTATGTCAGCGTAAAGCGCAGGAGGATAGATGATGCTCAGGGCTCATTACATGCATGGAACGCCATCACGTCCAATTGGTTGCGTCATTGCTATTGTTTTGTCTGTGGGAAGGTACACCTCTGGTTCGATGCTGGCACACAGACCCAGCGCTGCCATGACTCGCATTAAGCGGACTATACATATTAGTAACTGAACCCAAAAGTTGTATTGCATCGTATCCATACTGATTAGTGCTCTCTCGGCGCCGGTGTACTCTGATAGTTGTGTAGCGGATAGCCCTTTGGTGGGGTGTTCTAGCAATAAGGGGAAGACGTTAAGGTCGATGACGGTACGAAGAGCTGCATTTTGCGGGGGCTATGAAATGCATCAGCCAATTGACTAACAGGCTACTTGCTATATGGGTCAAGTTTAGTGACAAGAGGAATCAACCATACCTGGTAGATCAGCCGCAGCACTGTCTCGGTCGGCGTCTCAACCACGTACTTCAACCGATCAATCAATCCCAGGAAGCGGGAATGCGACGTTGCAGAGCGAGAAGAGCTGCATTCCTCTAATGCAGCATCCTTGATCTCCTCCACCAGAGACAGTAGGGGCGGCATCTGCACTTGCGGCTCCATGTTCGCGCGGTTGGGATTGGAATGCATATATGAGAAATGGCCGGAATTAAAATAGTCGCGAGATGGCAGTTCATGGGTTATATGAATCACTAATCCATGTAGAAAGCCCTGAACCACTCAGGAGATCTTGATACGAGGCCAGCGTGGAACAGTAAAGCAGGGGCGTAGCTGATCAATTCTCTTGGGCAATAATAGACAGCTGCAAACGGCAAAACCGAGTAAGAGCTCCGGCTGCAGTTAGGGCTTGGTCGTATTTGGGCCCTGGAGTTGGTCGAGTCCACTCGATGAGTCCAGTCTTGTAATAATTGAACGCCATGCAGAACTTAAATGTTTATTGTCCGAAGATAATGAAAGAATGGGGGTGCCCGCGAGTCATTTTGATGACAGGCTCACCATGATTCTGTGTCATGCTCACCTTCGGGGTTGCTACGCCACGGGGATTTATTCATCTGAGACGTAGAGCCATGGAGTAATCGTCTGTGCAATGACTGTGGGTGGCATTGTGATAGAAAGCTCTTCTAGTGATATCACCCTTACCAGTCTTCAAACTAGCTGTTGCGGCGGATGTGAATAGCACGCACATATCTGTACCAGCCGAGTACTTCTACTCTACCCTATCAACTATCTATGACTTCCAGTAGATACCGTCGTCATACATCCTTCCCGATGGCTGCTGAAAATATTCTCGAATCATCGATCTGGCTACGGCCACTTGGGGGAATGTTGACGCCACCACCACGGCTTCTGTCTTCCGTGGAACCTTCACTCACCTGGTCTATTCGCGTAGGTGACTCTCCGAATCGGCGAATAGTAATCGCGATCATTGCGGCGTCAATCCAGAGACTAGATCATAGGCCATTTGGACAAGTCCCCTGGCCCAACCATGGTGCAAAGCTGTTGCAACTGTTGGCACCGCCTGTGGCGCGCCCATCTTCCAATTCGTATCCACAAACATTCCCCACCTCCGACAGGGATGTCAAGACAATACGTAGAGGTCATGCGCAGTTTGTAGTCGATCGCGGCCCGATTGCACCATCCATCAGCCATGAACCTGATCACACTCGAGATCCAATCGCGATCAATTTGCGAAAAATGAAAATAAGTCATTGGACGCGATGATCAGTGGTGTACACATACCCCGCTCTCGAGGCTCTCTTTAGCCTGAGTTATGCGTGCGTCACCACGATATGACCTCTTGCATGGTGTGCCCTCAGCGTTTGGCGGAATAAGGGGTGGTGTACTGTTCTGGACAACGAGATGGGCATCGCAAGGATTGCCACCCTGGAACTACCACCATTTAATTTATGCGTGATGAGGTACCAGTCCTCAGCTCTGTGGGACTGCTGGCACGGGCTAATCGATCATGCCCGAGGATATTGATTGTCTTGAGAGTCGAACAGGGATCTCAGTGGATAGATTGCGCGACCGAACTTGCATATTGCTTTTTTCGGGCCGTCCTAATGCGACCCTAGCATTGTGGCACACTAGGCATGCAGTCCCGTGGGTATCCATGAGCGGCTGTGATATGAGAACAAGGGGCCAAAGAAAAGGAATAGACAGGAAAAGACGAGGAAAAAATAAAAACAAAAAACTAAGGATTTTTAGAAAAAATGTTTCACGGCGGATACAAACAACAGGGTTGTCCGCGTGGTATGGGACAAAGAAGGAATGGCATAGTCAAAAGGGGAGAAACAAGAGGATGAACAGGATGTGCGCCTAGGTCTACCCTAGTCACAATACGTAAGATTGCATGAGATATATGCGCCTGTGTGTGGAAGGTGTTCGATCATCGCTTCTATGGTGCTGGGAGTCCTCCATAGAGTCGCTAGGATGCTGGACAAGTCAAATCGTCACAGATCGACTGGTCGACCCGGCCCACTGGTTCAAGGCTGGTGGCGTTCCGCACGAAGAACTTTGACCAGCCCAATCAACATGGACAGCTGCATTGACTCGGCAATAATTAATCGTCCGAGACCCTCGACAAACAGTGTCCAAAGTGAGTCATAGTACCATCCTTCATAGCTTTCCAGCGGAAAAAAGGCCAGGAAGGGAAAAGGATCCGACCCCAAAATCCACTTGTGGGCAAGTAGGATTTTCCTTCTTCCATTAGCGTTCATGAGTATCGGTCCCGGTATTGCAGCAGAAGTACTTTTATGGGTGTTTTTCTGGCTTGTAGAGTGGTCGCCCAAGACACCACAAGAGGTCGCTGCTTGGAACTATCGAATTCAATCGAGGTCTTTCCGGATCGGTATGGCGTTTGTGGTGGGAACTCGGATGTTTCATCCCTTCCATTGCTAAGTGATTAAAGGTCCGTTCTTTGCTCCGCGGCCAATTTATCCGAATCCCACGAGAAAGCTAGGTAGTTAGAAACAGACAATAAAAGTAAATTGGACAAAATCAAGAAATTTCCCAGCTCGATCAGACCGTATCGCAGTACAAAAGTACCTTTTTGCACTAGTGGTGGGCTCAGGCTCTAACGGGCTCGGTTTCGGCCATCTGTCATCGAAAGGAATTTTATGTCTCAGCCCACAAAGCCTGTGGGAGATAGATGGACAACAGGTCTGATTACGATAGATGCGAACAAAAGTTCTCATCGTGATGTTCTGAAAGAACCTGATCGACATTCAAGCGTGTGAAGAAGCCAGGTAGCCGGAGCCAGGTGCCGGTTCCCAGGGTTGCATTGGTGAAGCGCGTACCCAGTACTAGTGATTAATTTGGCTGCATCCATTGAGCGGCAATTACTACGCCTCAGCATAGTGTCTTCCTAGCTCAATGCACTGGGTCTCATGGGATCATGATCCTGGCGCTGTCTCGTGCAGGGACTACAGCGTGATTGACAAATTACCCTGCAATCTCGACGTCAGCCACCATGCGTCAGGATTGGCCGGGGGAGCAGGAACTCGGGAGCTTATCGATGACGATCGCTCCACGATTCAAGATTCAAAATGGGTCCCGTCCGTGCACTTTAACCTTTGGGGGTGCGCTATTCGTCTTTCCAGACAACCGGAAGTATCTTGTAGGCAGGACTCAAGTCCCCCATTCCACCTTAATTCACCAATGGTACGAATGTCGTCCTCAGCTCAATCAAGATAGGGGGAGGTGTGTTCACCGCTACACCCCACAGTGCCATTCGGTGAATGGGTGGAGAGCTGAGGGAAAGATCCGTGGAGAGTGAGAAAGATGTCCGTTGCCTTATGCGGAAACCAATGACCGGAAAGTCACGAGAACCGAACCCAGGTAACTTTTGTTGTTCGTCATTCTGTCGAGCGTGTGGATCTTCAACTAGTAAAGCGTCTCCTTTAAATACGACTCGCTGGCTCCCACTTCTTCCTCAATTCCTCCCTCTCAAGCACTTGTGGTTTGACTTCTCACTCGCTCATGTCTCACCATGGGAATCCCTCAGTATAACGAGTCATCAGACGATACTCCCCCAAAGACAACAGATTCAGAGCAATTGATCGCACGTTTTGGTCGTCTTCATGTCCTAGACGACCTCATCCGCTTAAGGGCGGCAGATCCTGTCCAGCTTCCCATCCTAGCCTATCCCAAGCCATCCAACGATGATGCCACTTCTTATGAATACTTTACTGGGCAAGACCTGGACTGCATGATCGACCAAACCGTGTCCACACTAATGGATTGTGGCTTCAAACCAGTAAGTCATCGACATATCTCTCACCAGAGTACAATCGCAGCTCATATAATAGCAGCCTCGCAATGATGGATCTGTGGTCGCTCTGTTCACACTGTCGGATCTCAACATGGTCGTTACCTTCTTCGCGCTTAGCAGATTAGGGTACACGGTCATGATGGTCTCTCCACGACTGTCAGCTGCGGCGTGCGTATCACTCCTCGACATGGTCGGCTGTGACACGATCCTCTATGGGCAAACACCAAGTATCCGTGCCACGTTGGGTGAGATTCTCCGTCTGAAGTTGATCGCATGTCGTCCAATCATTCAAAGACCGTCTCTGGATGCCCCCCAGGAGACTGACGTCTTGGTCCTCCACCGAACCCGGAATCCAGAAGTCCAAAAACAAAAGATCGCTTTGATCCTCCACTCCTCTGGGTCCACCGGTCTGCCAAAGCCTCTGTATCTCAGTCATAAAGCCATCATGACCCATCCAATGCGGGGTCCGGGGCTAACATCCTTCAACTCCCTACCATGGTATCACCTACACGGTCTGTCGACTGCCCTGCAGGCAATGTACATGAGAAAAACAGCGTATATGTGGGATGCGTCGCTCCCCCTAACAGCATCATCAGTCACTTCAGCGCTTGAGGCCGCTAAACCTGAATCCGTTCAGGGTGTTCCTTATCTTCTCCAACTTCTAGTCGATAGTCCAAAGGGTCTGGATGCTCTGAGACAGTGTAAGCTAGTGACATATGGTGGTGCACCATGCCCTGATGAACTAGGCGATCGCCTCGTGGCAGAGAGAGTCCACTTTGGTGGTTCGTTTGGTCTGTAAGTAGTGCTTGAGACTCATCTCGCTGATACAGTCGCCTAACCCACTTATAGAACGGAGGCAGGTCTAGTAGCAGAGTCTCTCTCCCGCCCAGCAGGCGATCCTTTCTGGAATTATGTGAAGTTTTTCGAGAATCTCCGCCCTTTCATTTGGATGAAGCCCATCAGTGCAGATTTATATGAGTGTGTGTACCTCGCTGGTCATCCAGCACTGACGGCGTCGAATTCGGATGAGCCCCCAGGGTCGTACCATTCCCGCGACGTCTTCACGCCGCACCCTACCATTCCTGACCGATGGAAGTACGTGACCAGATTAGATGATCGACTTACCCTCGTCAATGGGGAGAAGGTGCTGCCCCTTCCCATTGAGGGATCGATAAAGCAAAGCCCACTGATTCAAGAGGCCGTTGTCATCGGACTGGGCAAATCTGTCCCAGGCCTTTTGGTCTTCCGGTCAGACGAGGCAAGAAGCTTCACCGACGAAGAGTACCTCGATCTTATCTGGCCCACAGTGGAGGACGCAAACTCCCGAGCTGAGCAATTTTCCCAGATCTCCCGAGGCATGATCACGGTCTTACCCGTTGGCTCAGCCTGTCCTCGCACAGATAAGGGGTCGATGATTAGGGCACAAGTATATGCAAAATACGCTGATGTGATCGAGGAGGCGTACACTAAGCTTGAACAATCCGCCGACGGTACACTTGAGCTTGATCAAAGTAGCACAGTAGCTCATCTCATGAGAGTCTGTCGAGAAGAGCTTGGGTTCCCCATCTCAAGACCGGATTCTGACTTCTTCGCAGAGGGAGTCGATAGTCTAAAAGCAATCCATCTGCGTCGATTGATTCTCAGAGATTTCAGGATCACAGACAGCAAGACTATCAGTCAAAATATAGTTTTTGAAACGGGAAGTGTCTCCCGCTTGGCAGAGTATATTCAAGCCGTGCAAAGTGGTCAAGATACAGAGGTGGAAGATGAGGTGTCATTGATGCCCCGAGTGATTGAGAAATATTCAACGTTCCGCATGCACACACCCAATCCCAACATCATCTCAAACAACAGGAGTGTAGTATGTCTTGTTAGTGCCATAATTGTTCTTTTACTTTTTCTAACATCCCTCAGATCCTTACCGGTGCTACTGGCTCTATTGGCGCGCACACGCTTTTCAAGCTTTTGAACGATGATACAGTATCCGCTGTGTACTGCCTGACACGACGGGAGCAGCCAAAAGAAGAGATCCTGAATGCTCTCGCAAAGAAAGGCTTAGAGGCGATGCCCTTCCGCACAAAGAAGATTGTCGCGCTCAAGAGCTCCCTGGACAAGCCCGATCTCGGCGTTGGCAAAGATATGCTAGCAGAGATGCAGCGATCAGTGTCACTGATTATCCACACAGCTTGGCCAGTCAACTTCAACCTCCCACTCGCCAACTTCGAACCTCACATTCAAGGGCTATATAATCTCATCCAGTTTTCTTTATCGGTGCATCTTCCCGCCCCAGCCGTGGTACTGTTCTGCTCATCGATATCAACGGCACTCGGTGCCCCAACGTCCGACATCGACGAGGCGCCTCTTGACGACCTGAATAGCGCACTTGAAATGGGTTACGGCCGCTCGAAGTTAATTGGAGAGAAGATCGTAAGTAACGCTCGGAAATCGGGCGCTCGGACGTTCTCCTTGAGAATTGGTCAGGTCTCAGGACATTCAAAGAAAGGTCTTTGGAATGATTCGGAGGCCATACCCCTGATGATCCGATCAGCCTTGACCCTTAAGGCTCTTCCCCAGCTCGATACAACCTGTTCATGGCTCCCTGTAGACAAGCTTGCATGTTCCGTTCTCGAAATTGCCAAGGCCTGCTCAGTCAATACACTAGAAGAATCTGAAGGGGATGCGATGGCCAGCGAACATATCGATGACACAATATTCAACCTGTCCAATCCTCGAACATTCACCTGGTCCGCTCTGCTAGATGCCCTGCAGCGAAGTGGGTTTGACTTCCAGACGGTCCCCTTCCACAGCTGGTTACAAATGCTGCGCGACAGCGAGTCCCGAGGCGAGGAGATGATCAACCCTGCCGTCAAGCTAGCAGACCATTATGAATCTATGTACGGCGAGGAGGCACCAGCACCGAAGACCTTTGTAACAGAGAAGGCCGAGCGAGACAGCAGCACACTCCGGAACGGTCGCTTAAGGATCATCCAAGATGGAATCTTGAACCGGTATGCACGGGATTGGTTGCGGCGCTGGAAGACCACATAGATCGCGGCGGGGGTATGACGGGACGATGATAATGTAGATTGATGATTTGTTCATGTTGTCCATATTTATCAGTAACTGTTGCACATAGAATTAATCCAGCGTAACGATATTATTTGTTTGATTATGGCCTGTATTAAGTGGGGGATATGTCGGTCGACCGTCAACACCGTCATATCCTGACTGGGGAGACCCGTGAATTGCTCGCATAGAGTCAAGGGCCAATAATATTGCATCCGAGTGCCACCGGTGTGGCTCAAGCAGTACACGGACTGCCAGTGAATGAATGCAATCTGATTAATGTTCTTGTGTATCCTGTTGAGTGATATTTTTGCTCCTGTTGTCTATCTAATACAAAGTGGCCAGAATGACGCAACAAGTTGAGATATCTAAACAGAAACGATAACAATCTACGGGGAACAAGATGCAGTCTAAACGAGCGGACAGAGCAAGACATCGGTCAAGCGTCAATCGAATTTAATGGAAACAAAAAAGAAATGTGGGTATTTGTAGAAAGCTCCTCCTACAGGACAATCCGCTGGAAAGAAAAAGGGAGGCCAAAAAACAAGTTGAAAAATCCACCGACTTTAGAAATACATTGTATTAGGCCAACATGGCCACGACAACACCACAAACAATACCGGCCATGCTCGAGATACCTACAGATTTGCTCGCACCAGCAGTGAAGACAGGACTTTCAGGATTAGTCCCGGTCGACGCGCCTGAATCGGTCTCCGTTGGAGCGGTAGCCTCATGGGTTGCAGAGGTGGTGCGGCTCGCGGAGGTTGTGGTGGAAGCAAAGCTAGAAGACGAGGCAACACGGCTCGAGGATGGGATGACCCACGACGAGTGGGAGGGGCTGTGGATGGGGGCAACGCTCGTGGGTGACGGCTCGTCGGGAACCTGTCGCGACTCGGTGGCGCCAACGGGGCTAGCTCCCTCTGGAGTACCCTGCTCAGCAGGGGCCGAGGTTGAGGCAGCCGGGGGAACGTTGCTAGCCTCGATGCTGGTTGCGGCGGACTGAGACTGTTCTGGCTGTTGGGCACTTGGAGTCGGTGCGCTGGACTCACCAGCCGTCTGCTCGGCAGGAGTTTCCGGGGAAACATCGGTGGGAACAGGTGTACCACCGTTGACAGTTCCGGGCTGCGAAGCAACAGGTTCCTGGGCGGTCGATGTGGGAGCAGCGGGGGTAGCCGTGGGCTCGACCGTGGAGCTTGCCGGAGAGACGTCGGTCTCTCCACCGCCGAGAGTCTGGATGGAGCCCTTCTGAGTACTGGCTCCGCAAAAGGTCGTAGTCTCCGTCACATAGATGGTAGTTTCCGAGACAGCATCAGCGCCCTCCTCGCTGTCATCTGAAGAAGGTCTTGCTGGGGCAGCAGTGGTCTGAGTCGAAGGAGCTGGGGCGGCGGTGGTTTCGGCACCGGCAACGCTGGTCTGAGGATTGGCAGGCTCAGGAACTGCGCTCGAAGTGGCAGGTGCCTCAACTGATGCCGTCTCTGGGGCGGGAGCGGTAGTCTCGGGAAGAGGCGTGGAGGTAATAGATGGAACGTTATCTCCTGTCCTCGACGCAACAGCAGTGGCGGTCTGAGCTTGCGGGACAACAGAGGCGGTCGAATGACCAGCACCCGTCTGGAACAGCTTGATGTAGTTGATTTCCCAGTAGGCTTCCTTGAAAGCGGCTGGGTTCTGAGCCACATAGTTTACACAGCTCTGGATGGGGTTGCTGGGGTCGCTGACTGGGCAGCCAGAATCACCGAACACGCCACCAGCCCAGTCGCCACAGAAGGTGGTGTCAAGGATGAACTTCTGCGACTTGAAGCGCTCGTGGAAGTCGCAGGTTCCCTGCAGGTGAGCCATCGGGGTGCCAAAGGCCGTCGTGTCTGGGTTACCCTCGGTAATGGATTGGGGAATTTCACTACGAGCGAAATACCAGATCTTAACAAAGCTCGAGGTCCATTCCATAGCATAGACACCACCATTCTTCTCGTTAAACGGGTCGCCCGAGGTACCAGTCTGGCCCTCGACCACACAGCCGATAGTCCCAGATGCTTCGCCGCACTCGCTAGAGGTCATGCTGCCACTCATATCGTTCTCGCTGGACAAGGCGCATGAACCGCTCGTATGCAGGACAATTTTGTTGGCTTCATGCTTGTTGACACCCTCAATGATATCGATTTCACCATCATAGGGCCAGTTGGGACCCACCGACCAGAAAGCAGGCCACGTCCCACAGGCGCTACCCGGCATGTGCTGGAGGTCGATAATGTACAAACCTTCATCATAGTAGTCTTTGCTTTCAATACGGACCGAGTCTCGACCCGGACCGTTGGGGCTGAGTTCGGTCTGGTAGTCCACGCCCATGTAGAAACTACCGCTTTCGGTCACTTTGATGAGACCCGAGCTCTCTGCGTAGCTCTGGTTGGTATAGGTGACAAACCCATTTGTTGGGTCGGCACCGCTGAAGACGTTGAAATGGTCCAGGAACTTTTCCCCCTGCCAGGCTTCAATCAGCTGGTAACGGCTACCAGAGCCGTCTGCGGTCGTAGGAGTGATCAAGGAGGAAAGAGCGATGGACCCTACGGTCCACACGAAGGATGAGGATGGCATCCTGATTATTGTCGACCAGTAAAGCAACCAGGCAAAGGTAGACAAGTTCGAAGATAGCAAAAAGTGAAGACCAGGGATCTCAGAGCGAGCCAACTCCTGGAAGGACTCTAGAGATTATTACTAAAAGGAATGGAAATCCAACCGTCAAGGCTGGCAAAGTTGGTAAACGAAGAAAAGACTGTCGAAAGAATGCAGACGTCAGTCCGCAGCAGAAAGGAATGTAAATGGTTTAGATTTAAAAACTAAAAAAGGAAAGGGAAGAACAAAACACAGGAGAGAACACAAAATCCAAAAGTTCAGGCGTGCAGGGGACATTCGATATAATAAACAAACGGAGAATCCCCAGCGGACCCTCCATCAGGGCCGGCAGGCCGTATTCTGTCCAGGCCCCTGGACAACTTTTACCATAATGGTCATCGTGGAGAATTGGCAGCCGCCTATGATTGTGGCCAGATTCATACAGCAGACGCCGTGGGGCCCACGACTCGCCAGATGGCTGTTCATGCCAAGTTGCGCCACAGGGGTCAGAGCGAATCAGTGTTCATATCAGGCTGCAGACAAAAATGTCTAGCTTGTGATGAATCCCGACAGGGTGCGCGCCTCCATTCTTCGCCCAAGCATGCTAGTGGGCCGGCGAGAAAAGTTACATCGCCAAGGACCTGTAGGGTAAGGCGGTCGGGGTTTCTGAAACGTGAACATCTCCTGAGCGGGGAAGGTATGAAACACAGGAGGCGCCTATCTTTGGGGCTCAAAAGGCGCGGCGGTTTCCACTGAGTCGTGTTCCCAGAGGAACCCATCGCATTGAATTTGTCATTAGTTTCTTCGTTCTGTGTCTGGGGTGCGTTGTGTTGGTTGGCAATTGATATGGGTTGTTGTTCATTCCAAGCGCGGTGCCTGGCGACAGTCCAACCTTGCTCGCATTTTCGAGGCACACTCTTCCCGAGCGACCCTCGGATCAGCCACTGACAGCTGCGGAAGGGCCAGCCGATCTGAGGGCCATGTGCAACCTCATAGGCGGACGAAATTTTGCAGCGGACGGGCCCCAATTTAGTGCCTGAATTCCTCGCATCGGTTATGTGGGCTAGGTCGAGCCTAGACACGCGGTGGAGTAAGTGTGGCAACGGCGTAGTTGCTCCGTGTGGACTAGTCCGAGAAGGAGAATGAGTTGTCGACCGATAGATAATCACCTGGATGGTCAATAGTCAATGTCAATTGGGGACACAGCGAAAGCCAGAGAGAGAAAGAAAGGGGAGATGATGATTTTCTGGTGCGAGGCAGGAGTGTCATCTGACTGGATGGAATTGTAAACAAACACCAAACAAACACAGTACGGCCGACGAGACCGTCCACTTTGGCAACTTCAATTTCTTTCTTTTTTTTTTAAAAAAAGAACAAACACTTTAACTAAACTTCGACCTCTGACTAAAGAAATGCTCTTTGTTTCCGTACAACCCGAATGCATGAATTAATATTTTCCTCCTTCCTCCCGAATGATCTGCTATTTTTAATTAAGTCAATCCACGTACAGGCTAGCTATGAAACTCCCTACTCTTTTATTACCTTTCTATCTATAGTCCGGCAATGTTGATATCAGGATCAGGACCATCTGGAACTTCCCGTCCGGTCCCATGGATCCTTCCGTCCTTTCTCCGAGTCATAGACTTTCGTGGCTGATTAACCACGAAAGTTTGAACATTCTTCCATCCGCTTATTTTATTTCCATACCGACAGAGAGAGAATGACAACCCGTCGTACTACCGAGCTTGACTTGACCATGTCAAGCGATTGGCTTGCACAGGCACGAGAGTATGATTGGTAGAAACGTCATATCGTCTACTGGTAGTACTGGGAGACCAGACTATACTATTCTCCACTCTACACGGATGCCATCCTTGCCCTACCTACTATAACTCCTAAAATGTATATTCATTAAGTAACATAGTAAGACTATTCATAACAGGGCCATCCTTCAATTCCGCAATTTTAATACTGCGATCAGCGTCTGCTTTGTTAGTAAAATCTGAATTTCACCTTGGAACATGTCCTATGAGATAGTGTCCGTTGACTTGAAATCCTGGATTAACCGGAAATGTCCTAATAATGTAAATGCCCATTGTCTACAGACCCCTAGTTAGTAGTAGCCCATGGCTGCTCAATTTTCCACACGACTATGCCCGAAATAGAAATCGTCTGCTCCTCTGGAAGTTCTCTTAGCCAACCAGAAGGTGTCGCTGTCGGAAGCTTCTCCTTTCACTTGCTATATGTGAAACAAACTATTGATATACCTCGTGGCTCGCTGAGCTAAATTAATAACAACGGCTCCCCATTAGGTGTCGGTTCTTCCGTGGATAGTTAATTAAAATTAAAGATAACCAAGTCCAACTTCCCGTTGTTTTTATTTAGATGTGCAAGTCGTTGTGTGGAGACGTCGAGTCAGGTAGGGCGACCACCAGCAGATTTTACATTAAGCTGCCGTTCGAAAGGATAAAATTTCTTTGTACAGAAAGGATCCTATCACGTATCCCGCTTCTTCATGTCAATCATTCATGGCATGCTTTCCTCCTGCTACTTGATTTGCTGTCGTTCACTTCTGAGTTACTCTGGTCATTCATATCAAATTGAGATAAACTAGATAATCCGCCAATGACAACCTGGAGATCGCCGCCGTTATAGTAATATCACAGTTTTGTGGTCCGGACTCTCCTACCAGTATCAATTCCAATCCACCACGGGTAATTCGGTGGCGCATCTTCCAGCGTCGCAGTGAAATGTGGCTTTCGCTTTTCTAGGAAAGACTTGGTCCCTTCTTGCATATCCCTGGAATATGTCAGCATACAACAATGACAGCCCTCACGTAGCCATAGTTACCCCATTGACCAAAAGGCAAATGCATACCTCCCATCAAACATATGATAGATCACCGTCGAATCAACAATATGTGCACCCTCCGCCGTCCCCGGATTACGCCACATCAAAGCATGATTCAAATGCCACGCAAGCAAACTAACGTTCTCCGCAATCTCAGTCGCCAATTCCAAGGCACGGGAGAGCACCTGCACAGGATCCGGTCGAGACTTCGCAAATAGCGACCCAAAATGTGGCGACGTGGGCGGTAAGACATGGCCGGTGGTTAACAAGTACATTGCGTGCGAGTATCCGATCAGACGGGGGAGGAAGAACGATGAACTAGACTCTAGGGTTAATCCACGACGGGCAAAGACGAACCCGTACTTGGCTTGTTCGCATGCTATTCGAATTGCGCAGGGAAGGGTTATGGCGATGCCCATGCCGACGGCGGAGCCTTGGAGGGCGGCGATGGTGGGCTTGCGGCATCTGTAGATGGCGAGGGCCATGCAACCGCCACTGGGTGCTCAGTATGTCTGTCTGAAGCCTTTTATATTGATACTTACGGGTCGCGAAAGTCAAGCGGTCGCTCCTTGGCCGGTTTGAATGGCTCCTTCAGGTCGGCGCCAGCGCAGAAGATCTTCCCTGTTGCGGTCAACACGACGACCTTGACGCGTTCGTCCACGTCAAACAAGGGGTAGAGCTTCCCAAAGGCGTCCATAAGATGTGTGGAAAACGCATTGTTCTTGTCTGGTCGGTTCAGCGTCACCACTACTACGGGAGTTGCTACCGGAACACCCTCCGGATGATGCGAGACCTTGACATCGGTGAGAGGGAGAGTCTCGTAAGACCTGGGAATATCAACAGGGGGCGGAGCTGGTACCATTCTGGCAGTTGCAAATATTACTGTTTCTTTCATGGACATGATTATACGATTAACATTTCGCTCAATCGTGAGTATGACGTACACTCCCTGCTCTCCCCGCTTAACTTCAACACGCCTCCCATACACATACCCAGGATACATACATATAAAAATTAATAATCAGACATACAAAACTACAACTTCGAAAACATGCCCTCCTTCTCAGCCCTGACATCCAACTCCTGAGTCCACGTACTCCTCGGTTGTGTATACAAAAACCAATAAATCTCCGCCAAATCGGAGGGCTGCATAACATAGCGATGCATCTCCTGCAACTTCTCGACTTCACCCTCCCTCTCCCATTTCTTCCGCAACCACCCCCCAATAATATCACTCTGCACGGGGCCATCAACAATAAGATGCGCAGCATGAATACCTTTACTCTGAAACTCCCTGGTAATAATCTGTGACAGCGCCCGAAGCCCGAACTTCCCCGGCGAGAAACTACTCAACCCAGGACTCCCACGAATGGATCCCGTGGCACCGGTGAAGATAACAGTCCCCGCCCCGGCGGCCAACATATCAGGGAGGACACATTTGGCAGCAAAAAAGGCACCGAACATATTAATACGAGTGAAATTTTCAAATTCCTCCGACGACGTCTCGAGGATAGTCCGCGGACGAATGCGTCTCGACCCGGCATTGTAGATGAGAACATGAACCGGGCCGAGGTCGTCCTTGATGGAAGCGAAGGTCTTGATCACACTTGATTCATCTCGCACGTCAGTGACGTAGTATCTCGCTGAGTTGGGGTATGACTCGTTGATTGAGTCTTGGATTTTTTGGAGTTTGTCTTCTGTTCGAGCGATCAGGGCTACGCTGAAGCCTTTTGAGGCGAAGTGGCGGGAGACTGCTTCGCCGATGCCTGGGCCGACGCCTACGACGGCCAGCACGGGGTTGTTCTTTGGATTGTGGGACATGGTGGGATTGTGATATTCTTGGTTTTTTGGGGATTTGTGGGGTGCGGGGATGGTGGTTGATATATATACCTATTTGGGGGGTGGATGTTGGATGAGATTAAATTGATTAGTATAGTTTTCGTAATCGGTTCCGACGGCCCGAGGCTGGTGATTAGTAAATCGTGTTGCAACATCATGTTTTCATGGAGGTATAGAATATCAATTATAAGAGTAGATTACTGGATGCTTGTTTATAGTAGGTTTTGATAGATTTTCATTTTCTAATATCTTTCGCATTAAGCGGAATATATTGTAGGAGCGTCGTGTATATTTTTCACATGTAACCTACTCTGAACTACTTGTACATATATCCGTGAAGCCTGGCTTCAGTCATAAAAATTCATAAACTTGGAACAATAGAAAATAGACAAGAAAAAAAGGTAAAACTGCGAGGAAGAAGAAACAAGACAGCGAATCACCCTCAACGTCAACTAAGCATATGAATGACTTCCAGGAGGACCTCCTCTAAACCCAGCACACTCGGGATCAGACAGCGGAGTTCTTTCACCGTCACATTTACAGACGCAAGATGGATCGATCGCAAATTCACTAAAGGAGTTCCAGCATTGCTTCCTGTAGAAACAATCATTATCATCCCGATGCATGCATGTTAACCCAGTAAAAGGGAAACTCACGTCAGCTCACAGCCTCCCTCTGAAGTGAAGGGTTTCTCGTGATCCTTGAGCCACTCGCTATAGGGCTCTCCAAGATAGTCACAGAATACCTCACGCGGATCATTGCCGGCGTGACAATTTTTCTGTTCATTGGTTTGGTTCTCCTTCGGCATCAGAAATCCAAGCCCAGGACCGGCCATGTCGTGAGGGCCACCAGGCTTGGTCGTGTTCTCGGGGCTCCATCTGGGATCTAATCCGTTATCCTTCCATCCCCACTTTTCGTTGAACCAGTTGTTAGTCCAGAACCAGGCGTAGTTATCCGCTGATTAGTGAAGGTTAGTGTGGAACCCTCAGGATAGTTACATTCGTGGATTAACGCACCATTATACTTGACGCCTACGTTCGGAAGACTCTGCCCGTACCATGCGAGGATGTTTGACCACTCAGCACCTTCGACCTTCTACACAAGTTGTTAGCCCGATAACCCGTGGTATGGGGATATAGTACATACTCTTGACTTGATTCCAAGGTTAGGATTCTGCGCCTCTAGGTCCATAACTGATAAATTTGGGTTAGGACTCAGTGGTTCAAGTTGGGACAGGGTAGAAACTCACCATGGAATGAAGACCCAAGAAGATCAACGTGAGTCCATTCATGGGCCAACAAGTGCTCGTAGCTAACCAGGCCAGGTAAGCTTTTGACAGGCATCTTCTCGCCATTTGTTATATCATTCAGGTACTTATGGCCAAAGAATCCATCAAAGAAGAACATCTCCAATCCTATATTGGTATTTCCAGTTATGCTTCCGGGCTAGCAGATTAAATGTCTGGAGCCATGAGGGCTTACCACGGTTAGACCTTCTAGCAAACGTGTACCTATTCAGAGTTAGTAAGTACAGGATGTCATGGTCAGGAGATCGTATACATACACTCCCGAGTTAGTACAAGGAGACCGACGCTTAGAGGCGCAGCGATATCTAACCTGATGCTCCCCTGACTTATTATCTTCGCCGACCTTCCCGAGGCGAGGGAACATATTGACTTGAGTCATGACGTCTAAATCAGGAGCCTGCATTAGTGCATGTCTATCTCATCTTACTGGCGGCATCGGCTTACTATGAACTTGGAGGTAGTGAGGCCGGTGCTTCTCGTGCTATTGATCGGAGGAATTGAGTTAGCAAATAAGAGACTGTTGATGAATATAAGAATTCTGTCTACAGTCCAAACTTACAGCCCACCCCTCTACTCCCGGCGGATCTGCAGCGAAGAAACGCTGTCATCCCAGCGTGTCCATGGGTTTGATAGTCCTCTTGGTCAATTCTAACATCATTCGAGTAGACTCAACCAGTATATCAAAGTGTTCATCTGAACATTCCACGAGGGCGGTCCACCAGTAGATGCCTTTATATGCATTTTCAATGTCGGTTATGTTTCTCCAACCCTGCACCGTGGGGAATACCAGGCACAAGGAAAGAAGAAACGTAAAAAGAGGGACTTGAAGCATTCTGAACGTGAGATCGCTCGCCATCATAGTTCTGTTTTTGAGTATAACGACCATGAGAACTCATAATTGATCAGGGTGAGACCCTGGGGTATGCATCGTTATAAAGGTAATTTAATATGAACAGTTCTCTGGGCGCTTAATCCATCCATGGTAATGTAGGAAATGAAGGATCAAAGAGTCTATTGTCATTGGCACGCGCAATATTGAAGTAGGGCCACCGGGCGTCAGAACAGATCTCTATTGGAAGGTATTGTTTCGGTGGAATTGCCTTGTCAAGGATGAAATAGGTTTGTGATACTTAAACTACCACCTCGCCCGGAGTCGCAATACATTGTCACTAGAGTGGTGGAATAGGTCAATGGGTCTAGTCTTGACTCTAGGTAATGCAATAAACACCTGAGAGAATCTTTAAAAGAGCACCCCATTGCCACAGGTAAGAAGAAACAGTGATGAGATTGTAACAACTTCAAAATACCAGAGAGGAATGTTGTGTCCTGGCAATCTCGGGTCGGGCAATTTAATTGTCTTGGCTGTTGTAGGGCTGTTCATTCATCCTCATTGGATGTCTATTCTCTTTCTCCTTGGTCGAGGAACAAAGACATGAGCAACAACCGTGTTTCAAAAAGTTTCCAGCTTCTATTCTTAGGCGTTAAAATTGAGCATGGTTGGCACTAGAATCATAAAATACATGACAGCATTGACTAATCGATTTAATCTAGTAATTTGTTTCGTCATGTAAAATAATAGGTCCTACAATAATGTAACAGCCGCTTGGCTCCTTTCGATATGACCAGCTTCCCGCTTAGAAGTCAATGTTTAAATAAAAGAAATATCTAACCTACGATCCCTCCTCGGTTCACTACTATTGGAGCCGGGGTTCCTTCTATCTAATAGTCAGCTTGATTTATTATCGGGTGAGGTTCGTTTGAATTACCCTCTCATTACCCTTGGTTGGCTAACAGTAATTCTATCCCAATTTATTTAAGATGAGTGCAGGTCTCGTCCGCGCCTTTTGAATGGTTACCTGCTTGCCCTTAATTGAACAATTACTGGCAATAGCAGCATTTGTATTTTTTAGACTTCACTGGCCTGCTCTACAGATTTAGCTTTACCAGATGCGCTGGCACATAACTAGCTAATATGGCGACATTGAATTAAACTCTCATATCGTCTTATTAGCCTCTATTGATCTGGAGCATTATTTTGGCCTATACGTCTTCAAAGGGACAAGCTTTCTTCTGAAGTGACACGAAAAGAACAAAATAACACTTTGGTGATTCAAAAATATGAAGGGAATTTGATTTCTTCATTAGGAGTAAACCATTGAATATGCCTCGGGGGTAGAGGTCCTGAGGAGGAAGGAACTAGGCGATCTTAGCCTAAATGCCGTAGATCGATTATCGCCGTGGAGTGGGCATACGCCACAGTCAGATCCATGGACGCTATTAGCCCGCATAGTTGGTAGGTCTGGAGGCTCATCCTTCAGTAGTTAGCTTGCCCTTAGTACGTACTCACACCGACATACCTTATACGGTCTGGCATCTTGGTCCATCGCGGACCATTCCCTACGAACACCCCCTACAATGAGATATTATCAAGCTACCACAATACCATAATTCATATTGTTGATATTCCACCGAACATCGAATCAAAACGTAGAGGTGCTGGGCTACTCCCTCCCATTCTTAGAAGAATCCAGATCCCCATCGGGACTGCAGTAGTCCTAACGAATAGGTCATCTGATTAGGAGAATTATGAACTCAACACTCTGCAGTGGATATCCCCACAATCACCGCCACGTACGTACTTATCTGATCTATTGAATTGCATTAACCGTGAACAAGACTAGCGTGCGAGTTCTTAGGGCTCGGTGTATCGGTCGAGCACATGGCCGCGTCATAGGTGGACTAAGGCTGTGGGGTAAGGCTGAGCTCCATGCTCCGCTTACTTAGCAATATCGCCACAATTGCTCCATCACGATGGGACCAGTTACCAGCATCACAACTCCAGAGGGGAGGTTTATTGCTTGGCGTTATGCTTGTTGTCTATAAAAGGGTGCCAATTTGCTCCTCCGTATTGGAATGTAGATAATCATCTCTCTCAACCATCTTCGTCATTCTTCCTCTCTAATCTACCAAAATCACAAACACGCCCACAAACACACATAATGGGTCTCTTTAGTCACCACGAACATCACAACGGCCCTCAGGGTGGCCCTGGTGGTCACCAAGGAGGAGGCCCTGGCGGCCCCGGCGGCCATGAAGGCGGTAGCCATGGCGGTCCTGGTGGCCCTGGTGGTCAACATGGAGGTGGCCCCGGTGGACCTGGCGGTCAGCATGGAGGCGGCCCTGGCGGTCCTGGAGGCCAGCATGGCGGTGGCCCTGGTGGTCCTGGAGGTCATCATGGAGGCGGTCCCGGTGGCCCTGGTGGCGTAAGTCAGCACCTTCGACTTGAGTTCTCATAAGCTAATTCTTGGGATCATTCACAGCACGGTGGGCGGTAAGCGAATCAAACTTACGACCTCAAAGTATATATTGCATGGATGGATTTGGGATGGGCATTTGACATATCTGGCTGTATATAATCCTAACTTGGAATCCTATCATGGTTCAGCGGCTTGATGAAACAATCTATTTTTATTTTATTGCAAACGAAAGACGTATGCGTGTAATGTAGGTCAAGAAGTGTCTTCTGTGGCATAGTAGCTATGTTCAAGACATTTAACGCCTTAAAGAACGTGTAATATCTTTCTAGCAGCAGATACTTGAAGATGCTAGCGTATCAGTGGTTCTCTGCCTCCTAATAGCCTTTCATGGAGTACCAATGGTGGTGCCGAAGTTTCCACCATCCAGCCCTACACCGGATAGGATAGCATTAATAACTCCTCCGATACCTTCACCAGCCATGGCGCCAGCAGCCACAGCATAGGCATACTTTTCAAACCCGTCAGGCCGCTTCTTCTTCCATACGGAGGCAATCACGGCTCCAATGAGCATTGCCGTTCCGTATTGCGTCGACGGTAACGTGAACGCCATCGCCATAATCATCATATTGGGGTAATAGGGCTGTATTCTGTTCCATTTACTGGTGCAGAGGTTTTTCACCAGCACCATCGCGCTGGCCAATACCGCTATGGCTATGGAAAACACCCAGCTACTTCGTGGTATTGGAGATTCGGGCCTTGTCACGGCGAGGACGATGGCACGCCAGGCAGCGACGCCGGGTGCTGGGAACTCGCACTGGTGATTCCCACCATCTCCAGCTGTGTCTTCAGTTGACAGAATGCAGGGGTACGCAGAAGCGAAGATAAGAAACATTGTAGGGGCCACAAGGGCAGCGACTAGTGTTCCTATCATCTGTGCGGCGTATTGGAGACGTGGTGATGTACCTAGAAGAAAGCCCACGCGGAAATCGCCCATGAGATCTAGATAGCCGTCAGGATCTATTTTTCATTCATCATTATTCTCTTAGGCGTAGGGTGAAGATCATACCGCATGCCTGATTTGCCCCAATATTGGTGAGAGCCCCGCCGAGTAGGTTTAAGCGCTGCGCACTTTCGATGCTCGCGGACCCTTGCGTAGTCACTCCGAGGACAACTTGTGTCACTTTGGAGAGAGATGAGAGTGGAACGGTGTCTATGGCACTTGTCAGCCTAAGTCTTATGGGTATGCTTATAGCAAATAGGTTTCAGACCTGTCGCTCCCGAAGCGTGAATCGCGAGTAGTGAAAGAAGAAACGCCAAGGTGAGCGCAAGTAACGTCTCTGCAACAGACATGTCGAATTGCACGCTCGTGATAAAGCAGGTAACAACTATTACCACTACTAGCCCGGGGAGCCACATCCACAATCGGATGTTGTCCTCATTGGCAGGAATCTTCTCTCCACCAATGGAGGTATAAGCGTACCCCTTCTGCCGTCGTGTCTTGAATGCTTGCCATAAACCGCGGGAGGCTATCCAGATAACCCGCCATTGGCAGAATAGTTCTACAGAAGCAGTAAGCATAGCCCATGGCTGTAACTTTCATGGTGGAGAAGGTGCAGAGATCCTACCCGTAAACGCCGCCGCGATCATACACACAACTCCTGGCCACAGGAGCCAGTATCGAGGGCTGGGATGCTGAGCATCTGCAAACTCAGCTGACAAGGAGAAGTAGGAGACCAGCCCGTCAGCCGAGGCTGCCTCCTTTCCGAACGCTAATCCATGAGACACCAGGTAGGGCCCTATGATACCCCTACACGAGTGTACATAAGTATAGAACTTCAATGAGTATGAGTTGGAGTAGTAATTGCAGTTTATTCTTACCAAGCGAGGATCGAGCCAAGAACGAAGGAGGCAGCAACATTCATACCAACCAGCATTCCAGACCCGATAAAGGCCGGGGTCCATTCAATAAACCAGCCCCAGCTTTCTATAGCCATGGCTGTGTCTGCCATGAAGCCAGTCGACGCGATCCAAGTGAAGATATGCCAATCCTTCATGGCATGGAGAGGTCAGTATTTTGTCTTAATTAATGTCTTATGATGGGGCGATTGTCAGACTACGGCAAACATACCCATAAGATACCAATGGCATATTGAGACACCACACGCAGCAGCATAGCGAAGATGAAGCTGTACGCCAAAGTTCGCATTTTCTGTCGGGCTTCGTATGCAACACTAGCTGCAAGGTGCATACCGCGAATGGTGATAGCTGTTGCCGATGAGGAAGGAAAGATAAGCCCGAGTTCTCTTGACACTTGAAAAATGAAAAACTTGCGCACTGCAACATCAACTTTAGGTCAACCAAATATCTTTGTTTCTGAATGGTATACGGGTGGCCAGCTTATCACGTACAGGGAGCTGCAGAGAGGAGACCAAAGTATCCTCCAGCTGCGGTGATAGCTACTAAACGTGCAAAGTCCTTACTGGGGGTAGTGAGTAATCCCAGTTGGTACAATGCGGGTATAGCAGAGACGAAGACATTGGACAATCCCCCAGCAGCGGTAGCCGCAGTTTGGACGATATTATTTTCCTGAGGTCCAAAGTGCTGGCTGTGGTATCCCAGAGAAGACAAATACGACGTCAATGGTTGCAGCACTGCAAAGCCAATGATGGACTAGGGAAGGAGTTAACGGACTGGACCAAGATGCAGACCACAGTGAGAGCACACTGTCAGTGTTGTATCCTACCCCAAAAATATTGGCAGAGTCCGTCCAGCCAGCCTTGAGTCCGAGGTACAAGTTGGAGGCGTTCACAAGCGTTCCACACAAACAGCCGACGATTAGGGCACGAAAGGTGAGGATGCTCCCTGTTGCTGGCTCAACGTCACCAAATGGTACAAAAGGGTCTGTGGGTAACGCAGCGTCCTCTCCCTCGTCTTCATCAGTGGCTATCGAGCTTGCTCTTTGTCTTGTCCCATTCTCCCCAGTCCGATGAACTTCTCGCATATCCGTCAATTCAATTGGCTGACTTCCGGTCGGGCGCGCATGGTCCGACATGACGGCGCACTCACTTCAGTTTATCGCCAAGACAGACCTAAAGAGCGGATACTAGTAAGGAAGTGGACGTTTGCTGAAACAAGACAAGAGCCTAACTGCAGAATGTCGAGAGCATGATATTCTAAGGTGATAAAACCTATTATTCGGCTGAAGTTATCCTGTCAGCCAGAAAAGAAAGATAGCATTACAATGAAGGTGATCTCCTGCCTTTGTCCATGTATTACGTGTCCGATTAACTCTGCTTATGACGGGGCCCCGCCACTTTAATGTGGCTTTTACCGGTCTAGGGGCGATCGGCGCACGTCCATAACACTGCATGACACGCACCAGATCCTTATCAATGACTCCCGGTTCTCACCTGCCCAGGGCATCTTACCCAGTTGTTTAATCTACAAATATCCTGCAAAGTTTGCAACTAACTCATAAGAATAGATGAATTCATATCTCTAGCTTCAGTATACGAAGAAATCAAGGAATGCTCTAGTACACTAAGTACCAACCAACATGCTGACGTTCATGCAATATCATAGAAAACACACAAAATGAATGGCTCGATAAAGTTGAACTTCGCCCGTCCTAATTCAAGTATCTGTCTGAGTCCCGATCTCAAACAGAAGACAATACACTCAAAGGAACAAGCTTATAAAGTGATGTCGCCATCGTAGTGGCACTGCTTAACCGTCTGTGTTTTTGTCTCTGTGTTGCACAGCCACTTGGTACCCGGGGCATGGCCACTTCCATTGTCATTGAGGGTGAACGAGACTTTCTCAGTCCCGTTGACCCGTTGGAGCTGCAAGGTGAAGACGGAGATATCGTTCACGCCGCCTGGGAATTGGACATAGTAGGCGGCGTCGCTGGTACGAGCGCCTTCAACGGGGCTTCCGGGACGATCCCTGGATATAATTGTCATTTTGATTGTTAGTCAGAAAAAGGAGAAGTGAGCATACCAGATCACATTGGCGCCAGTCACATCGTTGTAGTTAGGGTCGTTCAGTTTGAAGGTAATGTACCCCTGCTGATCAATCTGAGAGGCAAAAAGGCCGCTGATAGTAATGGCTTTCTCGGCTCGCTTGGCAGGCATAGCCAGAGCAGTACCGGCGGCCAGGAGGAAGGAGCAGATAGTGGTAGCCTTCATCTCGTCGGATGACTGAATTTGTCAAGTGATGATATAATAAAATAGGTGGATTTAGGAGTGATTAACCGATTGTGAGGTGAGCTGTAGTGTTGATGGTACTAGTCTGTTCAGTGCGAGGATTGACTGTCTTTATAGCTTAGAGACTTCATAATGCGATTCTCGAGATAATGACTCAAGACAGGCTGTTAGATGGAGACGCGCACACTTTTGCGCTCAGCCCGCTTGCTGTCTCGGTGTAGAGTATACGGATCTTGAGCTCGAGAGGCTGTGCTGAATGTCAGAGGAGCAGCATCACGATCCTTTCTCAGGCCTCCCAAACATCACGATTCATAATGGAGGACTACGTCCACAAGTGTGTCCAACGAAACTAGTTCTGGCAGCTTAGCTGCTGATCCCACCGCATCTGAACTGTGTAGCTGCCACAGTAGCAATGTGATGTCGCAACCCTAGTACTGACAGAGTTAGTCTGAGGCGAAGCTTTGTGGATTCGTCCTCTAGGCGTCCCATCATTCATTCTAGACTGAAGTCAAGACAGAAATAAGCATTCTTAATTTAGGAGAGCCGAAAGCTCCGATCTATCGCCTGGCAGCGATTGAACCTTGTAGGGCGATGGTATGCCTAAATTGATGACGTAAAATTATTTTTAGCAACAATGTAGAAGGCAGTCAAATACTCGATTCAAACCTCTAAGGCTTGGATTTGGAATTCCGTGGATCCTGCGGGTGGCCTAATCATAGACACCCGAGGCCAGATGAAATTACAACGATGTAGAGCCTTCGCACAGTTGCTCCCTGGTCCGGACGGACCAGAAAAGAGTGCTGTAAGGACCATAGTGAATGGTTCCAAGTCAGCGAAGAAAAAGAAAAACCTTTGGAGGACGAATAAAAAGTCAACTGTATTACATTGAACATTGATCTGCACAATCTGCAGCTCAGACGTGTCATTCACTTAGCCTATTGATGAGACAAGGCACCAAGCCGGATATCGTAGGCAACAGGAATACTTCGAAGGACAGTATCAGACCGGAAGTATAGTTCTTTGTAATCAAGCTCTCTCTCTCTCTCGTAGCTCGAACTGAGTACTTGAGAAGGTGAAGACCATGCATAACACAAGACGGAGCAAAATCGTTCTAAGAACACAACTTTCTTTACACTCAGCCCACGCACTTTTCACCTTTTCCACGCTCCCAGATCGATCAACACGCACAAAGCGGCGCAAAGTCGGACCAATACGGAAACAATAAAGACCACAGTTCTTCTTTAATAACTCTTCTGGGATAGTTCCCTTGCCCATGGCTGTCTGCTAGTGGGAGATCTTATTAGATCGGTCAATTTACTTTGGCACTTTGGTCAGGGTCTATCCCGAGTCTGCTGCGATGCTACCGGTCTCGCAGGGCACCGAAGAAACACTTCGAAAGGTATCTGCAATCCTCCAGATCAAAAGATCCGTGGAAAGAGGAGCAAAGAAAACCAAGGAGCTGAAAACAAGCAATAGGCGATCCGGCTGGCGTGAGTGGATCTCTCCGCAGGGTCCGTTCAGCTCGTATCGCAATCGTGCTTTAGCGCGGGAACTATTGATGCAAGCTGACGAACCGAACCAAGCAAACAGAAGGCAGGCATTTCTGCTTACTGGTACTCTTTTCTTACCCCGCACGATTCGCCCTTGCGTCACGGTTGGTGGACAGAAACTCTCGAGCTGGACGTGTTCTTTTCTTTTGCAAAATGGTGGAACAGTATAGAGCATGATTGATGTTCAATATCACCATGGCCCGAAACTCAATCTATAGAGTTCTGCTCGTGTGGATCACCACCCTTGTTTACTTATTCAATATAATCCTCGCCGAGCCGGTTCAATATTGCAAATTTGGATACAAAGGGAAGGAAGAAAATGGCGACGTGGACTTTTGCATGGCCATCACCATGCACGAGAATCAATCTTCGAATGCCTACGACATGTACTTGTCCATGACTATCACGCGAGGATCGGATCTTGGTTGGACTGCGATTGGGACTGGTTCTGTGATGGCTGGCTCGTTGATGACCATCGTCTACGGCGAGCCTCTTACCGGAGAGCCTCCAGTTGTCAGCATAAGGACAGCAGCTGCACATCACCAGCCAAAACTGATAACCAAAGAGCAGGCGGGTGGTGCAGATTTTCGGGTTCTCCGGGCAGAATGGCGGGCTATTGAAGAAGACGGCACGCTTACTACGCTATCATCCTCTTCATACGCGTATATCGCTGAAGTGAGTCTCGTCTGCTACTCCTGTAATCTGTGGCCGGCAAAAGGCAGAGGCAGTAGTAAGATTTCAGCAACGGCAACGTCTCTCCCCTGGATCTGGGCATGGAATGAGGACCAGGAAATCTCATCGCTCTCCGACGATGCCCATCTCAACGGACACAGGCACCGTCGCGGAAATGGTGGATGGGGCGAATTCTATGTCGACATGTCGCGGTCCCTTGATACCGCTGAGAACCCTCCACCTGTCCCATCGATTCAATCTGGGGTTCGCACTCTAGGCACTTCTGATGCACCCATCAACAGGAGTAAAGAGTTCACACTGTTTAGCAAGGGGGCTATACATGGCTTCCTGATGGGGATAGCATTTCTAGTTATCTTTCCACTAGGGGTGTTAGCCATGCGCTCACAATCCAGCAAGTCATTTAAATACCACTGGATCATTCAGCTCATTGCCTCCCTCTGCACTGGTACAGGAGCGATTGTTGGTATTATCATGAGCCAAGGGTCATTCAACTCCCCTCACCAGGTAGCCGGACTGCTGGTATCAGGCGTGCTTGGTCTCCAAGCGTTTCTCGGGTGGAGACACCATGTAATCTTTGTACGAGTCAGACACCGAACCTGGATCTCGCACGCGCACATCTGGGCCGGAAGACTCATTATGATTGTTGGCTGGGCGAACTTTCTCAGTGGCATGCTTTTTGTAGCAACTGGTCAGTTCTGGGTTATCTTGGTGTCCGCGATTATTGTGGGAGAGATCGTCGGCCTCACCTTCTGGGTTTGGAGCTGCAATAGGCACAAATCCCGCAAGTCTACTCTTGAGGCGTCGGAGGCCGAGGTTACATGGCGAGGGGAGCGAGACGGGGAATATTTCGCAGTAGGTGAAGATGAGGAAACGGAGATGAACGAAATGGGCGATCATGACAAGCATGAGAGCAGTCCGTATGACCCCATGCTTCCCCGACATGGTTCGCATTAAATTTTGAACAGTAGTATTTGGTCTAGCTGTTTGATTCAGCGGCATGCTATGACATCCGACATAGCAAAGCAAACATTAGTCTCTTTCAGAGACTCGAGAATGATACTCCGATCTGGCACAAGTTGAAACCTAGTAACTTTCCAATTTAAACCAAAGAGTCTCCACCGCGTCAGTTTCTCATGTCTTCTCCCATAGTGTAAGGGAAATAGGTCTCAAAAGCCCAAAGTTATGCTAGTTATGGACAGACCAACGCAAGACCGCCGTCAACCATACTATACTTCCACAACCTTCAAGCCCTCATAGCGAACATGTCCCCACATTGACCTCAATACAATAAAGTCTACATACAAACCCCCCACAAACCCTCCTCAAAAACCATCTTTCGCAAGAAACAAAGTTCAAAGGTATAAAATCCAACAAACCACCCTCAACCTTACACCGTCCCCCTCAACTCAAACTGCTGATCAACAACATCCCCAACCATACTTTCCAACCCCTTAAACCCAATCCCCAACTCCCTCTCCGCCCTGCCCGCATCAACCCTATAACTAATATCACCACCATCAACATTCTTCAACCCAAACCCAACCCCAGGATACCTCCCCTCCAAGAAACGCTTAACATCCCCCCAAGGGCTCGTCTCCGCCGCCAACAAGTACGACCTAAATCCCTTCACACTGTCATCCAGAACCCGCACATGCGCATCCGCAACATCGTCAACATGCACGCCATTGAACTGCGGGGAGCTCGGCGTCTCGGAGAAGAGAGACTGGAAAAGCGAGCCGCAGGATCCGCCGAGTTGGTCGGCGGTTTCTTGGACGAGGCTGCGGCCGTAGACGAAGACGGGGTGGAGGGTTATTATGTCGAACCCGGGGTTGGTGGTCGAGTAGAAGTCGAGGGTGGCTTTGTGGGCGGCGAGTTTGCTGGCGTGGTATTGGCCCATTGGAGGGAGGGTTGGGATTATGTTGTCCGGAGGGAGGGTGTAGCTTATCTCGTTGTCCTCTGTTTTATTTTATTAGTATCTTTTGGGCTGTACTTGGTATGGTAAGGGGTTGCTGGAGGAGAGGAAGGTGATATTGGGGAGAGAGAAGGGAGAGGGAGAGGGGGGGATGAGCTTACCTCTGACGACCAGTCCGTCCTTGAGCTCTCCCAATGAAACTAGCGATATTACAGATCCTGTAACTACCACCTTCTTGATACTCGGTACTTTTGCCGCAGACTCTAAGATAGCGACTGTTCCTTGCTTGGCGGGAGTAACCAGATCATCACTCCCCGGCTTGGGCAATGGAGAGGCCAGATGCAGAACACACTCCACACCTTGTAATGCCTCGTCAAAGCATCCAGGAACGGTGATATCCGGTACAATCACAAACTCCAATTGCTTCTCATAGTTGGCAAAGATCCGACGAAGCTTATCAGCTTGTTCCTCACGACGGATGGCGAGACGAGCGCGGTAGCCCGCTTGCAAAACATGCAAGGCAACCTGCGAGCCGATGAAGCCTGTCGCGCCGGTGATGAGTGTTAGGGACATGGTGGTTGGTTATTTTTGAAAATCTGTCTAACAGAATTAGATGTTACTTGTCAGAAAATATGGATTGCTTTTGGGCTATTTATTATTCTATTCGTTATTTCTATGCTGTTCTTTACGCTGACAAACGGTGCTTCTTGTATGATCATTAATCAATACAGTGGTTATCGGCTTTGCCTCTTCAGGGCACCCCAGCCAGAGGTTCAACACAACCATAAATCGGGTCGGCCGAAAAATAGTTGGGTTTTCTGGTTGAACACCCTAAATTAAGATTTACTAAATATAATCAATTGATGGTATCATATTAAATACTGGTATATAGCTCTAGGTGATGTTTGCGCTGACAAACTGTGAGATCTTCTATGATCATTAATCAGTCAACAGCCGAATTTTGATCGGTAAATGTTTTTTTTTTTTTTTTAGTGATATAGAGCTATGACGCTATGCCCAGTCTAAGTAGCTGTCTAACCAAAACTATGGAAACTGGGGTATCTGATTCTCCACACAAGCTTAATCATCTAAAATAATCTAGAGTGATCAGGACTGGTCCGATGCGTAGCCCTAACTACTGTATCGGGATGGGAATATCTCATACCTACTTATGAGGATTAGTGATCACTCAACCACCATAACCTCGGATCGTCTCCGCATTCAGGATGGCATCAGTATGGCACTGAACTATAGACAGAATAATGCAGTTCACTGCAGCTGAAGATTTTTATAAATAAGGCCACGACAACAAATGTCTTGACAGCCAGGTCATCATCTTCTAAACTTCACTACTACATACATACATACATACATACATACATACATACATACAATATCCACATCTCTCCACAAGCAGAGCCATCAACAAAATGTCCTCTCTCCGCGCAGCAGTATACATCGCCCCACCGACTCCCTTCAAAACGCCCGGAAAAGGAAGCGGCGGTGGTCTCTGGTCCCCTATTTCCTGCACCCTGGTCTACTCAGCCACCGAGGCCGTGCTGGTGGACACACCCATCACCATCAAACAGACACAGGACCTGATCGCCTGGGTCGACCGCATCGCGCCGAAGCGGAAGCTCTCGTATATTTACATCACGCACGGTCATGGCGATCACTTCTTCGGACTTCCATTGCTGCTTCAGCGCTTTCCAGAGGCTAAGCCTGTGGCTACGGCTGCCACGGTGCAGCATATGAAGCAGCAGGTCGAAGAGAAGAACTATCAAACTCAATGGGAATCGCGATTCCCGGGAGAGATCGCGAGGCCGTTCATCTTGGCGCAGCCGCTCCCGGGAAGCAACGAGTTTAAGCTTCAGGACCGATGGCAGTTCCAGGCTATCGAGGTTGGACACTCGGACACTTACGATTCCACCGCGTTGTGGGTCCCCGACCTGCGACTGGCCATTTGTGGAGATGTGGTGTATGGTCAGGTACACCAAATGTTATTTGAGGCTAATACCGCCGCCAAGCGTGAGGAGTGGATTAGAGCGGTGGAGAAGATCGAGGCTCTAGATCCGTTGTATGTAGTACCTGGCCATTGCCAGGAGGGGGAAGTTTTGGGCCGCTGGCACCTCGCCAACACAAAGCAGTATATCAGAGATTTTGCGAATGTGCTAGAGAAGAAGCCCAAGTCTCCTAGAGAGATTGTGGATGCGATGACCAAGCTGTATCCTGATCGATACAACACCGGTGCACTTATAATGGGTGCCATGGGCTATTTTCAAGCATTAAAGGAATCTCGAATTTGAGATTAATGTATGTACATTGAGTTAAGGATTTGAAGTAACCTCAATCGGAGCTAGTTGTGCCGAATCTGTAGCTGCTCACTGGAGACTGAAGACGGGCTTCTACGGGACTGTCCCTGGAGTATGCAACATAGCCCACAATGTATTCTAACAAAGGCTCAGTGGCAGTCCACCAGCTGCAGGGCAAGGGTGCGTGTGAGGTCAAGTAGCGAGCAAAGCCTCCTATGCTTCGACAGCCCTGCCCTGAGCAAACCAGGACTGGCTGTGCTCGTACATGTATCGGTCACCCGACATATCTGTGTAGAAAGCCAGACGGGTATCTGATCCCAACATGAATACCTGAAGGGCTTGGTGTGGTAAGGCTCTGTGCTGTCCACTCAATGCCACACGCTGACCCGCTCTCCAGGAGCAATGGATACCATAGAGATGTGGAGGCGTTGGACGATATGTTTATAGCGGACCACACTTAAGAACTCGGGTATCAAAACGACAATCATAAAGCATAAAACTGATGATGGGAGAGTTTGATACTAATTACTTCTGAGCTTTCATGTCCATACCGAGGCACGCAGAGCATTATCCACATCGGAGCGACGAAAGCCCGGTGTGCGCCCCAAACATATGCCTCTACTAATCAAAGCTGTTACCTAAGTTAGAGACTCAACCCGATAAATAAAGAAACCAAAGGACCTTACTTTGTGTGAAACGGGTGACGTTAATGGCCGTCCGTGACGACTTTCGGTCCGTTTCTGGGGCCGAGGAGAACAGGTGTACTCCTTTCTCGCGGAGATAACCCGCCAGATCTTGCATGTCAAACCAGTCTCCCTCCATTTCCTGTCTGATGTCGGGCGAAAATCGCGCGAGAGGATCGTGGATCGTAGTCCATTGCTGATATCGGCATAAAGGTTTTTCACCTTCCTGAGCTTGGCCGGTGGATCGTGCATAGTGGGTGCCAGCACCCCCAAGCTTGAAGAACGGGACCCCCGCATAGCATTCCTCCAACCGTTTCTGACTCAATTTAGCGTGCAACAGTGCTTCGAAGGCTGCAGTCAGATGAGGACGGTCCATGAGGGTAAAAAGAAACCGAAACGGTCGTTCTATGCGAGACATCGGAACAGACGGATTCGAGAGCACCAAGTACCCTTGATATACACATGCCAGATGTAATTGTTCGATGAAAAGAGGAATATCCATAGCAGAAGGCTCTAAGGGCTCGGACAGGGGAGGTGAAATAGGCTTTGGTGGTCCACTCTCGGGAGGAGTAGTCTGTTCGGTGTGAGTACTCGGGCTCGTATTTTGATCTATGGGCGTGCCGTCTGGTCCCGCTGAAGTCGACGAGGTGGTGTCCTCGCCGTGCGACGAGGTGTCCGGACTCTCGGGTTCGCCATCCTTACTGGCCTCCTTTGCCAAAGCCAAACATGTTTGCACTGTATCGCGTAAATGACTCGCGATATCGGGATGCGAGGAGAGAGCCCCCGACTGCACCAGATTATCGCTGAAGGAGACGACTGCCGAGCTCATTTTCTCCAATGTCGCTTCCAATTGCGAAATACGGCCCTTGAGGGAGGTAATGTTGGCTTCCTTGCGAGAACGGTAAGCACGTTGTGCCAGGCGGATCTGCATTCGACGTCGCTATTTGACTCTTTTCGTCAGCCAACCTTTCACAAAGAGGTGACATCACCATCGTCGACGCACTTCTTCTGGGTCCTCGCCCATTCGAGTATCCATCGTTTTACGCGGGCGACCACGCTTCTTAGAAGCCGGTGCACCAGTTGACTCGTTCAATTGACGTTTCGTTGTCTTCTGTGGGGTCTGAGTCGATCGTTGCATGTCATTAGGTGGAGTCCGTCGGTCCAAATTCATAGTGCGCTCTCCGTCCGCGGAGGACCCTGGAAATAGAAAGTCATTTGGTACGGGCAATGGAGCATTGTAACCCTCCGGTGGGAACTGTGCGTGCGGATAAAATGGCTCGGGAATGGGATATGAGGAAGCGGACAGGAGGGAGGTGAGCTGTGAGGTTGCGAGAGAGCTCTCCAGCAGCGACGGTCGGAAGCGTGGAGATAACAAAACTTTCTGGTAAATCTCATCCCACGGCAGGAGAGGAGCGTCGGGGTCACCAAAACTGTCGTACGTCTGGAGCTGCATTCCTCCATCCATGATGCTGTGACGGAAGATGAAATATGAAGATCGATTCAGATCAGTTCGAGAAGCAGGAAACGGTACGATCGATATGATCGGAGGAGAGATTTAATCATCAGGCCAGTCGGAGGAACTACTTTTAGAATGGCCGTTAGCGTGAGCGTCCGGCGTGTCGGGCGCCATTGCCACGCTGCAGTGATTGGGTGATGGGCAAATAGAGCCAATCCTGGTGCGATTTTAGGTTGCGAAATCCCTCAACTTTAAACATTCACGACGATTCATAACGTTCATTAAACCCTGGCTTCCCGAACCTGATTCGCGAGCGGGACGTTCGGCTCGGAGTGTTCACTAATCAACTAAATCTCTCCTTTTCAATTATTCCACCACGCCGACTGCCAAGAACCTTCTTTCCCCCTTCTAGAAGATCTCCTTTGCTATTCCATAACACGATTCAAATTTAGAATAAAAAAAATATAAACAGGTCATTAGTCCAGTAATAGCTAGACTATGTAGATCGTTTCAACATTTTTTTTATCGCGCTCAATTATACATACATAATTCATGGACATGCACGTTGAGCCATGTTTGGCAATTCCCCCTCTAGTCCCAAAATCAAATGCTATGGCGTTGAAAACCTTTTTTGATATAAAACAGACCCTACTCCAAAAGACTATTACATTACGTCAAATATGGGGCGGATCGGAGAAGCTACGCCTGTGCATATTCCTTCAGATACGCAACAAGCTTCTCGGCTCCCGAAACGGGAATGGCGTTGTAGTTGGACGCCCGGATACCTGTCCACATCAGTACCATGTCGCAATGGTATAGAGCGTCATTGCATGCTTACCTCCGACACTGCGGTGGCCCTTGAGCCCAGTGATGCCGCGCTCAACGGCTCCCTTCAAAAAGGCCTTCTCGGCCTCGTCGACATTGCCTCCCTAGACTCGATGTCAGTGACCATCTCAACCGACAATGATTGCATGGAAAACCTACCTTGATTACACGGAAGCAAACGTTCATTCGGGAGCGCACACTCTTGTCCGGCACAACCTTGTAGACTTCCGGATATGCGTCCGCCGCTTGATAAATCATATCAGCCTTCTTCTGGGCCTCGGCCTGCTGTCCGTCCACCTTATCGGGGAAGGTAGTCAGCAGCTTCTTGAGAACTTGGCCTGCCAAGTAAACACTACACAGCGTTAGACGTGTCCAGAGCTGACGGAGGCGCAACCTACTCGAAGATCGGAAGAGTGTTGTAGAGACTGTTGTTCTTTGCGGTTACGCAGTAGTCAAGGACCGTGGGGGCAATTGGCAGTCCAAGCTTGCGAAGGATCGTTGGGGGGCACGAGACGAGCAGATCCTTGCGGATGATGACGCCAGTAACTCCGGCACAGCCCAGGTTTTTTTGACTGGTCCAGTCAGCTTGTGTTCACTGTTCAGGTAATAAGGTAAATCTTACGCTCCGAAGAACACAATGGAATAATTCTAAATCAAGGTTAGCAATTAATCACTGGCCAGCACAATAACTGGGGTTCTATACCTTAATTGGGATACGCCTAGAGAGGATGTTTGAAGAGAAATCTCCCACCACGAATGGATCCTCCTCCGAACCGGTTGGCTCAAGAATCTTGGGGAAGTTGGGGTATTCGACACCGTCCACTGTTTCGTTGTCGCACATGTAGACCATGGTAGGCTTAGGGCTCAGGTTCCATGTCGATTCATCGGCAATCTTGCCGAACTTTCCATCGTTGACCTTCCGGGCGTCACTAGCAATGTTGACGTATTCGGGTCCAAGCAGGCGGATCGCCTCCTGGCTAGCCTTGGACGACCATCTGCGCCTTCTGTTAGTATCACAGAACTGGTTCAATGGATGCGACCGGAGACTGACGATCCCGTAACCAAGTAGTCCAATCGCAGCTCCGCCTCAACCTTCTTGCGGAGCTGCTGAACCACATCATCCTCGCTGGCTTCGCCAAGCTCCTTCACAATCTTCTGGCGCTGTTTTTCAACCCAAGCAGAAACGATGTTGTACACCGTCGCATCGAATTGGCCCGATCCTCCACCCTGCATCATCAAGATCTCATAGTTCGAGGGGACATCGAGGAAGCTCGTAAGGTTGGCCTTCATAGTGTTCAAGATGTTGGCCGCAATCTCGCTGCGGTGGCTGTGTTCGGCGACACCCCTAGGAAAGTCAGAATACCCTCTATAGCTTCAATTGCAGCGATGCCGGTCCGGAGCTTACAGGCCGGTCTGCTCATAGTTCTGCAGAGCTTCGGCAGCTTCGGCTAAGACGTCGGTGGGCAGGGCGGCAGGGCCGGCACCCATGTAGGTAATATCCTCTCTCTTCATATTGCAATTGGCGTTTGGCTGGACGAGATCTGGGACTTTTTCTCAACAACGGATTTAAAGGACCCCCTCCAATCGTTCGGAGGAAAATCGGCGGGTGAGTCATCTTATCAGTCAGGTGACTGCCCCGCGGTTTGATCTAATCAGCGCTTTTATCAACCGGCAAAAGGTTCCCCCCCCCCCCCCCCCCCCCCCCCCCAATCCATTCTAGCTATAGTAGCTCCCTGCAGACACACATCTCCAAGTGTAGCTTAAAAAAACATAATATAAACATGGCTATTGTCGCAGTAGCGGGTGGTACCGGTGGTGTCGGTCGGACCATTGTCGAGGCACTAGTCCAGCAAGCAAAACATCAAGTCATCTTGCTGACTCGTGGGGTATGAACGCCTACAGTAGCTCCGGAATTATATTCACGAGCTGACCAATCTGCCAGGTACCCAAATCAGACCCTTTGCTTGACAAGACCCAACAGGTGCAAGTAGATTACAATGACACTACGGCGTTGGCACGCATCTTGGACCAGCATGAAGTGCACACCATAATTTCTGCAATCGGGATTATCTCCGATGAAACATCTCAATCCCAGCTCACGTTGATTAACGCTGCGGCTCAATCCTCAGCCACCAAGAGGTTTATGCCTAGCGAATATTCATTTATCCAAACTGAAGAGTATACTGCCTCAAAGTCCTTGCTCTTTGGGCGTCTAGCTAACAACTACAGCCTCCTTTCGATCGACCCAAGTATCAAGTACTGGTTGGCTGCCGCTGAATTGCTTAAAAAAACCACTCTACAGTTTACTAGAGTTATCCCCGGATTCTTCATGGATTACTGGGGAATGCCCGTTGTTCGTACTAATCTCCAACCCTTCACATTTGGCATAGACATCGCCAGCTGCCAGGCCGCCATTCCGGGCGATGGCAACGATGTTATATGCATGACATATACGTACGACATGGCTGTGTATATTGTACGATTGCTGGATGAGGAGGATTGGCCCGAGTTTAGTGTGATTGTTGGCTCTGAAACCACATATAACCAGCTCCTCCAGCTAGCTGAAGAAATACGAGGTATATCCAGTAGATGTCACTGACAGTCCATTAGACTAACTTCATTTAGGCAAGAAGTTCCAGGTTGTCTACGACAGCGCAGATAAAATTAAGGAAGGAAATGTCACTATTCCTCCAATGCCTGCCAACACTGGGTATTCTGCTGAAGAGCTCAAAGAGACTACGGCACTCGTGAGTCGGTTGACTATTGCCGGGGTATTTGATCTGCCCCGCGAGAATCGGTTGAACGCGAGGTTTCCAGATATCGAATCAACTAAGCTCAAAGACTTCCTACAAAACACTTGGGAAGCCCATCAATAATTATATCCATTTAAACAATGACCATTCCGTTTTCTTTTCTCTTCTTTTCTTTTCTTTTTTTTTTTTTGGTGGGGAGGGGCAATTTCACAACGGAGATACCTAACCAAAGGATTCAAAGCCAACTGCACTCGCCTTAATATTCATTATTATAAGTTTCGATGCTGTTATGTTATTATATGAAGATGTTTATTCCTACGCTACATTGAGGGGAAACTATCAGTGTACATGACCTATATAATAAGTCCTATCTAAGACATTGTCCATAGCAGTTCTTAAAAAATTAAGATAGTAGATATTACAAAGTTCATTGCTATTATTTCTAATAGTTAATAAATGGCATATGCCATCAATACCAACCATATCTTCGGTACAACAAGACCGGATGACTTGCCTACTCCAGATACAACTGCAAGTGTACTAGTAGTCATCTGGCAAACAACATAATGACCGCTGATTAACTCAAAACCTAGCTTTGCTCGCCAATAAGAAGAAATATACTTGATATGGGAGCTAGCTAGGGGTTTAAGGATCAACGGTTCAAATATGTTCGACTTCTACAATAAGCAAGCACACATTCACTGGTGCATCTCGTTCCATCATTGCTGTGCATTGGTCTTGATCGTGGTGGCAATCCATAATCATAGAAATTGTAGACACAGCGTCTAGCGAAGTACATACTACGAATCAGATTGGTGGTAACAATGTTATCGAAATCAGGCTGGGTCAGACTATCATATCGTAAGAGCAAGCCATGGCATGACAATTACATGAAGAAAACCGGACAAAAATCTGCATCTGACCCCTTTCTACTGTACAAGTGGTATTCGTGTCTAGGAAAGATAGTCGGTAGGAGCTCAGGCGCATATTGTACAGCTTATTATGGGTAGGTTGGCCTGAATGCATTTTCTTTTATCGGCTTCGTTAACGGCAGGCTTCACCAGAAACACATTGAACAAGGCCGCTTCATACATGCAAGGCTTTGGCTTTGGGGGTACTAGTGTTCCTTATGCAGTCCTGAGGGATGAGGTAGATATTGCTAGAACTTCCGTAAGTGTGTGTCTCTCCCATGGTAAGGTTATATGAGTAGTATTCCGAAACCATACCCGACCTTGCTTTTAAGGTCAATGCTACCCTGGGACTAAGCCACTTTTATATCGATGTTGAGTATTATTCAACAAATCATAAGCTACCACTAACGTTGGATAGTTTGGGTATTTCCTAATTGGGATACTTAATTCGTCCTTGTTCATAGTAAGACTAGGATTCTATATAAGATAATGCTGAGATCACAGATTTAACACCGAATTCCTCAATATGATTCTCGCCTTTCTGTCGCCTGAGCCTCATACCCTAGAATTAACTCGCAATGTCTATGGCCCAAAGCCCCAACCAACGAAACCGAAGAGTACATCGAAGACAAAACATTCGAACATGTGCCCGCATCATTGCACCTAGGTAATGACCCTAACATCTACCTCACCCCGGAACAAGATATGGAAGACAGAGGTAAGATTCCTGCATCGATCTCTACAGACTACTATATCCATACAATATCTAACGGGACATCTTAGACGACATCAACGACGAGAAGCTCGATTATCTTGGGAATTTGGACGACGGTTAGTGATGTGCTAAGCTTGGGCTGATTGTTATAGTTTAAGTCGTGTATCTAAAATGATGTGCTGACATGCGGTGTCGGGGTATTAGGCATCTTGGCGTTTTTAATGACTATGTTGTAGTTGTGAATTAAAACACGAAATGGTATGTAAGTATTGGTTAGCTAAGTGTTGCTGTATTGGGTAGTAGGTGATGGCTAGATGAATGTAGTTTACACTTTCCATGGAAGGATAACTGGTTGACATGCTTTGCCGATGATCAAAGTATCTTGTAACAGTCATCAATAGCTTGAATAACGCGATTGTTAAGGTTTGGGAGATCCTTGATTATCTGTTGTGTAAGTACGAAAGAGATATATTAGCCCGGGACCTGTTCATATCCAACACCTTTCCACAAAGCAGGAGATACTGGTCGATCTTCTTCACCGAGAAAGCAAGGGAAATGCCTCAATTAGAAGAATACTTCTACAGATCGAATAGCCCTATGTCCATGTGGATGTCCCACCATCGGGGATGGAAAGATGATCGCCAACGCGAGAAAGACGCTGCTTTTTGGAGCTATACGTCGGGGATCTGGGAGTTTGACGAACAGCCACGGCAGCGATATAATACAGGATATCAAAGTCATGGATTTGTACTGCATGATGGAGGATGTAGGGTTTCTCCCGCTGTTGGTGGCGTTCGGATGATGGCTTACGTGGCTGACGGTTGGTTTAGCAGATGTTGGGGTTTATGATGATTATATCAACCAGAGTGATGAGTATTAGTGCTAAAGAAGGGTAGAGGAAGAGTATGTTACGTTCGAGACAAAGCGCATTTCTAGAGCAGAAATCAAGTGAGAGGATAGGACCGATACAGTGTACGAAGGAACTAGTGGTCATTTACTTGGATCTATCTTGCCTCATATGCTTCGCAGCTGTTAATATGATTTCTATACACTGATAGTTTCTCTTGCTTAATGTAGATTAGGAATAATCGCCTTTTATACCAGTCAATGTAAGTCTTTACCAAGGCCCCTGACTATCTCAATAGTTTCGTGATCTTCACGGAGGCTGGCGATGCACTAACTAGATCATTTAATAACATTATAATAAGGCGCTTAACTTGCCTTTTGCCCACCTCATACTCCTGCTCCCTGCAGCCGCGGTATTTCTGGTATGTTCTTGACCTGGGTGTTACTAGTATTAGTGACAGTCTTCGGAGGATAAGTATACCTGACTCACTTGCATCTCTGTTTGCCTTGAAGATGATATAAATGTATAAGCGTCCTCGTTTTCTGATCCTTTACCTTCGAGGGATCCCATGTGGTCCCCCGCAGAAGTCCATGTCCAAGAAGACATGACATAACACTGGTTTCAATTATCCCGTTTTATACCAGCACGTGAACGATACCAACAAAGTCCCTCTTTCTCTGGATCGAATGAAAACTTCCCCTTCAGCTCACCAACAAACTTCCTGTATTCCGCAGCATGAGGGTCGGCCTTGTGTGGGTCTGGTTGCCGATTGTTTGAAACGCTTCTCAAAACATCGCGCTGCTTTTTCCTCTCACTTGGCCATCGTCGAGTCACCTCATCCTGAGAATCTAAACATTTTTGTATATATATCGTCTGGGTAGATACGTCCAGGGATACGCCTTATAGGGATGGCGGGCAGACATTCAGTTCAGTAGTGGCGTAGTTCCCTTTCATAAGATACAATTCGAGATCTGAGAGTCGACGGATTGAAATGCAAAACACATCAGTATTTCGAGAATATTACTTAGAAGCAAACTGGATTGTTTGGCATCTTGATCAGTGACCACATCGGAAGGCAACACAACCTAGGACAACAAAAAAGGACACGGAGAAGACTGAGAACAAAGCAAGGTAGGATGTGAGCGAAAACGAGTGATAAGGGCAGGGAGAGAGGAAGGTAGGTTTGAGCAAAAGAAAAGTCAAAGAGCCACGGTAACAAATATCAGCATTGTGAAGAGTGAAAATATGTAGAGATGCAAAGTAGGAACTAGTAGGAAGGGCTCAGATAGGCCTTATATATAAGCTTTGCAACTGACCCAGAGATGTAGAAAGACAGGTTAAGTGAAGCGCTGCAAGATTAGAAAGCTGGTGAATATACAAATGCGTCCCAGTGGCAGTGCAACTAATAGAAGGAATAGCAAAGACTACGGTCCAATGAACCTTTTGGAGTGATTCATGAAAGTATTTCAAGCACAAATAGCCTTTTATAAAAAAA